GTATTGGCACTCCAAAAAAGTGATCATGTACTCTAGTATAACAAACATAAGGGGAAAATTTCACTTGGAGAAGTGCAGAATAATACTTTTGGAGTGCCGATAACAACTCCTTAAGTAAATAATCATGTATGGAAAAGGGAACTGAAGTACCTCGACTCTGTTTGTACCCATTGCCTAAGAGTTCCTCAAGTTGAGTAAAAACAACCTATAAACCCACCTGCAAAATTATTCCAACATTTTATTACATGCCCCTGCAGAAGCAACCTTGAATGTAAACTGATAAGGAAAAGATATAACAGAGGCTAAGTGTAAAGTATAATTCATTGAAATTCTGGTTAAATCTAGAGAGAAGCCAGAAGAGAGGAGATAGTGGTTTGAAGAGCTCACCATGCACCCAATGCAATGAAATCAATTTTCCACAACCAGACATACAACTGCAGGCACATAGCTTCAACTGCCTCCCGCCACCAGCATGTCTCATGGAACTAATCAAAAACAACTTTGGTCAATGCCGGAGGCGACAAGTTTTAGTTTTTTTGGAGATTTTTTTTAGAAACAAAACTGGTACCTTGAGAGGAATGACTGACTTGAGTTGTATAAAGTTCACACCACCACTGCACACTACTCCGAAACATTTAGCATTTGGGGATACTTTGTAAGCTTACTGAATTTGATTCCATCCAGGTTGACATGTCGGGTCTCTGTTAATGAGCATCCTCAATCTTGAACTACATATTTAAACATAAATATGTTAGAGAATACTTCAAAACTCAGAATTTATTTGTTTTAACCCAAATAATATTATAACTCGTAGCTTTATTTCAACTGGTTGACTGATTAACTAAAATGAGCAAGGAAGAGAACAAACTTAATGAGAAATGAAAACAAACAGCCAAAGCATTCTTAATAAATATTTACATGCTTCTCGATTCTAAAAGGTACTCAATCTGATGCTTCTGATGGAAACAAATCTTAGCAGGTGAGATATGGTTTAAATAATCAGATATCTTATTATTGCAATGTGCAAAATATTCACAAACACAAAAACACTATTTCGTGGTTGGGAATCGAATTCCTATTATGAACAGTAACTATAGCTTAGGAAATAAGAAAGAAATACTGCATCATAACAGGTAATTAAGTTAAATGAATAGTAAGAGATACATCAGGAGTAGTTGATTTAAGACCCAAAGAAAAAATCGTACCTGTGATCTTTGGAATATGTGAAATATTGGGCCATTCTGCACCGCTCTCCTTGTTGCATCTTTCTTTTAAAAGGGGACAACCACTAATGTATATCTCTTTTAACTTGGTGAGACATTGTACAGCTTCAACTGTAGATAGATACATCAGATTTGCACACCAAATTATACGTAGATACTCAAGAGAAGCAAGGTTTCTCAGCCACTCGAAGAATATTAAAATAAAGCTAAAGCTCAACATACAAGTGAAAAGGTTGAAAGAAGAGAAGAAATAATGCAAGTGGACTTAAAGAATGAATAAAGAAAGAAGTAGAGATAGTGGTCATTATCTCTCCATTTGTTTTTTCTTTTAATTAGCTACTTTGGATGTCACTCAACAATCAATGGCAAGTGGACTAATACTTTGGATTTCTTTAAGTCTAATAGTGACAACTTTTGTCATTTCTGATCAAAGCCTCTTAGCAGCTTTTTTGGGATTGCTTGTATTTTTAGCAACCCACTCACCAAAATCAATGGCAAGTGGGTACTTCAAATTAGTTGCTGGTCCCAACACTCAACCGACCTCATTCTCTATAAATTGAAGGAGAAATCATCAGCAAAAAACGACTCTCTCCAAAAACTAGACACAACGTCTAGAAAATACTAGAAAAAACTCAAGATCTTTTCAAACAAGCTTACTTGATATTCAGATAACCAGTTGACAACTCTTGTGTTTATCTTTTGTTGCTCTGCCATCTTCATGGTATGATTTCTTTTAAATGATCATTTGAATTTATGTGTTACACAAACTGGATAGAGCAATCTCCGGTCTTTCTTGTATTGTAATCGGTGTTTTGAATTAGTTAAATGGAGAAGTCTATGACTCGTCTTTCTTTGCTATCAAGCTAAAATTGGATAAAGAGATCTTGAAATTTGTCTTAATTATTTTATCAAATATCTACTAATTTAATTGTTCTCACATTTATTTCCATAAAATAGTTTACTTTCCCGCCTTTATATCATTCAAGTCCATTATTCGGACCCAAAACAGAGGTCTAGGCCTGAATAGGGCTCTGCTAGTCCGAGAATAGGGGCTAGTTCAGGCCCGAACTATATCATTGGGCACGAATTGACTAAAACCTTGACCCAATCTAGGGTCAATTTGGATTTAAGATAGGTTTTTGAACCCAAATAGGGTAACATTAACCACGACGCTAGTTTCCCTCTTGTTTGATAAGGTATTGTTCATATTTATCAAACTAACAAATGAAAGAATATTGAAATCCTCTTGATTGAGGCATGAAAAGAACTTATCCAGGCTAGTACCCCCTTGGAGCACAATGGCTTGAGCAGAAGTCCAGAATAAGCGCAAATCCAACAAGTCAATATCCTACACCACATATACTAGATCTATTGGGCTGGTCTCATACCCAGTAGTGGCACGCCTACGTAATTCGCGGTCAGGACAAAAGAAGTGCTTCGGGGGTATGGAATCAAAATCTAGTGCTATATTTCATTCATTTATCTTGAGTAATTGTTTGGTATTGTTAATGGATTTGAGATATATGTGTGTAAGGAAGCGCTTCTTGTTACATATTTGTAATTACTGAAAAACTGAAGGTTTGTGCCATTTTATAGCCAGAGTTTCGTGCACTTTTCTTATAATAAGAACATACTTAACATAGTAAAGAACCCATAAACAAACTGCAATCGAGAAAGTGAAAAGAGTAAGTACATTTATACCACAAGTTCAAAATAATTATTGTGACAAAATACTTCAAAATATTGTTATTTCAATCGTAAAAATGTCATGATATGGTTCAATAGTACAACATTCTTGATAGATGCTTACGGTACCTACCCTGAAAGTGTACCTTTGCCTTCTCCTATCTCATAACAAATATACAAATAGTGTTCAATATCAAAATGTTTAAATAGATCTCTACCACACACAAAAATGTATAATTATATGCATTCATTAATCTTGTGGTGTTTCTCAATGCTTCCATCTCTCTTGTGCTCCATGATAATGAAGACTACGGTGATGTTTTCTTACATCAACCTCCCTCTCCATCTCGCTTTTGGTGAACTTCCCACATTCTTTTCCCATCCTTACTAAAGAAATAAGGCTTAGATATGAGAAATGGAAAATAGCAAACAATCCAAACAGTCCAAATAATAAACATATAAACATCCATATGCAAAAAGGACATGCTCCTACTGTCTTCTTATAAATTTTGCTCAATACTGATCTTATAGGACATATTTTCAAAAGAATAAATGCTGATGATAAGGTAATGATCTTATCTAATGCTTATCACTTATACTAAAGTTTTGCTGGGCTAACTGGAAGTTGAAACATATGTTGCGAGAGTATGATACTCAGAAAAAATGAGCAAAGTGATAATGCAGCATATATATGTTGAAATTATCTATCAATATTCCCAATTCTCAGCAACCTATATTATGCTCTATCATCGAAACCAGTACACACGAGCCCAGGAATTCTCAAAGTCAAATAAGCAGAACACATCAAAACCAAAAGACAAATAAGCAGAAATCTAAAAATCAAGAAAGACCCATGAATTGATGAAGAGCATACTTAAACAGAATGTCATACAACCAGGTTTTGCAAATCTACAACTAATAAAATAAAGCCTAATTAGAAGTTTGACAACCAAGATATCTGAAAAAGAAAACCCATCCCACAATTAAATAAGGCTTCCAACTTGTACAGTTTTCTATGTAGATCTTTTAAAACTAACTTCAACACATGTTTCTCAACTTCATTCAACAATTTGTTTTTAACAACTAGTACCTAATTTCTTTTTAACATGTTTCTCAATTCTGTTTCCTTTTTATTTCTTATGGGTCAAATTTGTCAGGTCTGCATATTTACAAAGAATTCCTAAACTAAAGCACTAGATTACGAAGATAAGATTGCAAAGAATCATCCTAACCCAAAACATTATACCCAAACACCTAAATGATGCAAGAGTTCAAAATGTAAAGAGGGAAAAGTATTACACAGAAGCCCTAACTTTAAAAAAGAGAAAAAAGTATGTGGAAAAACATGACATTTGAGTTTGAGAGTATGGAGCAGTTTCAACCAAAGAGACAGGGGAAGATACCTGTAGCTGAGAGAGCAGAGAGCAGCTTTAGAGCCCAAGCAAGTGATTTGGAGGATGAGACAACTTTTCTCTTCCTCTAGAAGTCAGGAAGCTTCCAATACCCATGTAATAAATAAGGACAATATGGGTAGAGTGTGGATATGGAGCTGGGGAGATCTGAGGTTTTTATTCCGATTGTGAAAAAAGAGAATAAAACATGTGATAGATAAGGACAATATGGTTAATCCAAACAGTTAACTAAATGGTACCGCCTGCTTCTTAAACCAGCAGTTTTTAAAAACAGCTGATGCTTCTTAAAAACTGCTGTTTCTGACCATTAATTTTGTGGGGAAAAAGTAGCATACCCGTGTTTTACCAAACACATAAAATTTAAAATTTTCGGATAGAATCTGTTTATTTTAAAAGCAATGTGTTACCAAACTAGGCCTAACAATTTTGCATAAGACCCCACAAAACAAACACAAGAGAGCTCAAATGAAATGAACATTCATCAAGTAATAGTTCCATTCATATGTAGAAACCCTAATATCTTAAAATTCATCATATCAATACATACTATCCTCAAATGATTTTATCAACTCTGCATTTACTAGTAATTACCAATCCTGCATACATGACAAAGCCCATACTCCTTCAGATCACCACCCTGACTCTTCCCACATTGTTGTAGAATATGACCACAACCACACTAACGTTGGAATGAAATAGAATAAGAGCCAGTGTTTGGATCTTTAACAGATTTGAAGTTGTCCACGCTCATTCCAAAACGGCCCAACAAAGAGTTACCCATATCTTTCAGCTTCCCTGCTCACATAAAAAAATTTCAAATGCTTAGTCTACAACAGATTTGTTTTCCTTTTAAGAAACATTAAATTGTAGTGAAACTGAGGAAAGTACACAATTATACATTACAGAGGACAATATGCCAGCTAACAGCCAAGTCTAAAACTTAGTGAAGTATGCCACAAACATGCAACATATACCAGTCTCTGGCATAGCAATTTAGAAACATCATATCGACTATCACCAGAAAACACAGAATATGTGAAGAACTGTCGCAGACATGAGATAGAAGAATTATGATCTACACGCTCCTATTATTATTAAGTTGACATCATCCATGAGTATAAAATATTTGCTCGAACGCTCCTTCAACAGCAACGTCTTTCAGAAATTATGAACAAGTTCCAGCAAAAGGTTAGTGTTCCATAAGCAAAGATCATATGACATTAAAAATTTAATCAGCAGGCTGATTTCAGGATTTGTTTTCTTTATTTCATATGTTAGTCTTGCCTTATGTCACAAAGTCAGAAAAAAATAGTTACACTGGTCTTTGGGAAAGTAATTAATTGACTTCGCATAAACGCATTGCCTAGTTGGCCCCATAATACAGTCTAATTGCCCTGTCCTTTGGTCTTTGTTTACAACTAGAGGAAAGAAGTCATGTGAAGGCTAGAAGAGTGGTCTATCTAAGACATGGATTAGGTTTTCATTTTTTTTAATTTTTTTTGGGCATTGCTCACGGTACATACAGCTGTTGGGAACAATTTGATCAAGTGGCCACAAGAAAAAGAATATAAAACCATAAACCATGAAACTATAAACAATATAAATGCACAACAAAATAATTTATCCAACTTACCAATCATCTAATTTACCAAAAGAAAAAGAAAAAGAAACTTACCAATCATCTCCTCTTTCATCTTTTCTCTCTTTTCTTCAGCCAGCGGCCCCAGGCGACGAATGGTCTTCTTGGCTTGGTCATTTGAGGGATCGAGTTCCAAGATTTTTTTCATATCTGCAGAGTAAAAAAAAAAAATTTAGCAATGCATATGAGTATAGAACTACAACCCCACATACATGAGAGGACAGAAGTTGGTTCTAGTGAGCTGAAAAAGGGTCAAGAATAGTGGAGTACTGTCCAGGAAATTGAACGATGAACTGATGAAAGATATCACCTTAGACTGCAGTACAATGGTTAAAATTAAAAAGTGGTATTAAATCCAAACTTACCAGCAATAGCCTCTTCGAAATGCTCTAGTTTTTCATGTGCTTCTGCTCTTCTAAGCAGAGCTTTCATATATGAAGGATTTAGTTCTAGCGCTTTTGTGCATTCCTTGATTGCATCCTCATATTTCCCTGTGATATTAAGATTCCAAGATTGATAATAATTTAGTATTAAGAATGCATAATCAAAAAATTACTGGTGTACTGGAGTTATAATGAAAAGAATAAGAAGCCTTTTAAAACCACATAACAAAACAAGCAAACAGGGGAAAAAACTAAAAGTGAACAGCTTCTTATGATAAATATCAGCAGTTCTACTCAGTCTGGACATAGGAAGACATGTGATCATAAGATTTGGTAACCATTGTCATCATTTATAACATTCAATATTAGAATTTGTTGCCTTTCACAATAAATCTTAATCCTAAAAATTAACCATCCTTAGAAAGTCCCCTAATAAATCCAATTTCATTTTATTTAGAGCAAAAAATAGCTATTTTCGCTGAAACATATCTATCATCATTTCAAATTCAAAGATTAATAAAAATGTCAAGTCAAATGATGAAGGAAATTGATCACATCCTTGCTCATTAGACCAATCTATGAATCACTTGAAGTCACATACTTTTACCGGAACAACTTGCATGCTCCAACAAAGACTACCAAGAAAATAAGGTTGGGAAGGCAAATAGCATCCACTTTGAAATAGTAAAAGCAACATCATGTCAAGTATATCAAAATAAATTTTTCTACATATTTGGTGTCATAGCTTGTCCAATATGCGGACATCAAAAGGGCATTAGAGGCCAGAAAAATTGTAGGCCAATTAAACAAACTCTAAAAGTACATGAAGCATGCATCAGTGCATGCAACTCTGTCTAACATGAAGTGGAACTATCAAGAATTTTCTGAAAAATAGAAAAACTTGAACTTGTGTCAACAAAATATGAATGTATTAGGCATGTGTATTATTATGTCAATATCAATTTATCAACATAGAATGTGAAAATCAAGAAAAACAATGAAAATTTTCAGGATATTTCCACAGACTTTAACCACATAACATACCAATTTCGAAAAACATATTGCACTGTTTGCGTGACATATTGAGCGTAATTCCACAGATGATGGCATGTCAGGCGCAAGGTGCAAAGCAAGCTCATACTGTGATAATGCCTCTTCATATTGCCCACTGCCAAACAGTCTATTGCCTTCCATTTTCACATCATTTGCTTGTTCAAACGCTTTCTGCTTCAGATGCAACCAGAACAACTCAATCAAATTTATTTTAACAGGAACATGAGGATCGTAACTATAAAACCAGATTGCCGATCACATAGGAAACACTGCATATACAAAGAGAGAAAAAACCTAATTGGGTTTTATTGTAAGCAATTCACAGTAAGATTTCAGATTCCACAACATAACAATTTACCAAAAAAAATTCATTTTTCAAAATTTGTGCAAAATTGAACTCACTGATCAGCTCTTCATGTAACAATAAACAATTGATTCACATTCGATTACGAATTAGCAGAAAGATAGCATTCCGAAGAAAGTACCTGTTTCAATGCGACGTCGTCAGCCTGAGAGAGACTTTGCTGTTCCTCTTGTTGTTGGGTTTCGTCGTCGTTGTCGCTACCGTTGGATCCGAATTCTCCGTCACTGGCAGTTTCGAAGCCATCGGAGGCATTTCTGCTGGTGGAAGACGAGGGTTTCGGGGAATTCAAATCGCTATGCTTTTCTGTCTCTTCTTCTTCGATCAGCATCGCTTTGTCAGGAAATTGATTTCTTCCACGAAGAGCAACAGAAACGGGAAAAGGTGACGGATTTTGGCTGCGACGATAGCTTTTCTTCTGGAGATTTTATATACGAAAATGACTCAGATGACTTTTACACTCCGTTTTTCCAGAAAGCTCCTTCTAGTTCCACTAGCCCCTGCCAATTGGCTCTTTTTGTTTCTTTTCGTTTTTTGTTTGTTTTTTTAAAATATACAATATAGCCGCGCGGCTATACTCGGGCAATTTTTTTTAATCAAAATAGTATAGCCGTTCGGCTTTACTAGGGTTTTTTCGGTTTTTAAAAAATAGTATAGACGAACAGCTTGTTTAAAAAATAGTATCGTCTTAATAAAAAAATAATAAATAAAAAATAAAAAGTATCGCCGCGCGGCTATATTTATCTTGACACGTGGGAGCACAGGCGCTAGGCGGATCTCCTTTTTTACCTATAAATAGAATAGCCGCAATATTCCTTTTTTAGCTATAAATAGTATAGGTGCTAGGCAAAGCAACTAGAAGCAACTCTAAGCAAAGCAAAGAGTCTCACATTAGAATATTACATGAAGTGAAGGCTCCCCCTCACCTATAAAAGGAGACCACTCTTCCCTTATAAAATGATGCTTGGGCTGGGCTTGATCTTTAATCATGGCCTTCTCCTTTTTTACATTTAAATTTGGGTCCAACTCTATGTACAAATATAAATACACAATATTATAATAATGAGAATATACTTATCCGTGGACGTAGCCCATTCATTAAGGGTGAACCACGTATATCTTGTCTTCTGTATGTTTATCGCTTGTTCAAATCCTCACACACTTGGTGAAGGTCCTCACCTTCACCCATCATTCATCACACCTCATCATTAAGTTGCGCGGGAAAGTGCCGAACCATTTTTCTGCGTCAATAGTTTGGCGCCGTCTGTGGGAATCGACACAAAAAACTTCTGTCATTCTCCCCTTCTTCAGTGCCCTTCGGCACCCTTGCAATCAGCATCTCCTAACTTGCCGAACGGCAATCCCATAATGGAGCAACCATGAGTGCTAAGGCAGTAACATGCAAAAGACAATTCAAGCCTAAGGGAGGCCCACCTGGCCCACAATTCCATATGATAGGTGGCATGTTCATAATTTTCTACATAAATTAGTATTGGAGGAAAGCCACCCATTTTGCATGGCATGCATGGCTTCCGTGATCAAGTGTGGAATCATCATCTCTACAAAAGCCAAAGCTGCCGAACGGCAACATGTTGCCCAACAAAAAGATAAGCAGTCTTCCTCCTTATTAATGTAATATGTTATCCAATTAAAATAAGCAAAAGCCAATTTTTGTTGCCTACATGATTTTCAACAGTACCACATCTTATCAAAATTCAACACTTGTTGATTCGGCAACCCAATAAACTATCTATGCAAAGAGGTCTCATGCTTTTCAGCGCACGATTAAAGTTTGCTCTCTCAAGATATCTCATATTTGAAGACCCACAGCCAATGACAAGTCTAGGATTTTCCAGCTTGCTAAATTCTTCGTCCCACCATGAATGACACTACTGATTCAGAAGGATTCCAATGTACCGAATGATACACTCATCCAGAGATTGCTCAAGGCACCTAAGGGCCTTGAGAGACCACCACCTCCATGCCGTTCGGTAGCCTTTCCCTACCGACCCACTGGGGGACTTGGCCTCTTTATCTGTCGTTTAGAAGCTTCTGACTACTACCGTGTCTTTTTGCATCCTACACTTATCGCTTGGGAATGCTTGGATTGTCATACCCTTCAAATTTGGAAAATCTTTCAAAGGGAACCAAACGGCACCCAAGCCCGGCATGCATATCAGAGATGACAATTACTGACCGGCACCCAAGTCAAAGAAATCATCATTAGCAAATTCAGCTGCTGTTCGGCACTTAGCCATGCAATTACACAAAAGCTGAGAGAGTCCTACTGTACGGCACCATGCCAAACAATTGATAAAGATATTCAAGCCTGGAAGTAGCCACCTTGCTCTGCATGGATTCCATGACTCTGGAAGCAGCCACCTTCTAAACCAAATGTGGCTATCACGTTGCATGGTTAAAGGAGCAGAAACTTGTTCCAAACTAACGAAAGCCCATGTGCATCCCCACCATGAGAGAAGTTGCCGAATGAGGTATGGCCCATGCCGAAATCTTCATCGTGGCACCACAAGGTGTTGTCTCCTCGTCAGAACTTCCAAATTGCCGAATGGCAATGCTGGGCATGACTCACCTGGGAACCACCTCCCTAACAGGACAAATCCTCCTACCGTTCGGTAAGATAGAATTAAGCCAACTGATATTCCCAAACCTCCAGTAGATCGGCAATTCAGTGCTTGGTAGCTTCCGATTGGTGCGCCACAGAGGATGAACGTCCCTGTTCAGGGCTAGCAAATCATATTACCGTTCGGTACCACCAGTGTTCAAAGCACCTACTTGGTCGAAATACCGAACGGCACACCCATCCAGGAGATTGATCAAGCCACCCGAAAGCCTTGAGTGTCCATCCTTCTCCATGTTGCTCGACCAGCTACCGAACGGTAGCCATGCCATTGGCTTTCTCAAAGCACCCACTTGATCGAAATACCGAACGGCACACAAACTGCAACATGGATACAACATAAATATGCCCTCGGCAAAACATTTCAGTCACTCACAAAGTGATCAAGAGGTACAACTCATACCACAATGCTTTTCAGCACATAAGCATCATTACATGCGCATCATTGCCATAGGCACATCTACATCATCATCATTCGCATCATTGCCTTCGGCACATATGCATCATCCCATAAACATGATTGCCTTCGGCACATCCATATTTACATCAAACAAAACCCAAGACTATTAGCCATTGGTAAGGATCATCGACTTACGTGCCAAAAGTAAAAACCCAAGCCTATTAGCCTTCGGCAATAGCCATTGGTAATGATCATCGGCGAAGACAGTGGACAGTGAGTAACCATGCTTGCTGCCAATTCTCCATCAATTTCAGAAAGCTCAGAAATGAAAGGGCATGCTCGCTTGCTGCTTATTCATGGTATACCGAACGGCACCCACTTACTCCATCACACTAAGAGAGGTGCATGCGATCTATATGGATACAATGGCTTACTCAAATTATACTGAACGGTAATTTGAGTGCAGCCTTTTAAATGGCCACCCAATATCACCAAGCGACAACGGTACTGACACTCCACAGACCCAGCTCGTGCAGCCCAGCTCGTGCCGAAGCTTCTGAGACCCGGCCCGCGCGCACAAGCCTTGCAACCTTCAAGAATGCATCTCGACAATTGCCGAACGACAGGTCTTGTGCTGCCGAACCAACACGAATGGTACTACACCTTCGGAAGTCCAAATTGTCGGTCACCAAACCAGCCTCCTTACAATTCGGTGCTTGACTACCGAATGAACACTCGGACATCAATGGACCTAGCTCTAAGAGCCCAGCCCCAAAATTTACTTAATCCACCCTTGCCGAATGGCAAGGGTTGTGCAGAAGCAATGGGGACTCGCAAGATGGCTCATTCTAAACATCAAAGTACCTCCACGAAACCAGCCTCCTGGCCACTCTACCGGAGCTGTGCATACAAACTCTCGAGAAACTTCTCAACACCCTTGCCAAACGGCAAGGGTTGGGCCGAATCCTAAGGAGGGCTCAGCCCAAAACTAGCCGCCCAAGCAGTCCACCCTTGCCGAACGGCAAGGGCCGTCGAAAAGGTGGAGGGCTCACGATTACACAACCTCAACAGGATCTTGCCAAAGGATGCAGACAGCCAAGCAGAGTGCTCACAAGCCTGGGGAAGAACCGTTTTGCTCAAGCTGCGGAACGGCAAGCACGTGGTATCAACATGAAACTTCCCGAAGTTTTCCAACAAACCCTTCGGAATCTCCGGTTCGTACTCCACCGCTCTTCGAAATCAAGTCAACGATGACCTGCCGAACGGCAGGGAACATGTTAGAGGCCCTCTAAGCTTTCCAAATAACCCTTGCTGAACGACAAGGGCTGTGGAGCACAAAAAGACAGCTCAACAAAAATCCTTGCCAAAGGACCAGCCCAGCCACACCTCAAAATCAAAAAAAGGGAACATGCATGGGTTCATCCAAAGCAAGCACTACATGCCTTATTAAAGTTTTCGGCAGTAACCACTAATTTAGTAAAGGCCCACTTATGGCACTTGGCATTCATGCCAACACAACAAAAAAACAAAAGAAAAACCCAAGACTATTAGCCATCGGCAATAGCCATTGGTAAACTTGTTCAACAAGTTTCATGATTCGATGAGAGCGATGCCTTCGGCACCCCGTCATCATTAGACGAGAGCGATGCCTTCGGCACCCCGTTATCATTTGACAAGAGAGATGCCTTCGGCACCCTGCCATTATTTGACAAAAGCAATGCCTTCGACACCTTGTCATCATTTGACAAGAGAGATGCCTTCGGCACCCTGTCATCATTAGACGAGAGCGAAGCCTTCGGCACCCCGTCATCATTTGACAAGAGAGATGCCTTTGGCACCCTGTCATTATTTGACAAAAGCGATGCCTTCAGCACCCTGTCATCATTTGACAAGAGAGATACCTTCGGCACCCTGTCATCATTAGACGACAGCGATGCCTTCGGCACCATGTCATCATTTGACAAGAGAGATGCCTTCGGCACCTTGTCATCATTTGAAAAAAGCGATGCCTTCGGCACCCTGTTATCATTTAACAAGAGAGATGTCTTCGGCACCCTGTCATCATTAGACGAGCGCGATGCCTTCGGCACCCTGTCATCATTTGACAAAAGAGATGCCTTCGGCACCCTGTCATCATTTGACAAAAGCGACGCCTTTGGCACCCTGTCATCATCCGACGAGAGCGACGCTTTCGGCACCCTGTCATCGCCTTCGGCACCCAGTCATAGCCTTCGACACCCCGTCATCATTCGGCACCATCGACACCACACTACTTGGAGAAGACTAAGGTGTTGCTCGGTCAGTGCACTGAAAATTGCAAGTCCTCAACCAAGGAGTACCTCCTTGCTTAAGAACTTGGGGGACTTCTGTTTATACCATATTTGACCAAGCAACTAGAAGCAACTCTAGGCAAAGCAAAGAGTCCCACATTGGAATATTATAAGAAGTGAAGGCTCCCCCTCACCTATAAAAGGAGACCACTCTCCCCTTAGAAAAGGATGCTTGGGCTGGGCTTAATCTTTAGTCATGGGCTTCTCCTTTCTTACATTTAAATTTGGGTCCAACCCCATGTACAAATGTAAATACACAATATTATAATAATGAGAATATACTTCTCCGTGGACGTAGCCCATTCATTAAGGGTGAACCACGTATATCTTGTCTTTTGTATGTTTATCGCTTGCTTAAATCCTCACACACTAGGTGAACCTTCACCCATCATCCATCACACCTCATCACTAAGTTGCGCGGGAAAGTGCCGAACCATTTTTCTGCATCAACAGAGAAAGGGACATTGAACACAACACGGGAATTCTACTTATTGTTCTACATTTTTCAATTCCTAAGCTAGATTTTACTTTTTCAACCGCTTAGTGTACCAAGTTCTTCAATTTCTTAATGTAAGTTTATTTTCACAGACTTTAAATTACATTTAGTTGTTTAAAGATATAGTTAGAGGTGATAAGATAACCGATGTGGTGGAATATGGACAACCCCCTATAAATAGAGGTGTTGGGAGGCCTCCCTAATCATCCTAAGAAGCCAGAGAATAGAGCAAACTTGTGCTCCCCTTACCACCTAAGAACCAATCCATTTCTCTCTCAAAGGTGACCATCAATCCCTTGGGGCTTGTTAACATGAAACATCATGGGGGCAACTTTTATGCATTCGTGGTAAAAAAAATTTGTTTCGTTCAAAAAGCATTTGAGGCTCGTAAGTGCAAGTAAGTTGTCGATTGCTTCTGCTCGGTAATCTCTATACACTACTAAGTTTGTAAGCATTTTCTAACACTTTCTAACTTTGGGTAATTAAACCATTTGAAGGCTCATTCTATTTTAACTTAATTAATTAACTTTTTAATTAATTTTTTCTTTAACCAATTAATCTAATTAATTGACTTAATCATTGATTTCCAAATTACGAACTTATGGGTGTGCGATCTATTGGGTTCCAATTAGCAAGGCCGTGGGCGATCTCGAATTCTTCCTTTATCGATTGTGTATTAAAACTTCCTTTTAATTATCGCTTTAATGAGGACTCAGTTACGTAATGTCCTTAAGGCTTCCACAAACCGTGAGTGATGTCTAGCAACATGTCATGGTTACCCAAGCTAATATAGAATATATTAGGAGAATCCATTTAGTTGGAATTACAATACAATTCGATCCTTCTCTATTTCCCAATGTCCTTTATATCGTTAATAGGATATGAATCATGTCAAATCCCTAATGTGATCATTCTTGGCTAATGATTCAATATGAGAATAATTAGAAGACTATTTCTTAATTGAGCTTTGACTCCGACCGGAGATTCCCGAATCATATCTGAGAACATTCTCTCCCTCTTACTGGAAGTCGAGATCCCTTGTCGTACACTCACTTGCCTATATGGACTTGTCGAAGATCCCAATGTTACCTTGAGCTGAGCCCAGGGATGAGCTCAACCTTATGATACAATCAGAGACCGACTACACATCCATAAGGAACCCATGGTGCCTCAGGTCTAAGGATTAACCTTGCGTTATTGCAACTGATGAAATTTTGTTTGATATGTTAGTAAAACTTCCATACAAAATTTCTAGTTTGATCGCGTTCAGTGAACTCAAACGAGCACCTATGCACTTATCTCAGTGTCCATACACAAATGACTCGAGACTAGTCACCCTCCTAGTTGAGCAGATATAGTGCGTACTGGTATTTGCGATTCGTCAATGCCCAATTGAACAATCCTATGACTGGGAACATTTTGGGTATGAGTTATAGGGAAATGTCTCTTTTCAGCTATACTATTTAGATCACTTTCCTTATCTCATGAATCCATGGACTTGTCAAATAGGTTAACGGTCACGTTTGGGCCGTTACCTGCTGGTCCATGGCTTGTGACATTGGTGGTTGGTTATGAACTCGTAAATGACCCATAAATGTCCCCAAAATCGGGTATGAACTCGTAAATGACCCTATAGGTTGGGGGTTTACTGTAGTTTACCCAATGATTTTCCATAATCTATATTAGCTTGTGACATTGATGGTTGGGTTAAGTCACTTTTATAACCTCATGAATGTGATGCTCGCCTATTCCTATGTATTGAGCTCACAAAACCTGAAATGTGTTCATCTTTCTCCAATGCATAAAGACCATCTGCTGGTCCATGGCCTGGATGTGTGTAATAAAAATATTTGGAGTTTTGAACACCTAACTCTCGTATCCTGTCTTTAATTTCCAATGTAAACAACCTATCAACATCTACATTATCAAAATAAGTCACCTTATATAATGGGTTATTGGAGTGTACACAAAATGTCCACCGTATCTAAATTCAATAGTCACGTGATCATCATCTGCACAACAAAAGTAATAGACTTCTATTAATAAATACATTTTTTATTTGCACAACATATGGTTTGAGATTGGTACTCTTATTGATGTGAGTGGGTCGTTAAATCCACCATTATGTATGCTTAATTTACTATTTTATTTCTTAAACACAAAGCATGTGAAAGGGAGAGCGTCCATTACTTTTATACAAATTTATAAATAAACCCAATCCTAGACATGTATTTATAAAAAAACCCAAGCACTATTTAAACATAGAATCAACCCCAAAATCAACAATTGTATATTTTTTGGGTGTGTTTATAAATGGGTTTTGAGTGTGTGTAATGATGGGTTTTGGGTGTGTTTATAAAGTGTTTTGGGTATTGGGGTTTTTTATAATTTTAGCCCTCATTTTGGGTGTTTTAGTGAAACTCCCTTACTTTTATCACTAGAATGTACATGCTTTGTCCTTCTTTCTTTGGTTAAAGAGATTTCCATTAAAGCAAAGCAGCAAAACAAACAATCATCAGTACAAGAAACCAAGAAAGCGAAAAAATAGTTAGCAAGCAAGATCTGTGTATCAACAACTAGTCATTGAAACGAACTTTACATTGAAGTAAAACAAGCATAGGGTCCAAACTCAAGAATACTCACCTGGGTTGATTGAGCCTCTAGAAAAAAATTTCATCTTTAGTAGCACTCAAGTGAAGTGATTGATATTCAAGGGAATTGATTGAATTTGAAACCCCAATTCTGATGAAAGCAGACTACGGCAGTTGTCATTGGCGCCAAGGAATAGAGTCTCGAGGGTTTTGGTTTGTGTTAAAATACCTTTATGCCCACTCACGTGCTATGCACATGTCTATTTTAACGTCTATTTGACAGATTCTCCTACGTTGGCTAACATATGTGAACACATGGATCAAATTAGCCAAATTGAAAACACAGAGACAAAATTGGCATTTTGACATTTAAGTCTTTTAACTTTGGGTTTCATTGGAATTTAAAAATAGGGTGGGTTTGTGTTGAAAATATAGGAGTTACATAGTATGTGGTATTATGTTAAATCCACATGATCTCCAACTTGTTTACTTAAACACTCCTCGTACCATCTTGTTAATTTGTATCTTTAATAATTGGTCAAGCGAGTATCCAAATTCTAGTTAATACATCCATTCAAGGCATTTTCTAAGGGCCCGTTTGATAACCATTTCAATTTTAGTTTTTAGTTTTTAGTTTTCATTTTTCGTGCTAGAGTATAGAGGAAAAAGAAGGAGAAGGAAAATGAGAATTCAAGTGGAGATGAGATTGAGAGGGAAGATTATATTTCATCCCGCAAATATTAATAAGAAAGGAATAAAAAAGGAAGGACACAAAATTAGATCTTCTACCATACCGCAAACATTAGCACTTGAAATAAAGTTTGGGCTGAAACTTGTAATTTTATTTTTCTTTAGATGATACCACAAAATATTATTAGTTAAAAAGAAATAGTAATGCAAAGGGCCCACTGATGTAGTGGTTTAGAGTACTAGTATTAATTTCCTCAGGCAAGGTAATAAGTTTGAGCCATAGCATTTATGTAGTGTGTGTAGATTTAGTATACTATCGCCCATCTCAATAGAAAAAGTCCTCAAAAAAGGGGAAAAAATAGCAATAAATGATACTATTAATAAAATGAAACTAAGATTATATTAAAAACAGAAAACAAAAAAACAAATTGTCTAGGGTCTAGTAGTATCAAATTGCATTAGTTGCCCCAAGAATTTCTGGGCTGGGCCGTTGATGTAGGGGTAGGCTGCTCTGTCCAGCTTGGTCTTTAATTGACGGAGCCATGTTTGCAGCAGGTCAGGCCATGACATGTACGCTGGAGTAACCTCAGGGATCCTGCGAGATTAAGATAATAATCAAAAAATAATTAATCTGTATATATAAAGTAAAAGGTAAAGAATTGTAAAAGATAAAAAACTAGAAAATGCCATTGGTTAATGCAAATATTAAGAATTAGAATTATTAATTAAATAAGGATAATATGGTAAGTTCACACTTTTTATATTTAAAAAAATTAAAATTAAAAGAAAATTTAGATAATTGATCCTAATTTTATGGAACACAACTATCCATTATCTTTTTTAATTCTAAAATAAATTTAATCGCATGCGGTGAGGCTAATAATACTAATGACAATAATGGTAAAATATTCAAAATACCAGAAAATTCCCTTGGTTAATACAAACATCAAGAATTGGAATTATTAATTAAATGAGGATAATATGATAAATTCATACTTTTCATATTTAAAAAAATTAAAATTAAAAGCAAAATCAGATAAATCCTATTTTTATGGACCACAACTAATCATTAACTTTTTTAATTATGAAATAAATTTTAAATTTTTTTTAAAAAGTCTCTCGTAGACGCGAATTCGTGTCAGCTTGTATTTATGAAAACCACAACCAATATTGAAATAACTTAAAATTTTGATCTAAAATAGTATTAAAACATGCCACTTACACAGTTGAAGCATACACGAAAACCGCAACCAATAACATCACCGCCTTCAACAATGACATCTCACAACAACCCATCGCCAGTATTAGAGCCCCTGGCATTAACAGCAGTAGGCCTAAAATCCTCGTCCTCTCGGTGCTGCCAGTTTCAGCGAAAAAAGCTTCAGAATTCATTATTGTTGATTCTAGGATTCCTCTGATTGTTTTTTTCTTTTACTTCTCTCGAATATGCAACTCTTTGGTCCTATATATATAGAGAGAATGTAAAATAAGTCAGGTTTAGGAGTTACGTGTGCTATCAAGGCTCTTTGGCCCTATATATAGAGAGAGAGAGAGAGAGAGAGGATGTAAATTAAGTCTGGATTAGGAGTTACGTGTCCTGTCAACATGAGGAGTCCGAAGATTGAAAGCATTCAGATAAAGACCAAAAATTGAGGATTCCTAGATTGTGTTGGAGAGAGAGAGAGAGAGAGAGCGCAGGGGGCGGGGGCAGAGGGGGCAGGGGAAGGCGGAAGAGGGGGGAGCGTGCGCTATGTTGTGAATAAGGGGATGGGCTTTATATATATATTTTTTAAAATTTTAAAATTTAAAATTTTCTCTTTTTAAAAGGGCCCTTGAGACTTAGGGGGTAATTACCCTGCCATTATATTGAATTACGTACTATGTAAAGAAACAAATATATATTAATTAATATCACATCTACATAACTTAATGCCAAATAAAAATACAAAAAATATTTACCTTGAAATGTTCCCTTTAGGTGACATGCATCAACACCTATTAAAGGTCCACAACATATTACAAACCCCTTTTTGGATGCGTCCAAATACACATAAAGCCTTTAAAAATGAGGAGGATTCACTTTCATCAACATACTCCTACTGTTATTAGTCTGTCTAATCTCTTCATAATACTCCCATAACTTTTCATATTATCTTAACAATATTGGATATTATTAAACTTAATAATATCACCCAAAAAAAAAGGAAAGAAGGTCAAAAGCCAACGTTGGAAATAGAGTGATTCAATATTGGATATTATTAAGCTTAATATAATATCACCCCCCACAAAAACAAACAAACAAAATACAAAAAAAAAAAGGGGGAGAGAGAGGGTCAAAGAGCCAACCGTTGGAAATAGAGTGATTTGATATTGGATATTATTAAGCTTAATAATATCAACCCCCCAAAAAAAGGAGGGAACACTTCAAGCTGCACCTCCTATATGTGACAAGCACATATCTACAATGCATTATGAAGTGGGGGCAATTTGTAGATAAAGGAATTTTGGAGGAATAAATTCCATTAGATAAGAAAATAATTAGGGCTAGAGAGATAGAGAGATCTTTTGAAAGATTTGCCGCCCATTATTCAAATATTAAAAACCCCACTCCAGCATATCTTATAAAATAAGTGTTTGGGCCTGAGAATTTCACACCCCAGCCTATTTTTTTACAAAGAAACCCAGGAACAGAAAAACAGAAGACTGGGCCTTGACTTGAAAAAGTAGCCCAATCAACATTAAGAGTCCCACGTCTTTTTCAAAAATAGCAGAGTTTTAAGAAAAAAAAACAACAACAAAAATAAATAAATCAAATTACCAATTAAATGGTAATTCGTCACCAAGCAGGTTGATAAACTTCTAAAGAAATTGGACTAGGCCCAGCTTCTAAATTCTCACCGTTGATCTCAATCCCAGAGTGCAAGCCAGAAGACTTTTTTGGAAGATCTTTTCTCAAAAAAATCCACGTGACTACCTGACTTTGAAAAGTCAAAATTTTCAACTATCACGAGAGAGTTGACAAGGAATTTAAGAAGGCAGGTCTTACAGGAAGACTTCTCCAGTCTTTACAGTCAAGAAAGAAGATCAAAATCCCTTTCTTTATACAAAGAAAATTATGTTTCAGAGCAGGTGCCATTTCAAAGGGATAGGCAGACTACATTTTCTAAAGAGACAAGTAGGGAGTAGGGGGTTGTTCATTAGGAAAATCAAACTAACCATCACGGCAGATTGAATTCTCACAAAGAGCAGTTAAAGGTTAAAAAGGGATTAGGTTTTCTTTCAGGGAAAGCAGGGAAAGCAGGGAAGTGATCACCATAAAAATTGATTGTTGATGGCTTTTCTGCCAGAATAGATAAAATCCCCCCTTTTTTTTTACATTTAAAATAAAAGATCTTGCTTTTGGAAAAACTGCCGCCCATTATTAAAAGATTAGAAGCCCCACTCCAGCATTTTTCTATAAATATAAGAGAAGGTGAACATATCAAAGGATGGCCAAAAAACTAGTAAAAGAAAATACTCAAAGATCACTTGATCTCAAAAGACTTCAAAACACTGAAGCAACCAAAGCTCATTGAGCCACAAGAAACAAGTTAGCTATAAATTCAGAACCTCTAAATTTCAGTTCAGTTCAGAGAGATAGTCATACAAAGCAAAATTTCTCTCGTTACAAATTTGGTTCAACATATGCCAAATCAAGCAGAGTTCGGGTTTTTACAAATATGAAAACCTCAACAAATTTATGGAAAGCCCTGATCAAGCAGAACAGGTACTACAGTGGAGTTCCAGCTCAGTAATCATCATATCCAGCCACTTCTGCCCCTTCTAGATTGAAGATGTTCCAATTATGCCTGTTCAAAAAGCCTTCCAGGGCTAGAAATAGATTAAAGATCTGCCAAACTCGAATGTTGGTATCGATTTACAGCTGAAACTTGACAGTTAAAGGGGTTGATAGTCCAATCCAGCACAGACATACCCAGTCCAGCCCGAATCAGAAGCATCTATCCATTTAGAAATTGAAGTCCAACGCTCTTTTTGTCTTTTTCAGAGTTGGTCTTTCCTTTTTGAGCTTTGTAAAAGGCAGTTTTGCCTAAACACAGTTCACTTTCTTATCATTCATTCTAGCCAGAACTACCAGTCTTGTACTGTGAAAAATTGTGAAGTCCTCACCGAGATGGCATTGAGATGGTCATGAATGGTGGCACTGTCATGGGTGGCGGCACCGGCACCTAGGCCTTGCGGTTGCATGACGGAGGAGGCCACGGGGCTGCGTGGATGCGCTGCAATTTCAGCAGCCACATAGCACAGCTGCTGCTGCGTTCCGGTTGCTATAGCAGTTATTTGGAGAGGTTGCGTAGCTGCCAGAGGTGGCTGGACAGCATGGGCAGCCATGAGGGGCTGCTGGAACCCACTGGGAAGCTGCTGGAACGCGCTGGCAGCCATGGGAGGCTGCTGGAATTCTCCGGGAAGCTGTTGGAACGCGCTGGCAGCCATGGGAGGCTGCTGGAACTCGCTGGGAAGCTGCTGGAATGCGCTGGCAGCCATGGGAGGCTGCTGAAACTGGCCGGGGAGCTGCTGGAACAAGCTGGCAGCTATGGGAGGCTGCTGCATCTCGCCGGAAAGCTGCTGGAATGTGCTGGCAGCGATGAGAGGTTGCTGCAAATCGTTGGCAGCAGCTGTACCTCGTGGTGGCAGCGAGGCTTCGGCCGTTCCAGAGTGTGCCATAGCGGTGGTTTTGCTCCTAAGGCGTTTGCTTCCAACCATGGTTGTTTGGAAGGCTTCGGTGGATTGAAAAAATAGGTTTGGAGCACGCTTTGAGTATATCTCGTGCTCTCAATGAAAGCACCAATTTGTGGGAGCGATTTTCGTCCCACTAGAATATTCGCCTAAGATTCATTCGTCTTCTCCGCTTCTATTTCTCTCTGCAAAACAAATCAAAGTAAAAGGACCACACCCGGGGAGTGTTGCCCAAAGGCCCTCCGATGCCTAAGTTAGGTATGGTGTTTCAAGGGAAACCGGGTGGCCGAAGCCGTATGTGGTGGCCGGAGCCTTGTGTGAGAGAGAGAGAAAGAATACGGCGGCTAGAGTTTGTGAGGGATAACTTATGCATAATAGAACAAAGATTACCCTTCCTTCTTTGCCTCCTCTTTCTCCCTGTAAAATAGAACAAATGAGAGGGCCACACCTGAGGGGTGTTGGCCAAAGGCCCCCCGATGCCTAAATTAGTTCAAGAGTTTGTAAGAAAAACACTAGCTAATTAGGGTACGGAGATGTGTTTAAGGTGTAAATCGGGCGGCCGGAGGCTTAAAGGAGGTGGCTAGGGTTTGAGATGAATTTTCTGCAGAGTTTCAGTAGAGATTCAGACATAACTCAACCCTTATGTGTGGCCATCTTTTTATAGTGGTCTTGGAGGCTAGGGTTTCAGAGGAATAATTCCGTAAATGGAAAGGAATTATTCCTCCCCAATTTGGAATTGATTTGATTAATTAGGGATTTGATTTATTAGGGTAAATCAAATCCCTAATTGTGGTAGGTATCAAATCAATTCCTAATTTAATTAGGTAACTCCTCATTTAATTGGGAATTGTGGTAGGAATCAAATCAATTCTCAACCTAATTAGGTAACATTCCATTTAATTGGGTAATCCCCAATTAAATTGAGTAACTCCCAATTAGGTTGAATAATTCCCAATTAGGTCAAATAATCCCCAAATGGAAGGAATCTTTTGACCTAGGGTCCGATTTAATTAGGTTCCCACACTATCCGCATCAGTTTTGGAGAGCAGAGCCAATCTCCTTAAAGTTCCTATCAATTAAAACGAACTCATCACTCAAACTAAAGCAAAAGTTCCTATAATTACACTGTTTTTAACTTTTTGATATCCAAATTGAGTCTCCATGAGAGCTGTGTTGACTTTAGTCACAAGTTGTGTTCTAGCAGCAGAAGCTAGAAAGACAATCAGCTAAAAGAAAGAACCCACAACAAGTCTGACATAAGAAATATCCCACAGCAATTTAGTCACCAATCATGCTTTTAATGAACATAAAAACCTGGCAAACAAAGAATTGAAATGTTCTGCTCTCAACACAATAATCACATTACCTCTTCTTTCTCTTAGTAGGACTCTGCATCGCTCTTGTCAAGTAAGAGGAGGCTCTCTTTATAAAAATGACCAGTACAATATTTATATCCAGAAATCCCAAGAAGTTTAAACTGTTTGATCACAAGGTCTAGTGATACTAGTTCCTGCCTCTCTTTTTCTTTGAGCAGTAACAGCACTTCCCCACTCTTCCTAAAACATAATCCAAACCCTAATAATCTACTAAATTGGGGAAAATTGAAAACAACTAAGAATTCAAACCAAATATATATAAATTTACCTTAGAATGAACCAGAGCCCTCCATAATTGCAAGGGTTCGCTCCAAAAACCAATGAAATTGGATGATGTTTGGTTAGGTTTGGAGAGAGAGAATGAGTCTCTCGACTCTAAGAGACTTAAAGAGGAGAGAGAGAGAGAGAGAGAGAGCATGATAGAGACCAGTCGAGAAAGAGACAGAGACAGAGAAAGCGTGCGATAGAGACGGCGGCCGATGAGGTTAGGGTTAGTCTTAGATCTAAGGTTGATTTTTTTCGTGTGTGAGTGAGAGAGAGATACGGAGTGAGAGAGTCTAAGAGGGTTACTGAAAAAATAAAAAATTGAGAAAGGTTCTAATATAGTGCAAGCAGACCCACCCAAAGTTCTTATTTAAGCCAATCAGACAACGCCATGTGTCAAATGCATATATAATTAAATAGGAAAATGCTAGAGGCACCAACTCTCTAATATAGCGTGACTTTTTCTTCAAAAAAACTTTATTTTTCGATTTGGTTTGGTTTGGTTCGGTCGGTTTGTTTGGTTTGTTCGGTTTATCGGTTTTTATGCCCACCCCCTACCTTCAACACTCTTTTTCCCCTGTCTAATAAATCAGGTCAGAGACATGTTTAAACTATAGAAATAGGGGGGAGAAAAAAATGACGATTTTCTGAACCCGAAGCCTTAACCGAAGTCATCGGTTTGGTTTAGGTCCAGCGTTGACTTTTTCGATTTGGTCAAAAAAACTTTATTTTTCAATTTGGTTTGGTTTGGTTCGGTCGGTTTGTTCGGTTTATAGGTTTTTATGTCCACCCCTACCTTCAACACTCTTTTTTCCCTGTCTAAGAAATCAGGTCAGAGACACATTTAAACTATAGAAATAGGGGGGAGAAAAAAATGAGGATTTTCTGCCGAACATACTAGAAAATAGTCAGACAAAGGAAGCACCTATTACAGCATAACAAGGAAACGATATGTGCTGCTCCAATGGATGGATAAGATAACAAGTAAATCTGATGTGCATGAGGGTAAGAATAATAATCAGCCACTGGGCACCAAGACGTGTCACAGGAAGCATAAACCACCGCAAAGCATTGCAGGAGGTGGCATGCCATCTGAACCCAGCCCCAACGTAATGAATAAGTTTCCAGAAATCAGAAGAGAAGAAGTAAGAAACAGAGTACTGGATAAATCACTAAGACCTTGTTAATAAAATACTAAAGACCCAAATAATTATTAAATTAAAACTAGCTGACTCATAGTCTACCATCGTTGCATAGAGGCAAAAGCCAAACCTGCAGGAACTAACAATCCTATTACATATATATAACAGCCAGCCACGTCCCAGTCCGTAGAATTTTCATACCTGCCCGCTTTCGCGCTCCCTCTCTTTCCACTGTCCTGCGCCTTCTCTCTCTCTCTCTCTCTCTCTCATTCCAGCCTCCCACCAACATCTAACCTTCAAGAACCTCTCTATGCCCTGCCCCATCTCTCTCTCTCTCTCTCAGTCAGCCTCCCTAACAATCCTATTTAGATCACTTTCCTTATCTCATGAATCCATGGACTTGTCAAATAGGTTAACGGTCACGTTTGGGCCGTTACCTGAGTTGACATACTTGCCCTTAAGTGTTAACCTAAATGGTTGGTTTAAACTAAGTTTTCATGAAATATTTCATCTAATGATTGGCTTTCATGGCATACTTCTAACATCGAGTCCTAACATCTGTGTTGTGTGTGTGAATTTAGTGTATTATCGTATTTCTAATAATAAGGAAAGTCGTCCTAAAAAAAAAAAAAAAAAAAAAAAAAAAAAAAACAAATATATTTGCCGTCTAGTTATGTCACGTGATAAAACAAACTTATATTGAGTCTTATTGAAAAAAAAACACTTAATTTTAGCCCCTTAATTTATTTTCAAATACTCTACACATCATAACATTCTGGCACAATTGTTGATCTTAATAAGAAAATTACAAACTTATGAAAGAATCTGTCATCTTGTACTAATAGGCAGCGCCCTCAACCAACTTGCTCAACTTTTTGGTCCTCAATCGCTCGGTATGCACCTCACTCCCATGGTATTCATACCTGCATGCAACAAAGGACACCAATCAACCTCAAAACGTTGTCATTTTACCTCCATCAAAATTACTTATGTTCCTACTCCTGCATGATCAAATACTTGATAGTATAGTTCTTATTCATACCTTGGTGGCAATGATATCAAAGGGCTTAAGCTCTCGGCAAGCTTAACAGCTTCATCCTCAGTATTCACAATTCTATTAAAGCAGAAGTACCTCCCGCATGCGGACTCATCCTCCAGAGCTCGAATATGAATATCGGCTAGAAAGTTCACGTCGACGAATGCAAGCACCCCGTTTTCGTACATTTGAGCCGCTCCTGTAACATGAAATCATGGTTCAAGCGAATTAAGAGGTTGAGATAAGCCTTGGTGTCTCTAGTATTATTGTGCTACCAACTTACGAATACAACGGTTGTGTTAATTGATGTTAATTATTAATTAATTACCATTAAGATAAGACATAGTTGTCCGAGGGTTCTGTTGGGCGACACTAGGCCCAAGGACAAGTCCAGAATTTATGGAAACCATCTTGAGCATCCGGTCCATGGATAAAGCCCAAGCAGCCTGTTCAGAGAGTGTCTTTGCCAGGGCATACCACAACTACAGACAAAAAGAAAATACGCAATGTCAGTAAAATATAATTCTGAGAAAACTTGTATAATTTGGTAATTAATTGGTTTTTCGTTAGAGGGAGAAATGTTGTTCACCCAATCTACATACTTTTAGCACTCATTTAAAAATAATAATAATAATAACAGATTGGTCATAACAATCCTTCAAATATTTCAAAAATACCAAAAAAATCCTAACCTTTTGAATATATATTATAGCCACCCAGCCATGTTCTAGTTATTATCTAGTAATATTTCTCTTCTCAATACTGAAAGAAATCCATATTCAAATTCTTCTCCGCCATTAACAAAAATAAATAAACAATCAAAACCAAAAGTGATGTCTAGCCAGACAAAGAAATAAATATGAAGATAGAGGCCAAAACCTTCAATTTCCTGCAAAATTCCTGATCACTCCATGATTTCTCATCCACATCCTTCTCAGAACAAATGTCCTCTCTCCAAATTGCTGCAGTCAAAGAAGAAGTGAACACAATCTTCTCCACAGTCTCTGTCTGAGCACATGCTTCCACAACATTAATTGCTCCTCTCACCTCCGAATCCACCATTTTTTCCTAACCAGTCCATAAAAATGGAGTTAGTATAATCAAAGTAAATTTAAAAAATACTTATAAATATGAGTTTCACCAAAATTACAACTCACTTCATATCCATCTGAACTATCTAAACAGCAGAACATAGCAGAGCAACCCTTCAAAGCCAAAAGAACGCTATGGTAGTCCAAAACATCCACAACAAACACTTCCAATCGCTCTTCTACTTTCTCCATCTCCCTAATTCTCTTCTGAATTTCTGTTTCCCCTGCATCAAACCCTATATCAAATAACTCGGATTCTCATATAACCTAAACCTCAAGAAAGAAAAAGCTTACCATTATTCTGGATGGCTGCGTGGACTGTGAAACCTCTACCAAGCAATCCTTTGAGAATCCAGAAGCCCACGTAGGTTGAAGCATCAAGAACACAAACGACGGGTTTTTCGCTGTCCATTCACGCTCTTTCGGTTTTTGTTTTCGTTTCAAGTTGTGGCTTCCCTACCATCTCTGCTCTTATATAAGTTGTGAGAGGGATTCAAGGTGAGATAGGCATCAATGGAGGAAGAGGTTGGTGAACTATTTGTTACACGTTCCCATCTACTCACCATCTTATGTTGTCAAGACCCTTTTAGCTTTACCGCATGCTCCTTATTTTTATATTTTTCTTCCTTTGCTGCTTCATACCAATTCAATTCGAGTGAATTCAAATACCAATTATAATAATCAACTTTATTAATAATGTCATATGGACCAATTTTTTTTTTATACAAGCGATAATTTACTTTAATATAATCTAACTCATTGCATAATTTTGACCCAAAAAATAAAACTCATCGTCTAACTCATTGCATTAATTAACAACTTACCTTAATATTGATTGACTTTGTACCGTATTAATTGATATAATAAGTACACATCGTATGTTACCCATGCGTTTAGTTAGTATGATTAATAATGTGTTCTGTTTACGAACAAGCTCTTTCTTCTCAATATTAGAAGAGATCCAAAGTTTAATTGTCCCCTCCTACATTGATTAGAGAGGAGTAATTTGTATTGAAACCCTTTTTTGGTTTAGTCTAGGTGGTGAAAGATGGGTTGATTTATGATAGGTTAAGGGTTTCATCAATTCTAATGTAATATAATAATTAAAAAAAAACAGTCAATCACAATAGTTGGAGTGTATGAAGCGTGATTACTCTCTTTTAAAAATTGTTAAAACAATCAATGCCGCATGAATTAACATGAGCCCTACCATATGGACAATATATAATTTATAGGAATCCTAAATTTCTAGCTATAAGGAGAGATGAAAAATCACCTATATAGCATCATTTTGACATCCATGATCAGGGACGGACCCTAGCATTTGCCTAACATGGACTATAACTCAAGTGATTTTTTTTTATTCGGCCCAAAATAACATACCCCAGCTCACCTGAGCTTCCCCATTCATGCCTCCCCCTTCATGCATAACCCCTATTTATAGTAGATTTGTACGTTAGTTCATTAGACGGACGAATGAGCCAATAACACAACTATTCGTAACTCTATAATTGTTTTTGCCAAATTTATAAAGGTAGGGACCACCGTTATAGACCTCAAGCACCAGGATGCCAAAACATAACAGGAAAAAAAAAAACCCTTCTTTATAGTAGATTTGTATGTAAGTTAATTAGACGGACGAATGGGCCAATAACACAACTATTCGTAACTCTATAATTGCTTTTGCCAAATTTATAAAGGTAGGGACCACCGTCATAGACCTCAAGCACCAGGATGCCAAACCATAACGGGGAGGGAAGAAAAAAAAACTGTAATTCGCGGTTTCCATTGATTCAGGTAATAAGGAAGAAGGGTAGGTTGCACAAGTGCCCAAAATCTCTCTCATGCATGTGTTTAGTTGTTGTACAACTCCAATTCCTAACGCTACATATGCTTGCTTGTGCCGTAATCCGATAATTAGGAGAAGTGTTGGAATCCCCAAAACTATCCAATGTAGGTGGACCACGTGGCATGCTTTTTAGCTTGCTTCCGTTTTGTCACCAACCAACCAAGGCAGGGCACGTCATATATGAGCACAAGGCTTAGGCTGCTAGGCAGGCATTGTGGGATTCGTAGGTTGAATTGAATGGCAAAGGTGCCATTTTCATTATTGAACAGGAGATTTGGCAGCTGCCAGTCAGTAGCAATTAGCTATAGGGTAACCAAGGAAAAATACACTTAAAAAAAGAGGAGAAAGAAGGACAAATGAAATATAATTCTTCAGAAGAATTTCCACGAAAGAATGACAGAGGTGGACAAGATTCATAATCATAATTAAATGTTTAGTGGCCTAAAAACAACGTGATTGGATTATTTATAATCCTAACTAGGACATATAATGGCATATTTTAGTTAAACCGGTCCTTTAATCACATATAAAAAGAAAAAAATTGCATCAAAAGATTAGTGTTATTCTTTCCCATTACCTAATAATTTAACTCAATCTCAATCATCAAACATGACATAATTGTAGAAAGAATCATTCTTACTTATGTACAAATTACAGTTTGATACATTTCAAAAACTTAGATTTGTCTAAAAGGATTAATGACTCTTATAGGAAGGAGCCAGGTATTATCCTGACGCAGCCTCATTGACATTTACATTTGAGGTATTGACCAATTAGTAAATTAATTGTACATGCAAAGACTCTAATAAGAATTTTTGATAAATGACCTTTCAATCACATCAACAAATTAGCTGCTTGCAACAACAGAACTGGTTCTATTCTATGTTTTAAAAGGGAACACGTACCAGAAGACTGGTTGTGTTACAAAATAGGGCACGTAACTCAACAGTTGTGTAGTCGTTCAAGTTATCTAGAACCATGTAGAAGAAAAATAATAATAATAATAATAATAATAATAATAATAACAACAATAAGAAATAAATTGGCGAAAGGAATGTTAAGTTGGAAACTTTCAAACTATTCCCGTTTCATGAAAGTCTTTCTCATAAGCAAAGCCTTCAAGGAGACATCAATTTCAAGCCAAGCAAACGTGTGTGGAATCACTAGGCAATATTTAGAAATCTGATTGATTAAGAAACCCAAAAATGGACAATAATGGTTTTACTTAAACAGAAAAAGCATTTCGTCTTGTAAGTTTTGGTCACCGACAATCAACCACAATCAACCAGTAAAAAAAAGGTCGTTTGTGCTGGTATTTGTTCATGTTATTAATAAAGCTGGATTTTAATTCTCTCCCCAACAACACATTACCAACATATTACCATACTTAATATGTGGTAAATTAAGGAAACCTGAAAGAAGCATACTATAAATTCAGAATTTGAATCATACTATAATTCCATGAAATAAGAGGGTTAATTACAATTTTAGTCACTGGGGTTTGGCTCGAAATCAATTCTAGTCACCGTGACTTCAATTTTCCCGATTTCCTTACTGTACTTGAAGTCGTTAACAAATCAAGTCCAAGCCTTCATTTCCGTCAGTTTGACAGGAGCTTTATTGTCCTTTTGTCCCAACCCACCATCAGAAGCTCTGTAAAAGCTCATTTCCTAGTCTAAAAGCTTAGAATCTGAGAGCAACAGTATGAGAGCGATGCACAAAAAGGAAACGCGTTCCATGTAAAATTTTATAAAAGCAATGCAAACAATTAGTCAAAAACCATTCCAGTAGCAGAATCACCAGAGGTAGGTTAATTGTATATAGAACAAAATTCATGCACTCCATTATAAACCTTACACAGCCCATTGACAAAAATCGCAGCCAACAAAACCAAACACATGACCAACAAAGACGCTAACTTTTTTGGGAAAGAGGGCTCCACCGGCCCCTCAAACCCCTCCGCCGGTCCGCAATCGCCATGATCACCCCTCTCAACTTCACATAAGTTTTTTTTTTTTTTTTTTTTTTTTTTTTTTTTTTTTGTTTTTTTTTTTTTTTTTTTTTATATTATTTTTCTTTTTTTTTTATTTATCTTTTAATTTTTTGGATTCGGTTTTTGGCAGTTCAGTAGTAAGAATGAAAGAGACTTGAAAGCTTGATATGCTTACAAGTTACAAAGAATGTTCCTAAAAACTGTCAGAATTATAGTACCAGAGCATACTATGTTGACTTCTGATGAACATGAAACCTGCACTAGCCATGTTGGGAGATGAACACAGCAGAAACTGCACGATAAGTGATGACCCATCCATGACGATGTTGAGAGATAATATTTATTCATTTTTGAATAAGCTCGACGAAACCTGAAAAAAGGAGGGTGCTGTCAGAACACACAGGATACAGTGGGCAGATATATCACGAGGTTTTAATCTAATAGCTTAGCATAATGGTGGCTTTAGAAACAATGATGGAATCATATCACATTTCATTGTCAAGTACATAACAAAACCTTGAAATTCACTACTCCATCGACCAGACTGGTTAAGAAAGCAAAATCGAAAAACTCAACCCACGTTCTTCGTCTTCTTGTGCTTCTTCTCCAGAAAAAAAATTTACGGTCAAACTTCGAATTGGTGCATAATCTTCAAAAGGCGGACAAACAAGTACCCAAACTCAAATAAAACCTACACCCCTTCTTCATCCAGACCGTCAGTGTCAAAGAAACACATAAATACCAACAACCCACTACCAGTAATGAAACCCAAACAGCTTTCAGAAATCAAACACTCAAACCCACCTAAGTCATTCCAACCAAACCCACCAAAATCAAACACTCGTTTCCAGAACCAGAAATCGAATGCATATCCTTTGAAGAAAAAAAACCCAAATCACCCTTCCTACAAATTTCGCCTACTTCATTGTGGGAATCAGAACCCTAACCCTTCATACTAACTTGTTTGTCCATCTTCCGAAGATCACGTACCAGTTTAAAATGTAGTGACCATCCCACTTTAATCTCAGACCATCCCACTTTATATAACTGGAAGTATTGCCAGATATCTTAAGTTTAGGTGTCTTATGTGAGAACATACTGAGGATAAGGAAACTGAAAAGTCTATCACAGTATCCGTGACTACATCACAAGGAAATTGAGATTCTCAAAGGCTCCAAAAGCAGAGCTTCAAAAAGCATAGCCAGAGCAGCACATTATTTCCTACAATTGGAAATCGAAAAAAGGGAAAAAAACAGAATAGACATTGCAAACATAGGCAATGTGAAACAGGATGGTGGGTAATAAAATTTGAAAGAGGCATGCCTTTGAAAGTTCAGCAAGCATGTGTCATGCAAAGAGATTGCTATCTCTGGCACTTTATCAATATATGCAAAGGTTCAACAAGAAACGAAGACAGATTCCCTATAATTCCCATCAGTCTTGAAACCACAATATTCAAAATTTCCAATTGCTGTGGGTCCTACCACGAACAAATGCAAAAAATCTCATGTGCTAACAAAGGGGCATCATAACGATATACAAGTTCTATGATTAGCACAGATTGAATTGGCTTCGGTTGTTTTAAACGAATATAACTAAAAGGAAAACAAACACAAATGCTTGTACAGTGACTTTAAATTTATCAATCCAGCATAATATGGAATCAGTGGGTCCCTGGCCGATTTTTCTTTCTTTCCTTTCCTTTGATATTAAATCAATATTAGAAAAAATAAATAAAAACATTTGTTATGTGACTAAGGTACAAGAGCAATGACATAGGAAAATTTCAAGAATCAGATCTACTCAATTCTTACTACAGGCATCTCACACCAAGGAGCATGATTTTATAACAAATGCTGTAGTTTATTATCCACATATTATTTAAATAAGCAGAGTGAGACATACCTTCACATGATGTGGCATAATCTTAATATCAAAGGGTACATGAAGCCATGCTTCAGATGGATAGAGCAAAAAATTCTCTGGCTTACTGGTATAGACATCTGCATATTGATGAATATGATACGCGAAAGCAGATTCTTGACCTCTATCAGTAAGGAAGGTGGCTCCAAAAGACTTATTAAACATTCTCTTCATCTTATGACCTGACTTGTGCCTCCAGTCATTTAACTCCTCCAACAGTGATGTGTAGGCTTCACTTTTCTGGCTATTAGCTACAGTAGCATGCAATCTACCAAGCAATTCTTGTACTATATGAAATTTCGCCTGCTCCCAGAAAGAAGTTTCAGAAGCATGAAAAAGACATCACAAATTTGAATAGTAGGAATTCAGTTATGCGCTTGGAGAATTTTAACCATTGTGCAATGTAGGTTGAACCCATCACCTGAATCCACATTGTAATCCATGGTTAAAATCCACAATCCTCACAGGAGAATTCCCCTTTGAATTGATGTGTGAGAGAGAGAGACAGAGAGACAGAGAGACTTCCAAGAAAGTTCTTATGTAAAAATTAACATAATTAAGAACTCAAGGCAAAAGTACTCCAAAGATGATAAGATAATGTATACAGTCATTAAGTAGTTTATGCATGCCAACATCAAGAAGAAATGAATTATAACAAAACCAACCAACAGAAAAAAAAAAATAATTAATATGATAACTTTGCATAATAATACCTGTTCCAAGCGGTAAGCATCCTCATTTTGTATAAGAATTTCATCCTGCAAAGCACAAAGGACCTTTGAACTAACCAAAAAGAAATACTCTGGAAGTATAATGCAACACTCATAAGTATAACAAAGACATACTTCTAGTTCGTGGATTATAGCAGCAGTGCGCCAACCAGCTTTTGCAGGCCCCCTAAGGTCGCTAAATAGGTGATCTCCAAAGTATATCACCTACCAAAGGGGCGTAGGTGATCAATGACATGCAAAAGTGTATGAGCTATATGAAATAAATTTGAAAACAAATCATATGAAATTAAAGCACCTCTGGTCCCTTCCATTTAGTAATTTGAAGGAAGGATTTAAGGCATCCATGGTAATATATTTTATTAGGAAGAAATGCATCCACCTTCGTGAAAGCTAAAGTGTCCTTCTCTGCGTCATAGCAACTGCATGGAAGTTCCAGAAATCAAGGTGCAGGCCAAGACACCATACAAGATATTAGCTTATCTTATTTCTTAGGTGATTAAGAGAATGAAACTTATTTAAGAAAAAAAAAAGACACCACTGAAAACAGTTTGAATACAAGGAAACAAGACAGAGCATCATGTCCAATCTGTTATCACACATGCGAAAAATTAAGGAAAAGAAGAATAATTTTGCAAGTTGAAGATACAAACCGGAAGGGATGCTCAGATGTGTAGAAATCTGGCTTATTAGCTTTAGCAATCACAACATCAAAAAGTTCCCTCCAGGAGTCTCTGAAATCCGTGGAATCCTACGAAAATGTCACAATCAACTCAGGAAACTTAAAACCCAAACCATAAACTTAAGTCTAGGTGACAACAATAGCAAGTTAGCCAAAACATTCACGGACACAAAACATCTCTTATGTTAGCATCCACTTTTTCACAAATTACGAAACCATTCCAATTGGTCTGAAAGGGGCTTCAGTTGTGAGACTGAAGCTGTTAAAAGTGGTGATGGTAGAATTCACAGTTAGTTGGCTTACCTCCAACATAAACCTCATTCCTCCATCCACAAAGTAATATGGAGAGTTAGTCAACAGGAATAGTTTCTTTCCCTTCTCCCTGAGCATCTTGAGAAAGTGCAACAGCTGACCCTAATAAATATTAACCCACATAAGGATGAGCCATCACCTCAAGAATAATAATGAGATCAAACTAGACAATTGGACTAGATGTACAGCCAGAAATATCAGTATAAGTTATAGAATATACTCAAAAAATGTGGAAGGGCTTACATTTTTTACGAGATATTTATGGGGGTCAGAAAGAATTCCTCTATGAGCCACACCACTACGGTGAACATGCTGAATTGCACGATTTACATCTTGATAGATGTAGCAAGCATCAAATTCCAACTTAGCATCAACAAAATATTGCACGATATCTGCAATGAGGCATGCCTACATAGTAACAATTGAAACAAAACATTGATGGGTTAGAAGGAAACAAACATATTCCTACAACTTCTGACAAAAGAATTGTTCAGAACTAAATTATGTGTAAAACGGAAGCTGAAAGTATAGACAGCTAGCTTCTTCACTGGCCTGTTACCTTAAAACTTTTGCACAAACTTCTTAGGAAGCTAATGTGTTGAAGGTAATTCCAAAGTTGTGCATTTCTTTCTTGTGGAAAAAAGTATTTAGCATTTTTGGAGTGGGCAAAAGAGCAAAACTGTTGTAGAACTATTGTTTGATGGCCACTGCCTGGGTGGAAAGAAACAAAAGGATTTTCGAAAATTATGGGGAGTGAGGAAGTGCAGGGTTTGTAGGACAGAGTACAATTTTAGGACATCATTGTGGGGCTCAATTTCATCGGTATTTACGGTTAAGCCATTCTCTCTATCATGCAAATAGAATGTGGAGGTATCTAAATTTTCATTCGCAATTGACTCAGCTTCTATGTAATGTATTTCAGTTTTATGGGCAGGTTTTGTTGTTCTAGATGCGGTTTGGTTTAGGATTGAATATGCGCCACAGGGGATAGCTTGCCCTCTAAGTTTCTACTTCTAATATTCGTCTTTCTCACCAAAAAGGGGAAAAAACAGTAAGTGCCTTGTCCCAACTCCTTTCACAAGCCCATAACAATGTCCGTATCCCATAACGACCAAAGAAACACTAACATTTATACAGTTCACCCACATAACTTGCCCAATTTACAAAATTTATTTTATATTTTTCAAAACATGCCCATGCTAACATGTCTCTTATATAAATGTTCCAATGCCCGAATGTTGAGATCAGCCCATACATGCATCAATTTCTTCTTCTATCACAAGTTTGGGGAAATGTGACAGTTAAATAACTAACCTCGCTAAAGCAGAAGAAATCCATCAATCCAACAAGTCTTCGGGCTTGATCACGACCAATATGCCTTGTGCCATATATCTCTTCTATTTCCTTCCTGCTAAGCTGCATTTCATTCAAAAGAGAGAATAACAAATCTATAAGAAAGAAAGAAAAGTTTGCCAAAATCTATTGAAGTCTTTTTAGTTCACAGAGCACTGCAAGAAGTTTTTTGTCAAATTGGGCAAAGCCTACACTGTTACTTGTATGTTATAAATAAAAATAACCAAAGTCCCATCATTCATATCATATAACATGTCGACTAAGTAGTTTCCATGTTTCGGAAGAAGAGAGGTATCATTATCTTTTAATTACAGAAAATTAACTGCTACAGAGGAGGTAGGAGGCTGTGCATCATATCTTGGGGAGGGGGAGCTCAAAGAAAAATTCAAAAGCAAAATATATTCAATAAATTTGAAATTAGAATATACATGAGGGAATATTTGAAGTTAGGGAATCTTAAAAGGAGAAAAGACCAGTTTGGATGAAGAATGGTCTCATGGAAGTTAGAGTCTGGACAAGCTTTCCATTTACAGTCTCTACTGAATTTCCTTCATGACTGCTTAAAAGTTTTACTCAAACAGTCTATGACTGCTTAAAAGTTTTACTTAAACAGTCTATATTGACTATACAATCCATGACCGTTTTACCTGCAATTCATCCCTTTAAATATTTAGTCCTCCTCTGAGTACCCAAACAAGAGGATTTGGGCTTTTTTCCTTCCAATTACCAAAAAATTTCTAGGAATTATGAATCTCCTGGCCTTGTCTACTCATCGCATCCATGCTTTCCTGCTGAGCTAATATGAAACTCTAGATCCCTTGAAGCACCATGAGAATCAGCTTAGACTCAGACCTAAAACAGTTAAAGCATGTGATCTCTCACAGAAGGTAAAAGGTCAAAGCTCATCTCCCATATTACTTCATTATCCCAGCAACATGCCCCATAGGATTCTGCATGACAACTGTAGTCACTTTCCTAAATATTGTCTTTTACTGCTTGTGGGACAAAAATTAAATAAATGAATAGATTGCTTATTACTAAAATCTAACAAAATAACATGGATATACAAGTATCTTTTAAATACAAAAAATAATAATCATACCATCTAACTTTCTTGTGACCCAGTTCAAAGCGCCAATCTTTCTAAATTGTCTCCCTCATAGCCCAAAGCTTCAAAAGGCATGATTTTTCTCTGTTTTATATGATGTGGATGCTTAAGACATTGCATGATTTTCAGATTTACCATGAAAGACTATTGTTATTTCTTACCTTCCTCAAAATTCTCACATCTCAGCTCTTTTTCTTTTTATCTGGAACCAACAGACCTACATTTTAAGCTGTCTATAACCTAGGGCCTAGGCACAAGTATAAAGAAAATACCTCCATAAAACCTCAGTTCCAGAAAGCATTTGGCCATAATTAAAACATATAAGCCAAAAATGATTAGGTGTAAAGTACCTTACGACGACCATAGTAGCATCCATCTGACTCAATTGACCCAAAAAAATCCAACTTCAAGAGACACCCTTTTAGCTTATCATAGTACAATCCTCTGATTGGAAAAGTCGGATCGTACTTAAATTCCATGCAAATTTCAGGATAATGAAACTGAAACAACCACAAACGAATATATCAAATTACACAAGGCTTACATGTAAAGGATAGCCCCATGAAATTATATCAGCATCGCTTAAATGGGTGTAAACTAACCTCATTTACCATATGCTCCTTTGCAAGATCATATATCAAGCTCTGTAAATTGGATGAGTAATGAGCCAGTGTGTAGTCATAGTCGAATCCATAAACTTGAATACTGTCCAATCTCAGGTTTTTATTTACATATATCCCTAATTTCAATATAAGAAAATAATCAATATCACAATTATCATGACTAATGAAGCTTAACTGAGAACCAGGAATACACTGGCAAACCTTCCGGATTCATTTTAGGCATTGCTTTAAGTGCCTCTGGAACCCTGAGGAAACTCTGCTTCGCGGCATCAAATTCACGTCGAATTTGTGCCATCTTATCATCAAGAACTAAAGTATCAGCTCCAGCTCGAGCCTCTGCATCTTCCAATTTCAACAGAATTTGCTCCGGCGAAGCAATTCCACCGTAGCTTCGAAAACCTAAATTTAAGTAAATAGAACAACTGTAATCGTCCATAATGATCAATACACACACTTACAACATATTAGATGCACTCCAATACAATTCTCATTCTGTACACCACTAATTACGTATTTAAAATTTCCAAATATAAAATATATATTCAATACACATTGTTGCACATATTTGTAGCCCTACATTCAACACAGAAAGAGACAGACAGACAGACAGAGACAGACAGACAGAGAGAAGCAGAAAACCTTGTACAACTCCAGAACCAGAAGATGAAAAGGTCGTCCTCTGCAACAAATCAGAAACAAACAAGATTAGAGAAGAAGAGCAAACATAAACATGCATATATCCGCGTGAGAGAGAGAGAGAGAGAGAGAGAGAGAGAGAGAGAGTTACGTTGATGGAAGAGCAGAGAGGAAACAGCCTACGAAAGCAGGCCATGGGAAGAGAGGGATTTTAGCTCTGCATTCGAAGTTAGGGATTTTATTTTTTCTCTCTGTTGTAGAAAATGGAATTGAAATGAAAGCCCAAGTAGGAAGGAGATTGCAAAGAAATGATGATTTCTTTCTTGCTATGCGAAAATAAAGGACTGCCAGTACCTGGTGGCCGCCATTTTAACATTAGACCTTCAGCAAATCCAGGTCAAATTATTATTATATTATTGTTATTTTTTTTCATATATCCAGCTCAAATTGTTGACCACAGGCTGAAAGTGATTTCCCTTTTCAGAATTAAAAAAGTTCTTTTTTTTTGTTGTTGGATTACATTTTTGTCACATTTTTATTTTATCAAATATAAACTTTCATTAGATAAATTTCAACATGTTAAAATCAAAACTAAAACGGACAAAAAACGCACTAAAACTACTAGCCCACATCCATCACAATTAACTATAAACCCAAACAAAGCTCATATACCCAATATAATTGAAACCCTAAAGCAACCCATGAGCCTAAACGACCAACACCACCTGGAGAAATTATACAATAGTACGGTACTACCACGTGGCACTTGCCAGGTGATAGTACGCACCTATAAGACGACGACATATGGACAACAATTTCAACAAGGATAATTAGCGTTTGTAAGCACCCGTCACCGCATCTATCACATATCTGAGGAAAATATAATTTATAGAGATCTACATGCGCATAAGAGCGAATAAATAAACGTAAACAACAACTTTCACAAAGAACAATTGAGTCATTTGCAGCAACCTTCGTCGAATACAATGTAGACCCAAGTTTAGAGAACATGAGCAGTGTTAAAGAACGGGTTTTGGGAGAATGATTTGTTTGAGAATACATAAAATAGGCAATGAGGAACTTCAATATGAGCATGACTCAGAAGAAATCACCATAAAGGGGACTTCTTATTCAAAATGCCTCAATGGACTTATTCACTAACCCAAAAGAAAAACCGAGGAGAAAGGAGGGGAGGATGGGCAATGACACTTCTTTATGCTTCCCCTCTATAGAGTTTTTCTTTGGGACTCACAAATGGAGAGAGCGGCTAGGGTGTTTTTTTCTTTATTCTAAATTTACATTTTTGTCACCTTAATTTGAGCAGTATCCTTTCATTCGAAAATACTTCCATCTTTTCTCCTATAAGTAAGAACTCCTAAATTCTTGCCAAGGACAGTATGACATGTATGTATAAGTTGTTTTTAATTTTTTTTTTGATAAATTATTTTTGTACACGTGTTCAATTGTGATTCACAAGAAGGAGACGAGTAGTATCCTTTCTCATTTTGGTTCATAATTTTGACAATTTTAATTAGGGATTTTTGTAGAAATGTCACCTAAATTTATACCTCAATTTCAATTTTTCACCTTAAAGAAAAATTTAAGAGAAATGTCACCTTAATTTTTCAAAATCCATGATTTGTCATCTAACTTTAACATCATCCAATTTTCCATCCATTTTTAAGGGTATTTTAGTCTTTCCATTTTTAAGGGTATTTTAAAAATGAAAAATCATTATATAAAAATTGTATATCTTTTAAACAAGAAAGGGGTTGGATTTTGAGTGGGAAGCTTAAGTAGTTTTAAATCAGGTATCTGAAAATTTTAGACATGCTTAATGAACACCATAAAAAAATTTATACATGCTTAGAGGGAGCGAGACAGAGAGAGAGAGGAGGGGGAGGGAGGAAGGGAGGGGTCTTGTGCGATGTGTTTTGGGGGCGAGTGGAGTTGGGGTGGGGGAGAAAGGGGGAGAGAGATGTCTCTTTTTTCTCTTTGTTTTTCTTTAAAAATGAAAAGACTAAAATACCCATAAAAATGTATAGGATGGTGTTAGTCAGATGACAAATCATGGATTTTGAAAAATTAAGGTAACATTTATCTCAAATTTTTCTTTAAAGTGACAAAATGACATTGAGGTATAAGTTCATGTAACATTTTTACAAAAATCCTAAAAGAAGTTGCTTTACTATATTAACGGGTAAACAAATGATTATGAAAAATCAAAGATTGAAGCAACTTTTTCCTTCTTTTATTCTTAAAATGGGTAAACAAATGATTTTGATGCAAATAATCATAAAGGAGTTGCTTTACTAACAGCAGAGTTAACATTTGGTTGTTTATCTTTAAACAAGGGTTTGATTTTGGGACCAAGATGACTCTTCCATGAATTAATTTTACCTTAACCATGTACAAAGATACAAATGACAAATCGAAATACAGGGACTGAGTTAGAAAATGATCAAAACTACAAGGACCAAAATTGTAATTTTGTCATGACCATCATAATTTCTTAAAAAAATATTACGAGTTAATTGAATCATGTATTAAGAACTTCAAGTGAATCTTAAGAGTTAAGGTAATCCTATAAGCTACATTAAAATGTTTCGTCTTCTTATTAAACAAAATGAATCGATGATGCACACATCAAGAGCGGATTGAAAAGTAATTAAAGCTTTCTTCTTGTGCAACTGCAGAAAATTTAGTATAAATTAGCCTTGCTTTTTCCTTCTTGATGCTACCTCTGAAGCCCATGCTTTGCCCAAATCAGTCTGAAACTTCCCTGCAGAAAAGAAAAGAAAAGAAAATGAGGCTCATCTTAAGTCCATCGCACAAGAAAATACACATGCTTTAGTGTGAGATGATAAGAATCTCGTACTCCAAGGAACTCATTCTCCTTGGGAGGATGAATTTTTAATTAACACAAAAATGCACATGGCACTTCATCTCATGTAATGAACACAGAAATCTGTTCAAGAAATTTGAGGAAAATGAAAGCAGGGGAAAAGAATTTGCATCCTGATGCAACTTAAGCTACAAGAGCCAGATGTATATACCAGCAGTTGACTGAAAAAACTCTTCTAAATCCTTTCCTTGATCTGCATAAATCCAAAGGTAAGCTCAGTCCAAAGTAAATTGTCAGAATACGAAGAATATCTTAGCCAGACATAGAATTCTGTCATTAGTGTACATGATAGATGACATGACTTTTTCTTCGGTCGTTACAGATAAAATGACTACACCCTTGTCATCTGTGTATTTATAGTTAAACAACATAGTGTCTTGACTCTGTAGCGAAGTGTGATTAAACAATTAGCAACATAATTGATACAGTAATTCAGAAATGATAAAATTAGGGTAGCGATTTTGACACTCCTCTTTTACCCATCTACACTCCAAATTGAATATTTTACAATTTTTTTCTGCAGCCACATATGTAGTGCATGAGGCTAAACATGGAATGTTAAAATCACTAGCCTAAAATGAATAGAGAAAATCCTCACCCTTTTCATATTCCAAGGCTTGAAGTATCATCTCGACCTGCATAGAAGGAAAAATTACAACAAACAATCCAATGAATACGTCATGCACTAAGAAGAAAATTGCACAACACAAGTAGGGCGACGCTATGAGGATTGGAAAAAATTGAGGGGAAAATGGGGATCAAAGTTTTCTTTTATATATTTATTTTTTATTTCATGTTCTAAAGTTTTTTTATTTTTCAATTTTTTTTTATCCACATATAAACCTAGTTGCCTGTGTGAGCAAATAATTGAGCCCACATGTTGAAAGAACGGTTAACGGATAACTAACAGTTGCAAGAACTGCAAACATTAGGGTCTACATTGCAATGTTTTGATAGTCAAGTAACAAAGTGAACTGACCCCTATATTTCAAGGGGGTAAATTATGTACTCTTTTCTCTAAATGAACTTCGAAATCATATTCTTAATTTTACTATTCAAAGACTGAAAATTTAAGACTATGGTAATTTTCAACATATTATCATTCATAATCCTTAATCCCAATACAGATAGTGCTGCATACATCTCTTCCAGACCACGTCAACAAAGATCATTGGCTGGCCAACTACACTTAATTTTACCATAATATGACTAGACACTAATTAAAAGTAGAATCAAAGTTCATTCATTTAACAAGAGTAAAAAAAATTCCATACCTTGTCTAGGTCCTTAACAATTTTAGCTTCTGGCGAGGAATTCCCCTCATACTCCATCCACAATTCACCTATCTCTTCTGCTGAAATACGAAAAGCAAATAAAGCAACCAAAATGTGAGAAATAATTACCAATTTCAGGTATAAGAATAATAAATGCACAATCCTGGGATGAACTAGTTTAAAACCTATTTTCCCTCCACCAAGTAATTTGCACATGTGGTCTAATGCCTCTTGCTCTCTTCGACTCTTCTCAGCCTTCGGAACCCCATCGGAGGGCGTTATGTCCCCAACAATGGCTATCCAAGAAATTATAAGGAAGCAAAAAATTACAACCTTAATAGCAATGATAAATCAGATTTCAAAAAACAATTGTTGTTTGAAAAATCAAGTTTCTGGGTTTTTTTAAAATTACAATCCAGATAGTCCCTCTAGCATATTGTGGATTTTTTTTAAAAATAATCCACACGGACTCTTGTCTATGTGTACTTCTGATACCATTCTGTTAGCATAACATGCTTACTCTGTGTAAGAGATACTTTATTTCTGCATACCATTTTTTGCTTACAATATTTCTACATTTTCATTTCCATTATCCAACTATCAAAGAAAAATGTACAGAGTTCAATTTTCGTTCACCTTCAGCAATATCATGAACAAGGGCGATTTTTATGCACCTGAAATTAAGTAAAACCAAATCTTAAAAAACACCCCGAGACCCATAAAAATAGAAATTGAAGTAATCGCAAAACTCAACTTGTCTCGATCGACACCGGGGATATCAGAAGCAATCAGAGCCATTAATCCCATTCGGTACATATGGTCAGCTATAGACTCTGGATCCCTTACATCTCTCTTCACCCATCCAGCTCGTTTCGTAGTCTAATTCCCAATAAGAACAAAACCACATTCAAAACCAAACAATCCAAAACCCATTCCCACAACCAAACACACAAAAAGAGCCATACACAAATTTGATTACCTTAAGGCGGTGACACAGCGAGAGAAAATCAATGGCAGAGGAAGCGGGGGCAGACGAAGAAGAAGAGGTTGCTTCGCGGTCTGCATTGGATGACGGTGATGACGAAGCCTCGGTGGCCATACGATGAACCCTGGAAGTGGAAGACGGTGACGAAATGGACTTGAATGAGAATCTTATCGGAGCGGAAGCGAGAAAGGGAGTTAGGAGGAGCGATTTACAGAACAGTCGGCTCATTCTGGTTTTTTTTTCTTTCGATTTTATTATATTTTTTATGTTTTCCGGAATTTTGTGATCAATTTTTGTTCGGTCCTTTTGGCGATCCTAGAGATTCGGTATATCCTGGTGATGGTGATTAGAGTGTGGGAATGATCTCGGCCGTACACGTCAGGAAAAAAAGGAGTACTTGTGGAAACATTCAATTTAAGGAAAGTAGTTTTCTTAAGTGGATAAAGAGTAGTTACCCATGCACTAACATATGATAACGGATCGGTTCGTAGTCAGGTATGGTAATATCATTTCGTCCCGCTTCCATCCGGGATAAGAATTTTGGGGCAAATCCGTTCCGAATCTCAATCACATTTAATTGACCTATAAAATTCAATGAAATTACTCATAATCATCCCAATTTAATTTAACAAAACTAAGTAAATATTATATTATTATATTATAACCATACATAGTTATATTATTTGCATATTACTTAAAATTAAATATATCACTTATCAAGCAGAGATGGAAATAACAGTACCATTTTGACTCGTACCCAACCAAGGATTTATAAAATTTGGGGATCCCCAAACTCACTTCCGGTTTTTCCCCGAAATATCAACATCATTAGGGTAGGAGATTTTTGTCATCCCTACATGCAGTTCCCCTTCCCTAATATCTCTGGTATAAAAAAAAGTGATTGATAGACCAATAGACTAATTTAGAAAGTATGTGTGTCTCGTTAAATGATATATCTTGGAAAAATATGGTAGATTCTTATTAGTTTTGAAACTAAAATTTTAAAACTATTTTTCAGTGCTTAGGATTTTTGATATAATGAAACATGTGATCTTTACGTACAGGAAAAATAGTTATATTTGTTAATAAGCATATGAAAACTCAGGTGATATTATTAGTGCTATATTTGTTATATGTCACCAACTAATTTATTTTGGTCGTTACCAACTTGTTTTAGCGACAAGAAAAAACAATTACCAAATGCATCCTTTAATTTCATCCTTTAATTTCAGCCTTTAATTTCATGTTTTAGCAGGCTGTACTTTGGTTGCTATCGTTGCTTGGCTTGCTGGTGTAAGCGAATGGCACTTTATTCGAACAGGTTATTTGGTCGATCATATTGAATGCCGATATTTGCTTCGCTTAATTTGCGGGTGCTCTCAAATGTGAAGGAGCTCTAATGCTTCAATGATCAGTTTTGGAAGAGTTTCCAATCCATCATCTTGAGCACCCACTGCGTACGACCAAAAACAGGGAAGTTATAAAAATAATTTTGTACTGAGAATAATCACAACAAATATGTACTTTTCAATTTAACTTGCCTTTCAAAGGAAGAATACTGCCGCAAAAAGGCTCCATATGAAATGAAAAGAAGAACACTTCCTCATGTTCTTGATCAGCGGATACGATTGAAATGAGCAAAAGGCCCAGGGTTAGATTTGGGAGCTGGTTTAGCCACCTCAGGAACCCCAAACACATTCCAGAATCTGAGTGTTTCATCACCAGCTGCTGATGCCACTGTGCAACCATCCGGACTCTGAAGATTTGCAACATAAGAGAATTTAGTATTTTGTCTAAGAGGAAACATGATTTATGATATTTATAAGGTTAAGGTTGTTACCTGAGCCATATAAAGAACTCTTGAAGTATGGCCAGTGAGTTCCGCAATTTTAGCCATTGAGGGGTACTTCCAAAGAGTAAGCTGATTTTGGGTAAATCCATGTGAACTAAGCAGCTCTCTTTCATTCTTGTTCCACAGCAAAGCACAAACATGAGAGCCAGTGTCGACCGAGTTCAGACATGCACCTGTGTGGGTGTTCCAAAACTTTATGCACCGATCACCCCCACCTCCACCAGAAGCTAATAAGTTGCCCTGGAAAGGACACCAAGCAAGGGCTTTCACAGCAGCTGTATGGTCTTCAAGCCTGTGAAGCCACTGAGTCGGTGAATTTGAAGATGCCACTGATCTGTCCCATATATGGAGGAGGTTATCATTTCCTCCACTAGCTAATTGCTGGCCTGAGGCTGACCATTTAAGCCCACAAACCTCTTGTTCGTGTCCTCTGTATGTCTCAACAATGTGTGATCTAACTCTTACATCATTATTAACGATACAGCCATCCATTCCTCCAGTTGTAAGAATGTGATTGTTCCATGCAATGGAGCCTACTCGTGATCTATGGCAACCTCTGAAAGTCCTCAGCTAAAGAAAGAAACATCACAATAACCAAAAAATGTTAGCAAAATCAGGCAGCAGGTAATGTAAAACAGAAAGGGAGGAATATGAAGGAACAAAGATAAAAGACAACAAAAACAAACCAACCTGCTTATTAGCAGTCGAATCCCACAACTGTACTTCAGAATTGTCCAGTCCAATTGCAATGTGGCGTCCATCAGGCGCCCAACTCACACTGGTAACAGGTCCGACTTCATCCTCAAATGTGGCGACCTCCGAAGTAGAACCATTGGTAGCATCCCACAAATAAACTGTGTTTGCAAGAGCTATCGCGATAACATTGCAGCTTCCCCAATCCAACAAATTCAGGTAGTAATCATCCACAAGATCAGGAGCATCCAATGTCCTCTCTGAAGTCTGCATATATGATCAAATCATAAGTAATTAGTTACACAACAACTACATTCAAAATAACCAATTACGTTCAAGCAAATATAATCCAGTCATGAGATCAAAATCAAATATACACTCACTTGAGGAATGTGCCTTCGGGGCTTTGCTGGTATCTCCTGTGGTAAAGAAGAGAACTCGCGTGGGAAGAGCTCTACAGGGGCCGGAGGCTTGTTCTTGAAAGCTAGGATTCGAGTCCGGTTCATGTTCATGGACTCTGCCAACTGCTTCCGATAGGCCTCTTTGGATGGGGAAGATACCATAGCTGGGTTTTTCTTAACTTTCCTACCTTCAGTCAGCATGAATTGCGCAAAATCAAAATCCATCGCTGATCTGTTGGGGATGAACCTGTCCAGCTGAGAGTCACATAACGCAAGCACATCAGAATATCAGTCTATTAAAGATTAAAACCCACATTTTAATCATATTTCTAACTGTTTTTCAAATTCAATTTAACATCAGAACAGATTAACAGAAAACCCTATACATACATGCACATGTAAGGGTAACAAGATTCAGAAATAAAAAGTGCAAAGAATAGAGAAAATCCAATTCAAAGTAAAACAGAACCCCTAAAATCAATCAGCAATCAAACAGATTGAACCCTGATTAAGATAAACTTCATATAAAGAACTTGGTATAGATCGAAAATCCAATTCAAAGAAAAACAGAACACCTGATTTCAGTGGTCATATAGATCGAACCCTAATAAAGATCAATTTGGTATTTTAAAAAAATCTTAAATCAGATCCCAAACTAGATGAACCCCAAACGCTAGGATAAAAAGATTCAGAACTGAAAAGTCCAATCAATAAAGAAAATCCAATTCAATCTATAATGGATTGGACACTAATAAAGATCAACGTGTAAGATAAAAAAAAGTTTACATTTTCCCTAGAATTCCTTTCCTGAAGAAGTTGTCGAAGAGGCCACCTAGACTCTGACTTCAACTTAGACGAAGAACTCATTGATCCTGCATCCATTATGTTTACTGCGCACAAAAGAATAATATATATCACTACACAAGAAAACAGTATGAAATAGCAGAGAGATCAAAAATGAAAATTCCTGCGAAAAGAATGTTAGATTCAGAGAAAAGAAACCAAAAAGAATGTTAGATTCAGAGAAAAGGAACCCAAAAAGAATGTTGTATTCAGAGAGAGAGAGAGAGAGAGAGAGAGAGAGAGAGCGCGCGCGCAAGTGATTATTGAGAAGTTGAAATGATGAGATGAAGGAAAAGGCACAGGTGAGGTTGGTAAGCAATTTATAGTTTTGTGTTTATTTGTAATTTTATATGAAAAGTATCATGGCCTCCCCCAAGCAATATGCCTGAGAAGGGCTGTATTTATAAAGAAGGACGTATACATATGTATTTTGTAGTGGTTGGACAATAATGCTTTTATTTATTTTTTAGATTGCTTGAAGAGGCTTTTTCTGCTTTCATACGGTGCCAAAGAAGTTTCTTGCTTTCCATATAGCGCCAGAAACATAGATTACCTTTTTTTTGTTCGAGAGGAAGTTGATGCTGCTTCTTTTATCATGAGGTCTTCACATGCCTTCATGTTGCTGTTACGGCTTCATTATGACTGCTTGTGCTTGTTGGGTGATTTATGCTTTCATCATGTTTTCTATATTGTGTATCTCTTCTTCTCCCAAACTGTTTCAATATACGTTGCTATTATCTTCTGCTTCTAACTCATCTGCTATATTGTTGTACAATTCATCAAAAACTTGCTCTCGTATCTTGCTTATCTTGAACCCGCATGTTTCATTTGGTCTCTTGGATGTGGTATTGGAATCAATCTTTATAACAACTAATGAAGGAGGTTCAGATGACCATGATTAAACAATTGTTGTTCAGCCAATGTTACTCCTCAGTTTTCTTTTATGGCTTGCTTAGTTGGTTTAGACTTTGGAGGACAAAGCATGCTCAGCTAAAAATCCTACTAGGCAATCACCTACTCCATTTTTTTCCAACAAAAAAAAACTATATGTAATCATACATATTCCTACCTAGCCCATGTGATTATGTGAAACATATAAAGCCTATGCCTACCAAACACATTGAAAAAAAAACTAAAAGCAACCCACAAATCAAAGCCTAGTCCACTCAAACTTTTATAAATAAATTTTAAAAAAAGAAAAAGAAATATAAGCAGCCAGCCCTTTTGGCTGTGCATAGGCATAGCTGACAATCAATGGCTGATTCAGATGGTAGGGGTGAGAATTCAAACCGGTAAACTAGAAATTCGAGCCGAACCACACCCCAAAAAAACAAAAAACAACAGAGTTGACCCAAAAGTCAACAACTGGCAAAAATTGAACCATACTGATTTGGACCGGTTTTGGATTCAGTTCTATGTCTTCAAAAACTAGACTGGGCCGAACCGAACTGGTCAAATTAAAATATATATAATTTCTTTTTTATAAAATATTTAAATTTATTTGAGAATTAAAAAAGATAATGGGTAGTTGTGTTCCATAAAAATATGATTCATTATTTGATTTTTCTTTTAATTTTGATTTTTCTAATATGAAAAAGTGTGAATTTATCATATTATCTTCATTTAATTAATAATTTGAAATCTTAATGTTTGGATTAACTAAGGGTATTTTCTGGTATTTTGAATGTTTCATCATTCTCTGCCTTTTGCTTTATATATATAGATTTATCCAAGTTCAATTTCAAAACATCTCTCTTTTCTAGCTTTAATATTTATTTTTATATGAAATTAAATAATTTATTAATTTTCAAATCAAAAAAATAAAATTTCACTTGAAATTTGTATTAAATAATAATTTTAATAATCTGGTTCAAAATTGAACCGAACAGTTTTTGAAAATTTTTTATTAAAACCGAACCAAACCAAATCGGAGGAATAGTACCTAATTCGGTTCTAATTTGAGGCAAAAATTGGTCCAAACTAGATCGTGCCCACCCCTACCAGATAGGGGCAAGATGGGTCAATTGACCCCTGCAAGCTTGGAATCCACCATTGGAGGAGAAGATGTTGACCCTTGCAAATTGTTCACAAACTGCTTGATGAAATGCTCCAGAGTCCAGAGGGCTTTCCTGATGTCAAAACGACGACGTTGTACATATTACCTTATTTTCATTTTCATCATTTAAGTAAAATGTCTTTTTCCTTTTATTTTCATTTATTTTTATATTACTTCATTTACTTAAGTTTATAATGTAAATAAGGAAGTATCCCCATTTAAATTCAAATAAAAATACAAGAAAATCACATTCCCATCAAATCAAAATATGAAAAATTGGTTTTAGTGCAAAATACGATTTAGACTAAAAATGAATGGCTCATTAAGTCAATATATGCTTCATACTAAAATCCCATCAAATCAATTTTTTTTATTTTATGTGTAAGTCAATATATACGTTTGGTTTTTATCACTGTGTTGGGTGACTTCTGTCCTCAAGGTACTTTACTGAGTTTGAGGAGATGCCATTTTATTTTTGAGCTTGAGGAGATAGGTTTAGATTGAAAAAAATGGCAAGGAAGAAAATTGGCGAGATTTGCATTTTCTGAGTTGTATTTTTTCTCTCCCCTTATTTCCTTTTATAGATGTCCATTATGACACTTGTTTATGATTTTTCAGGTGTTCCTCAAGCTCCACATCCATAATTTATGGCTTTCCGCTTCGTGTTATTAAATTGGTCATAACGGGTTGACTCAAAAATTACCCAATTATTAATTGTGCTGGTTCGAATCGTATTTTTCCCTTACAAGTTTCGAGTCGTGTAACAGGTTGTATTGGAAATTGACACCCCTAACAGTATGGTGAAACTAGATCAATATATAATTTCTCTTTGCGTTTGGTAAGTACTAGGTGGGATGCAAGGTAGCTCACGTGCCGTGCACACACCACACGTGTAGGATAACCGCAAAGATTGACGAATAACTTAATTTGTCAAAATTATTTTCGACCCTAATATTTTTTACTAAACTAGTCCAGGAGCCGAGTTCACTCAAAAAATGTAAATAAGAAAAAGAAATAAATGAATAAAAATGGTCAACATTACGCGGAAAGCGGCACTCAACGGGCCTACAAGTTGTTTTATTTGTATACTCTACCTCAGACCCAAAGACAGCACAACACATGGCTTCTTGAAAAGCATATTTGATCTAACCATCTTAGTCAACAGCCAAAGCAACGCACATGTTCATCCATAGAACATGGACGCACTAATTCCCCCCCCACACCCCCACCCCCCAAAAAAAAGACCTACCGTTGTCGGTGGAAAAAATGTCCCCGATATGTTGCTTTGACGTGCCAAAGCAAATGACATGTAGTTTAATATAATGTTACGATCAACAGTCAAAATCACATTTCATTCATCAATAATTGAGATTAAGAATCATCTAATTTATTTAGGTCCGACATCCTGCTTAAGGAGACGTCAAATATTATTTACGTGAACGCGAGAGATCGGTACAAACTTGTTGTGAGTTTAACATTTTAATCACCTTTTACATTCGATTTTTCCAATTCTCGTATACCGCGATACATCGAGACATCTTACTAATTGTTGGAAGTTAATCATTGTTATTTGGAAGGCCATATGCAATTACCAAAATACCCCTCCGGAGTCGGCAAGCAAAGCCAGAGAGAGTTGTACATATTCTTGAGTACGAGTACGAGCAGGGTTTAGTTTACACAGACACTTTACAGCTGGATCTTGTGTGTGTGTGTTTTGTGGAATCCATGATGTACGAGCTCGAAGTGGGACCCGACACGGCCGTATGTCACCGGTTGTACCAGCTGTCTCCTTCCTTCTTATCTTTTTTTGGGCAAAAGCTGTTTCCTATTAATAATCATGCTTTTATTTTTTTTATCCAATTAAGTTGAATTTTTAAGGGAAATTATTATACCCACAAAAATTGGAAAGAAGAATTCCAAGCTTTTATCATTATTCCAAAAAAACTCCATCCATTCGTACTCAAATTTTGGAAAATTCAAAAAGCCCAAGAAAATCTCTACTTTATTTTGTGCTTCGCTTTCCCGAGAAAATAGAATGCCGGAAAATTGAACCTTTCTCTCAGACTCTCCCACAAGAAAGGCATATTGAAATATTTCCTTTACAAAAAAGAAAAAAAAATATATAACAGCTTCACAGCTCTCCCAAGTAAAGAATGTATCTCGGATTTGTTTTTTTCTTTTTTTGCCCTAGGATTCTTTCTCCACAGGTTCTTTTTTACCTTTTGGTAGGGGAAAAAAAATCCTAGAAAATTTAAAGTAAGATTTAAAAATTTTTTTTTAAGGAAATAAAGGAAAAAGAAATATTAATTTACAGGCTTGCCATGATTGTAGCCGTAATAAGAAAGATACCACCTAACAAACTTCTTCAACCCGGTCTGCAAATCGGTTGTGGGCTTGTACCCGAATTCCCTCCGGGCCAAGCTTATATTCGCGTGCGTGAACGGAACGTCGCCGTTTCCAGGCATGTCCACGAAATTCTTCTTCGCCTTCATCTTCAAATGCCGCTCCAGGATGCTGACAAGTGTCGGCACGGTCACCGGTGACGTGTTCCCCAGATTAAAGATCCGGTACGGTGCGGGGCCCCGTTTCTTCCCGCCCGACCCGGTACTCTTCCCGGACGTATCCAAAGACCCCAAACAACCCTTCACAATATCGTCAATGTACGTGAAATCGCGGGCCAAGTCGACCCGGTTCTTGCCCCGGTAAATGGTGATGGGCTTGCCTTGGAGGATGTTGCGGGTAAAAGAGAAATACGCCATGTCGGGTCGGCCCCACGGCCCGTAAACCGTAAAAAATCTCAAACCGGTAACTGACAGGCCGTAAATATGGTTGTAAGTGTGGGTAATTTCCTCGCCGGCTTTCTTTGTGGCGGCGTAGAGGCTAGCGGGCTGGTCGGTGCGGTCAGATTCGGAGAATGGAACGTTGTCGTTCAGGCCGTAGACGGAGCTGGACGAGGCCCAGACGATCGATGGCTGGGGATTGGCCGTTTTGCAGACCTCGAGAAGCGTAACGAGGCCGGCGATGTTGCTGTGGACGTACGAGTGGGGGTTCTCCATGGCGTACCTGACGCCGGCTTGAGCTGCCAAATGCATCACGTGCGTAAATGCCACGGTGTCGAAGAGCTTGTCGAGGAGACGATTGTCGTTTATGTCGCCTTCCACGATGAAGACGCCGTGGCTCTTGAGCAGCGAGCGGCGGGCCTTTTTCAACGACGGGTCGTAGTAGCTGTTGAAGTTGTCGATCCCGACGACCCCGTCTCCGCGCTTCTTGAGCGCCAGCGAGACGTGGGTGCCAACGAAACCGGCGGCGCCGGTGACCAGTACGGACATGCCACCGGATCGGTGGATCTGTGCGGAGTTGCGGACCTGCTTCTCCCACTGGATGCCGCCCCAGGAGGCGGAGAAGTACCGGCTACCGGAGTCGACGAAGCTCTGGAAACTCAAATACGACGCCGTCAAGGCGATCAGGAACAGGGCCCACAGGAACATGGTGCTGGTGGAGGCGAAGCACCGGTGGAACTGGCGGTTCATGCCGTGGCTCCGCTCGATCTTGAACTTGCCTGGCGTCGACGGAAACAGCTCATCTTCCAACGCAGACGGCATTCTCTGGTCTCTCTCTTTCTTTGTTTTCTCCAACCAAAATTGAAATCTCCTTTTTTCTTTACAAAATCTTGGGTTTTTAGATTTGCAGAGAAAGAGAGGGGTAGAGAAGAAGATTGAAGAAGAAGAAGAATACAAGTGCAGAGAAAAAGAAGATTTATTTTTGGGTGATTAAATTTTCTGCACCTGCTAAGAGATTGAAGATGATGAAGGGTTATATATAGTGGTCACCCACATTGATAGTCGACAAGGCAAACGCGTGAACGCGTTTATGGACCGGGACGGCCAGTTAGAAAGTGATAGAGAGAAAAGAGAGAAACAAAAAACAAAAAAACCAAAAAAAAACAAAAAGGGTATTTTCGTCACATAAAAATATTAATATACTAATGCAGTTGAAATTGTTGAATCAACTTTTCGTTTTTCCAGAATTTCATGTTTTTAAACACTCGACTGTGAAAGGTAGAAACACTGTCCTCGCCAACCGACCTAATAAAGGTTAAATTAGTAGATTCTGTTTGTTTCCTTAATTGACTAATTAAACTAAAAGGGCAATAGTAATTATAGGTGCTTTTAATTTTTATTGGATACTTGGGAAGCTAGGGCAAGGTGATACGACACAACATAGCAATGTTGCTTGACGATTTGTAATTGATTTTAATTAACATATAAGATTTACAGTAATATAAAGCGATGATGGAGATTTTTTTTAAAATACAAGCGATATTGGGAGAAGAGGAAATCGAAACTAGAACATTAATGCATACTCTACAAGGCCTCAAAAAAAAAAAAAAAAAAAAAAAAAAAAAAAAAAAAAAAGAGCTACTTGCCTTGTGAGGGGAAGAGTAGGCTTTGTGTACCGCAGTCTAGAGAGTGGTGTTGGTTAGTCAATCAATCAAATGGGCGTTTTGATAATTTGGAGAACATGGGCGCCACATCATTGGGCTGTTTGGTGATAGTGAAAATCTGGGTGCAATAGAATATTACTCAATACCCAAAACGAATATTTTATTATTCGTTTTAAATAAAAAATAAAAATCAAGAATAAATTAGTTGAGAGAGTAAATAGTAGTTTAGCTTAGTCATAGACCGGTCACCGGAAGAAGCGGTCATGACTGAGCAAGAAGATAAAAGAATTGAAGGGGAATTGAGAAAAAGGGATAAATCGGGAGAAACGGGCAGAAGCCGCGTGGCCGGTAGAAGGAACGAATTAAACTAATTTATAATTTTTAAAGGACGTTATTGGGATCGCGGGCGGTGCTCCTTCAATTTGATTGCTGTTTTACAAGAAGAATTTGTACCTTTTGTATGACTCACACACTCTCGCTACTTTTGCCAGTTCAGCACACTGCGGTAGTGGGGCCCACCAAGAAACAACTAAAGTTTAATTTGTGGTAATTTGAGTGAAGTCGTTTTTCACAGGAAAATTTATATAAAATGAGAATAGTACTGTTTTGGTATCTTAAGTCAATCATGTTATGTCAAATGAAAAAATTATCACATTTGATATAGCATGATTGACTAGAAATAGCAAAATAGTGATATTTCCGTTGCACATAAGCCTATAAGCCTTTGGAGAGAGTAAGATGAGCTATTTATAGGATGTGGATTTGCTGGCAGATGATGAGATAGAGAACATGATCCCTGATAAGTCCAAGACTGTGGACTTTGTACATGTGCAATGTGCATGGTTGTCTTGTCTCCACGTCCACTCATGTGGAACTTTCCTTGAATGTTCATGTATACTTAAATTACCCCAATTTTCTTTTTAAATGTATTTTTCTTTTTTGTAGTTTTCGTCAACTCCTCCACTTTGTATAAAATATTGGCAAAAACCAAAAGAAAATTCCTCCTCTTGTATTAGATTGCTTCATTGATTTTAGCACCCAACTAATGGTTTAGTATTATAAGTTTCCACTTCAAATTTTAAACGAGTAATTAGGTAATAATAATTTAAAATATGTAAGCAAACCGCATGCCTTTTTATTTTTTATTTTTTTTATTTGATGATCCCTGAGTATATTTGATTTTCTTCTAATAACATGGTATGTGCCTTATTAAACTACTTAATAGTGTCTGCATATGTTGATTCGTGTGTTTGTGCTTTTTTTTAAAGGCTTATTTACTGTTTCACTCCTGAAATGAACGTTCGGTCTCATTTTATCTCATTAAACTGAAATTTTCTCACTTAACCCATTGAATCTCTAAAAATTCCTAAAATTTCCTCACTTTTCCACTTTAATCCATTTCTATCCACAAAACCGTTCATTGTGCTGGCATTCTAGTAATTTTAGTTCCTTATTTACTTTCTTCTCTCTCTCTCTCCACTCCCAAACCCAACCTCCATCACACCCCCACCCCCTCCCCCTTCTCCTTCTTCTTCTAACTGCCTCTCTCTTTTCTCCCCTCCCCTCCCCTCCATTCGCCATACCCAACCCACACCTTAGACCTAACCCTCCAGGGAATTACTCAAACGCACCAAACCACCACCACTCAAATTTTTTTTTAAAATCTCATCGGCAGTCACTCTCCATATTCTCTCTTGGTAGAGAGAGAGAGAGAGAGAGAGAGAGAGGGTGAGGTTCGATGGGGGTTGGGTTGGGAAGGGGAGAAAAGAGAGAGGCAGAGGGAGGGGAATGGGTGGGGTGCGATGGAGGTGTACTGGGGGTTGGGTCTAGGAAGTGGATGAGAGAGAATAAAGAGGCACACTTAACGGTTTGTGGATGGAAATGGAAGGAAGTGGTAAATTGAGAAAATTTCAGCAATTTCTAGAGATTCAAGGGTGTTAAGTGATAAATTTCAGTTTAAGAGGATAAAGTGAGACCGAATGTCTGTTTCAGAGGGTGAAACAAATAATAAGCCTTTGTTTATATAAAGGAAAGAGATAGCATTTTATTGAAGAAAAATGAGCAACTAGAACAAAAACCATGCCTCCTCATATCATGCTTGTAAAAACTACTTATTTCTATCCTTAAATAAAAGATCAACAATAAAATCTCATATTCTACTACACCACATGCGTTACCACTTGTTAATCTTGTTAGGCTATCTCCAGTTATAGGGTTAAATGTAGTCTAGGACTATAATTCTAGTCATTCAAAATATTAATTTTTAAAGAATAGTGTATGGCTAAAATTTTCCATCTCTAGCCATGTAGGGTTATATTTTAGGGCCCTTCATATTTTATTATTTTGAGAAAAATTATGGTACAACACTCATACATTCAATCACTATGTATTGTTTAGTTTAATTAAACTACTATTCAGAGCCAATATTCCAGAACCAAATTTTTTGAGAAAAACTATGGTACAACACTCATACCTCTAACGGTCAGAATCAATTTTTTATATTAAAAAAATGAATTTAAATACATTTAAAAGGTTAAAAGGGGAAGAAAAAAAAAAGTAACGGCTAGCTGACGTCAATGTGCACCTTTAATATCAGCCTTTGGATATGTAATTAGACAAGATGTTCCTTGGTCACTTCCACGCATGATACCTTCTCTTCTTGGGCAAAACATGCGTTGGATCCACAAAATAATTTGGCCAAGGCTATAGTTGGACTACAAGTGGCCTAGTTGATGGGCTAAAAGGCTAAATGTGACTCTCTAAATTTGGCCAAATTTTTTTTTAAGCCCTTAATTAGAGATGAATTTTGTATTATTTTAGGGCTACATTTGGCCATAGCCTTTATATTACTACCACAGTAAGTGGTTAAAATCAATTCGGTTACCATACAAATTAAATAACAATGCCTTTTCGCATTTGACCAAGTTTTCTGTCGGTTGTAGATAGAAAGCCGCTACTTTTGACCACACCTCATACACAACAGGCACTATAGCCCGTGCTAAATTGCCGTTATCTAAATTGAAAAAGATAGACCTATGAGTCTTGTTTCTTCGGTTGGCTCTGGAAACTAACCCCAATGGTTTTGCCGATTAAAGCATCTCTCACTTCACTCTCGACTCAAAAACTCAACGCTCTCTCTCCTCTTTGTCTCTGCTATCTCGTCAATCTGTCTGTCTCTCACCATCACCACCACTGCGACACGCCATCTTTGTGTTTGAAACCTTCTCTGTGGGATGATGAGGTTAATAAAGCAAGATGACCAAAAAATGAAAGTGGGGTTTTGGGCGGTGGGTCGGAGAGGGCTCTGGGGTGGTGGGTAAGGGAGGGAGTGTGATAGGATGTGGTTCAGATCAGAGAAGGGGGTTTCGGTATCGGTGAGAGAGAGAGAGAGAGAGAGAGGCGATGGGGAGGAGGATGGTGCAGTGGGGTCGGGTTTCATCTCCGTGTTTTCAATGAATCTTTTGTTTTTATCTGGTTTTTTTAAACTTTTTTTAATTAATTAGAATGTTCATAAAAGATTTATCTGTATTTTTGTTTTGCTTTTCATAATTTTTATTTTCTATAGTTGTTTTCCAATTAAGTTATACATTCTTTGTCTAGGTTTTTTTTACATTAGAATTTTATTATTGTTTTAATTATTTTTTTTAAACAGACATGAGCAAAAATACACTTAAAAAATAGTTCACATTTTATTATTCTCAAATTGTACTAGCATACATGTTTTCACTATTTTTATTTTTTGAATATGATTTCCAATTAATCTACCAGACACATTCTCAAATCTTGAAAATGCAAATTCGTTTTCTTGCTTTCATTCTCTGAAATATTCTCCGAAAACATTACCCAACAACCCATAGTATTTAGCTATTTTGGAGCCATTACCTCAGGAGAGACTTGCCTAATTCTCTATAACATAGCCCAAATTTTAAAAAAATACTTTTTTTCCCTCTATCATTACACACCCTTTGAATCAAAAGGTGGGTGTACCAGAGAACAACTCAGGCTTGGGCATATTGTGAACAACGTGTCTTTGAAGAGGATATATATATAATCAGCCGCCAACAAAGGATTTATTTTCATTACTTTGGGAAATTGCTTGTATTATAACAAATGGAGTTGAGAAACTTAAACTTTATGCATGTGTCACCAGAAAAGAACATGATAGGGATAGTTAAGAATACAAATGGAAGCAATAAGCAAAGGCATCCAACAAAAATAATTTCATATCGTGGCCAATTCTTTTATTGACAAACACTCTAAGAAAGGTACAACATATTACAGACAATCACACTCACCACCTTCTTTTTTGATAGCACCATCTACTTCATTATTTATTCAAATTCATCATTTCATACATTTTCAGCTGAATAAGGTGAAACTTGTCACTAATCTCATGCCACGAGCTACAGTTCCATGCATGCATGGCTAGAGCCTCTTATCCACGCCCTCGGTTTCTTGAGCCTGACCCAGCCCTAGACCCAGCAGACGAACCTGCTTCGGAAGAGCCCGATCCATTGGATCCCGACGAAGAAGATGAGCTTGAGCTAGAGCTGGAGCTAGAGCTAGACCCGGACCCCGAACCTGACCCCGATCCAGCACCCGAGCCAGCTCCACTCCCACCGAGCCCAATCCCTACTCCAGCTCCCAATCCAACCCCAATCCCACCAAGGTCTATCCCCAGGTCCTTTCTTGCCACCCGGCTTTCGGACAGGACAACACTTGAAACAAGCAAAGCGAAAAGGGTTAACGACTTCAAACTGAAACTAAAACTAGCCATTGCTAATGAACTTGAGACTTCAATAAGCCAAAGGATCTAAAATAGTACAGGCTGAAATGTCAAATATGAGCGGCGGGACGTAGATAAATAAATGAGCTATTTATAGTTGTAGATGATAGTGGAATTGGAGGCAGCAGCGTGTAAACTAAGGCATATGATGAGGAAGTGGAGGAGCATGTTACAGGTGCGATGGGGGATAATTTTTATGAGTCTGATTGAGCGAAGTTTGTGGCTAGAAATGGAGGTGAGTTTGAGTGGGGCATTCTTCATTTTTGTTGTAACGTAGGTTGGTGGCTATCATTAGGGTGGTGCCAACCCACTCCTATCACAAAACCCACTCATCATAGTGCGTGCTGCTGATAGTGGAGTGGAGTATGACTGGCTCCTACCTAGAAATTTTATTTCTAGAAAGTATGATATATTTTTGCTAAATTAATATGGAGAAAAGAGATACATATGATACAATTTTTTTTTTAGTGCCAAAATTAGGAAGATATGGGGTTTCTCACGCACACTACTATTTTGAATATGAGATCATTGATATGCAAGTTAACATTATTTTTTACTGGACTAAACCTCGTTGATTACATATGATACAATTCGTTTCACTCTTTTGGTACGGGAAATTAGTCCACAAAACTAAACTCAACCAATTCAGAGGCCATATAATTATGTATTTAAAATTAACATTTGCGAATACATTAAGGTTTCCTCATGAGGATGAGATGAAGAAATCCCTCTACAAGAATTATTTCTACAAAAAGTTACTAAAATAAGAATCTGCTAAGGCCGAAAGATTTTTTATTTATACATTTATAATTAACATTCCCCTTCAGGAATCCTCCAAAAATTAGCGAAACGAGAATATGATTTTATGAGAGATAGCTAATTATTTTTGTTTCATTGATATTTTGTTGGTATGAAAACTAACTACAGTAACACACTAACCGAAGAGTGCAGTTTACATTTTTCACAAGTTTGTGGACGTATACAGTTAAACTTTCCTTTATATATACTAGCCTCTCCACAAGCGTTGGTTTTTTTTTATAAAACCATATTATCCTCATTTAATTAATAATTTTAATTTTTAATGTATGGATTAATCGAATGCATTTTCTGGTATTTTAAATGCTTCACCATTCTCTGCTTTTTGCTCTATATATATAGATAAGCACTAACCTTCATCAAGAATTTGTGGCAATGTACTTGGAAAAATGGCTCAAAGAGGCAACTAAGTTTCGGAAGGGAGAATTCAATGAATTAATCATAATCACCCACATTCGAAATGCCCGATTATCAAACTACATTAGAAGATTAAGTACACATTTTTCATATAGCGTCACCCAAATTCGCAGTTTAGTAACAAATGTTCTCTTGTTATACTATATTAATACCAAAGCGTTAATATAAGCCGTTAATCAAACTATTATGCTTTGAGTAAACTTGCTCAAATTAGTTCTTTTTCTATCCGGTGAAGGAATAGACTTCGCAATTAATCTAGTGCAATAAGGAACGAGGATTGGATTGAATTAGACAAAATTACAAATCACTTAGCTTGCATGACTTGTAACAAAGATATATACTTGGCATAAGGAACAGTTAGTATTTGACCATCTCATCAAGGTAACAATACATATGATTGATAATAACATTGCACCCAAAATATACATGTTTAGGCAGCAGTTTCATGATCTAGTCTACAAGCTGAAGAAAACTGAAGTGGGATACATGAACAGGAACACCATTTAACTATATAATATGAAATGAACCAATTACAAAGATGATGATTCAAGGCTAAACATCAGATCTGAATGCTACTCAGAATCACCATCTTCCTTATTTATATACTTTATTATCACTACTTTAGCTCCATGCATTGGTACGTAATTGCATCCTCTCAGTTTCCGCCTCCACTGCCATAACCCTCACCATAGCCACGGCCTTCACCATGACCCTCACCGTTACCCTCACCACTGCCCCGGCCTGAACCCTCCCCACGTCCATACCCCGAACCCCCACCTCGCCCACCACCACCGCCTCGAGCATCTCTCCCTGACCCTGACGAGGCCCGAGACCCTGCAGATGACCCTGCCTCGGAGCCTGCATCGCCTGACCCTGAACTCGAACTAGCACTCGATGAGGCTGAACTCGAAGAAGAACTACCTCCCCTGGACCCAGATCCTGACCCTGACCCTGACCCTGCCCCGGACCCACTTCCGCTTCCTCCAAGTCCTATACCCAGGCCTACTCCTCCTCCAACCCCAATTCCCCCAAGATCCACACCTAAATCCTTCCTAGCAACTCGGCCTTCTGATACATTAATAGCTGACAAGGAGATACCAACAAGCAAAGCAACAAGAGCTAGTGACTTGAATGGAGCCATTTTTGGAAATGGAAAACTGGAAACAACCAAGGTAGCTGGTACTTAAGGAGAGCTTGAAAAGCAAATGCAAATGAAATATATGATTTCAAGGAGATCCTTGTACTAGTTGTGCATGCATATGTTGGAGAATCCTTAGCTATTTATAGTACTACTTGTGCGTGTTGATATTGTTGAAAGTGGAGAATTGTTGGTGTTTTTTAATCTATTTTGAAGTGGGAGGTGGTGAGGTGGCCGGTGGAGGTGGTGATGTGGTTTCCATGGCATTTTGGAGGACCAAAATTATGTGGCTAAGAGATGGCTGAGTTCTTGGAGATCAACATTTTTTGGACAAGTGTTAGAATGCTTGCCGCCGACCCATTTGATCCCCCACTTACTATAGTGGAGCAGCACTGGTCTGTTTTTTCTTCGTAAATAAAGGTACTTTTTTCTGATGTAGTTCATATGAGGCCACGATTCTTGAGTGGAAGTTTCTGATAAAGTTCAATAATTGAGAAGAGATATGTATGACAGCAAATTGAATATGAAATGTAATGTTTACGTATCCATTTAGACAGCCTTGAGTCATAATTTGAATTCGCACATGAGATGGGTAATTTGAATTCGCACATGAACAATACATAGTGGAAGAGATTTGTGTCCATATGTGATATAACTTTTTTTCTTCCTTCAAAACTGAAACAGTGTTAATTATTTCTAGGACATTCTTGGGTGTGATCATATACAACCCACGTCCCAAAGATAAAAAAATTCGTAAGATATTAATTTAAAACCCACATCTCCATTCAAGCTTCTTATGCATCCAAATGAAGAAGAAAATAATATATTAGTGAATAAGAACTTGATTTAAACCAGAAAAAACAAACTTGAATATCCGCAAAGAAAAAGAATTTGACTTGGGGAAGGGCACTAATCTTCTCCAACAAGGTCAGCCTTTTCTAGAACGATTTTTCCCGTTAGAAAGCAGCAACAAATTACAATTTTTATCCTTTTTTATTTTTATTTTTATTTTATACAGCCAAAAAGGCCTAGTATATATACAGAGGTTGTAGGCTCTACAAGGAAAACTAGGTAACTTGCAAACTACTCCAAATCTACTGTAATATACAAGGAAACTTAAAAAAAACTTTCAAACAGAATCAAAATCTTAACACTCACCCTCAAGTTGAAGCATGGATGCACAACTTGCTTAGGAGGATGTGTAAGATGTGATTTCCCAATGTTTTGTCAACAGATCCGCCACTTGTGATTAGGAAGAACAAATGAGGCAACAATCTGTCTTTTTTTGAATCACTTGACAATAAACTTAATGTGTTTTGTGCGCTCATTACACACACTCAAAACCCATTTATAAACACACCCAAAAAATATACAATTGTTGATTTTGGGGTTAATTTTGGGTGTGTTTCTATGTTTAAATAGTGCTTGGGTTTTTTTTATAAATACATCACTAGGATTGGGTTTATTTATAAATTTGTATAATTTTAAATGCATCACTAATCAAATAATTAAATATAATAGTAATAGAAAAACATCAGATGAATCTTTTCATAACTCACATTTCGAATGGGAAATGTAGGGTAGTGATCATCATATATGTCACGCCCCAACCCAAGGGTTAACATAAACTTGGATTAAGATGTGATTTACACCTTAATTATAGAGTTTAAGAAAAACTATAACTAAAATGTGAAGAACACTTAAATAAATAAATGAATATTTCATATAAAATTTTCAGCGAAAACAACACGATTCGCAATACCTTACAATATTTTACATATTAGAATTACTCAAGAATTCACTAAAAGAGTAGCTCATTGTAGGGGACTTTTTCTTCCGACAGCTGTAAATGAGCTAGGCTGCCGCAAAGGGCAGACTGGTGGAATTGTCCCCTTTGTTTGAGTTCGAAAATTAAGCCCCAAAAATGCTTCGAAAGGGCAGCAAAGCCTTAGAAAGTATTTTGGTTACCTTTACCAGCCAAAACAATGGCAACTTACATGTAATTTCTTCATGCTTACAAATAAACTCTTAAGCTCAGCGTGAGTGGCATGTGGCATGGAAGCAAAATTAACATGAGTTTAGCACCAAGAGAAAATTTAGGCTTGCTTTGAGGGAAAATGAAGTGTTAGGGTAAGAAAGGAGAAGTTTTGTGAGAGATTTGGCTAAGAGAGAGGAAATAGAGAATATAGTTTTTTCCGGCAGCTTGACAGATATAATTATGTCTCAACCCAAGAATTCTTACCAATTTCCATGACATGATATAATTATGTCTTTCACATATCTCATATATCTAAAAACAATGTAATCATTCATGCCAACATTAATCAAATAGTTAACAACACATAAACACCCCACATCAATAACATTATATAACATCAAGAACATCCATTATAATATTACGCATAATATAGTGCTTACGAAATTTAATGAAATCAATTCCCGTAAAAGGCCCCCGAAGAAACCCTCTACCTTGACACTAATATACTTCTGCAAGAAATGTAAGACGATCCCCAATTCTCCACCACATTCACAAACTCACTCTCTCTCTCTCTCTCTCTCTCTCTCTCTCTCTCTCTATTTTATTTCTTTATTCCATTGCTTGTACGCTTTTCTGAAGAGAGAAGTGTGAATTAAAGAACCAAATGTTGTATTTATAGGATACCGAGGGCAGTAGCTATGTTTATGAGATAACTTCAATCTTTAAAGATCAGCACCTTTTATCTTAATGCCCAAGTAGTAAGTAAGATAAGAAGGGATACCATGAGGACACATTCTGATGGGTTGAATGACTCAACCATTTATTTCATTGATATCTCAACAGTTTGCAAGTAAATAAAACTAGTAAACCGATTTGGCTACCATGCAAGTAATTTGCATAGTTGATTGACACATATATTAAGGAGTTGTACTTATGCTAACCACGTGGAGCTTATAAGAAAACTCCCCAATTAGATAGCCATGCATGAAATATTCCAAGTAGATAGCCATGCACAAAATAATCTTACTACCATTAACTAATGTTAATATTAAAAGAAAATATTAGAGAAATCATCAAAACCATTTGATTAAAAAGAACAAACATGAACTAGGTGAATCAACAAAGCAATTAAATATTTATTATAAACACAAACTCTATAAAATGATTATAATATTATAATTTATTATAAAAGTACAATAATTATTATATATATAATTACTATAATTTAATACTTACCAAAGTAATTACTTTACAAAATATAATTTAATGCAACCATCGATGTATGAGATAGGACAATATAGCCATCGATGTAATTACTACCCCTGTAATAGAACACTTGCAACCACGTGTCAAAACTAGTATAGCCGGCCGGCTATACTATTTTTATATAATAAAAACCGTAGTATAGCCGACCGGTTATACTATTTTTAATGTAAAAAAATTCGAGTATAGCCGACCGGCTATACAATTTTTTTAAAAAGGGACCCGGCTGGCAGCTAGCATGTCAAAAATAGTATAGCCGTGTGGCTATACTATTTGTTTATAATAAAAAACGTATTATAGCCGCACGGCGATACCATTTATTAAAAAGGAAAATGACCCTTCCAGTTGCATTAGTTTATACTTTATAGATATTAATTTGCTAGTTTCGACATCTCTTAAGCATATATTGAAGATAGAGAAATTTCATAGTAAATCACTTTGAGAGTCCAAATTTTTTGTTTTTTTTTGTTTTTTTGTTTGTGTTACAATTTTTGCCTTTGGTTTATCTCATTCTCTCGAGTTACTAAATTCTGTTACTGCACATATTATTTGTTGTAGAGAATTGCATACTGAGTTGGAGTGTTGTTGGTAATTGCTTCACATTTCAAACAACATTTTACATAAAGAATACTACCACCTCGATTACTACTATACCCATAAATATTTGTTTGAAAATGTTGTTTTGGTTGGCAAAAAGTTGGCAAAATCACCATCTTGTATTTTTGTTACAACAAGTAACAAATAATCTTAGCATCTCACATTCTTTCAGTTAGTAAAATACGGAAAGGGAAAAATTATGAAAAAAATATGGACGTGTTTTATTTGGCAATATTTTTGCAAATTACAACTGATAAGTTCGGCCGCTATACAATATTTTTATATGATTTATTTAATATATATGATTTTAATTTAATAATATGCTAAAATGATGTGTATAATTGAAACTTTTGTTAAAAAAACAAGTGTATTAAACATGAAAAATATGTACGTACATGTACAATATGAGTATTAAATGTGAAAATGCTAAATTCTTTATACAGTTAATAGCTCTAAAAAAGTAAAAACTTAAAAGGTGGCAATAGAGACACAGATAATGATATAATAGTAATGAATAATGCTCTAAACTACCCTTATTGATAAACAAAAATCGGGAAAAACCATTAAAAAAATGAAAAAAGGATCACAGTGTTTGACGTAAAGCGTATAGCCGTGTGGCTATACTATTTATAAACAATATTTATTAAAAAAACGACCCCAGTAAAGCCAACCGGCTATTCTCTCTTCTGAAAAAAAATAAATTCCCGAGTATAGCCGCCCGGCTACACTATTTGTAAATAAATTCCCCAGTTCGCCACATGTGAAAATAGTATAGCCGACCGGCTATACTATATATATATATTATAAAAGTTAATAGAATAGAATTAAAAGTTAAATGACTTTATTTAATAAAAAAAAAAAAAAAAAAAAAAAAAAAAAAAAAAAAAAAACAGAAATTGAACCGATGATGAGAATTTAATTTAATTTAATTTATTTTAATTTTTATTATCGGGGATGCGAGTTGCTGTCGTAATCATGGAGAGAAGCCCAGGTCGTTGAGGTCAAGCGCACACCCACAGGCGTCAGAACTCATGAGGACATAGCGTAACGTCATAACCCAGTTTCAAAAACAATCCGTCAGCTTATGCGAAACCTCACGAACACATACAGCTTTTGCGAAACCTCTCGAACGCCATAACCCAGTTTCAAAAACAATCCGTCAGCTTTCTCGCTCTTTCTGCGCCCTGCTCTGCTCGGTACCATCGCCAGCAAATCACCCCCCTATCATCCAAGTTTTGCTAGATTGTCTCCACAGGGTCTCGTAAGTACCTTTCATTCCTCTCTCTTCTCTTCTGAGTTTGGGTATCAATTTATGAATTTGATGCCACTCGTTGCATATAATTTGTACGCTATGATTGATTTATCTACCCGTTAAATATTCTACTATTAAATTGTAAAATGGGGTTGAAATTGAATTGTTAAGATTTACGTTGGGCATGAAATATATCTCAAAGGGGGTGTTGGGCAATTTTATGTTGGGGTTTTGCATGAAATTTTATCAGAACTGTGTATGAATGTAGTTATCTTCTTTGCATTGTCTGATTTTCGATAGATGAGAGACTGTAAATTTTAGCATAAGGTGCAAGAAATGTGATACATTATGGGCCTTTTTCCATTGATAGGGTAGAGGTTCTTCATTTCTTCTCTTATTTCTTGTGATTCCTACCTACTTACGAGGAAGTACATTTTTCTATTTAGGAAATTTGGTTTCTGTTAACCTGCAGATTAATTATGAACAGTTTATACGGTGGGCGCTATAATGTGGTATCCCATGGATTCAATGGGAAAATATCTGTTAAGGGAGTGTTATTCGCACTCCCTATCATCCTCCTGTATTCCAGCGCAGGATTGGTGTGGGGGAGTGCTTAGTAAAAGTCAAAGAAAATTTCATATATCAGCAGATAAATTATGATTACTATGAAGTTGTAATTGAGGCTCTATTGAGTTCGGCTGAGTGGATTCGTTGAAACGAAGAAGGGAGTATCTGTAATGCTTTCTCATTAATTGGAGACTGAGCTCTGGTCTATTCTAGTATTTGATCAATAGTGTGTACATATTGTTTATACATTTCTAGTTTATCTGTTGTGAAGGTTATGCAATTGCCTATGTTTGCTACTTCATCCATTGTTGGTTTGTTCTTGAGGTCACTCTTGTTTCTCTTGTCAGGCTGCCGAGTTAATTTATCTTTAGGGAAAATGGGTGTCAAATTTCTCAAAATTCCTGTAACGCAAATGGATTGTTCAATTCAAGTATCTGGTTGCAGTCCCTAACTTTTGTAATAATATATTTGTATTTATCACCCGTTGCTGGTCTTATTATCTTTGAAAGCTTCTGGCTACTTCGAATTTTATGTTTTTTTGTTTTCCCTAAGCCAGCTACCTGCATTTCAGGGCTCTGTGAATCCCATTGAACTTTGTTGTGGCCATAGGGATTATTAGACAAGGATGTCTGGGAGACGAAAAATTCCATCGTCTTTTGAGCGACGTCCCATTCAATCTCCAGGTATGATGCGGCATGGTCCACTGCCTGGGTTAGGGCCTCCTGGTCACCGACCATTTGAGGCACTACCACGTCCTGAACTTTTGGAAAATAAAATTGCATATCAAGCAGCAGAGATAAAACAACTGACAGGAGACAATCATAGACTGGCAGCTACTCATGTTGATCTGAGGCAGGATCTTTTAGCTGCTGAGGAGGAACTACAGAGACTCAAGGCACACATGAGAAGCATCCAGACTGAGAGTGACATTCAGATGCGGGGTTTGCTTGATAAGATTGCAAAAAGGGAAGCAGACATCGAAGCTGGCGAGGGTGTGAAAAAGGAACTGCAAAAGGCTCACATGGAGGCACAGACCTTGGTCACAGCACGACAAGAGCTGACCATTCAAATTCGGCAGGCCACAGAGGAGTTGCAGAAAGCTCGTCTTGATGTTGAGAAACTACCAGGTTTGCATGCTGAACTTGACAGTCTGAGGCGAGAACACCATAGGCTGCGGTAAGTCAATCTACCTTTGAAGCTTACTTTGAAGTCTATTTGCCTACTCCTAGTGAAACCCATAGAAACCTTTTCTAGCTTTGAAGCTTAATGTAAATCATGAAACCTTTTCTCTAGCTTTATCGGCAATTATTGCCACTGTGCTTATGCTAACGTAACAAATAAAAGGTGGCAATATCTTTTGTACTTATACTCATTCCAGAAATAGGACTCTTGATAATTTTTGTTCCCTTCAATAATATAAGCTAATGATTGATTAGTCACACATACAAATTGTAATGAATTATTTCCAATCTGTTCAGCTATTGGGTGGTTCCATATTTACATTTCATTGTGTTGTTCCATCCAATTTTTACTTTATTAGAGATTCCACCAAATTAACTCTATGATGCCCACAAAATATATGTTGCTCAACTAAAGTTCACAGTTCCCGTGTTTCTTTGTTCATTTTTTCGGTACCTTTTGTGATCTATTTTGAAGTTTTAACTTGATTTCTGATGCTCTGAATCTTTTGTGTGTACAATACAGTTCAACTTTTGAATACGAAAAGGGTTTAAACATAGAGGAAGTGGAGCAAATGAAAGCAATGGAGAAGAATCTAATTGGGATGGCAAGAGAAGTAGAAAGGTTGCGTGACGAGGTCTCAAATGCAGAGAAGAGAGCCCATGGTAACTTTCTGTCTGTCTATCGTTTTGGTACTTTAGATTGCTTTTGTTCTGATACTTCTGATATTTAATTTAGCACCAAACGCACATGCTGGTGGTTACACAAATCCAGATTCTTATTACCCAGCTAACATGCAAGGTGCTGGTGTGTATTTTGATGGTTATGGAAGGCCCTATGTTTCAACCGGTGTTAGACCACCAGGAGAGGGAACAATACCATATGCCAGCAGCAGCGGCATAGCTGCTGGTGCAGTTGTCCCAACTGCTGGTGGTGGTGCTATTTGGGGAGCAGCATATGACCCCTCACTGGACACTGCTGCTGCTGGCGCAGCTGTCTCTAATGCTGGGCTTGGATCTGCTCCAAGAGGCTATGATTCTACGCTTTCTCGGTAGTGAATACAGGATGAGGCCTGAGGTTTTCAGGGCTTTAGGCGAACTATTAAAATGGAGCGAATATTACTCACATAAGAAAATATGTTTGGCATTTTGGAGAGATTTTTCATTTTTTTGTTTGTTTTTGTTTGTGTAGTAAATCACATGAAACTTTTGCCATATAGGATTATTAAGTATTTAAATGATGGGTGTAATCCAATGTGAGAAGACCAAAGTACTTGTTATGCTTACTTACCTGAGCAAGTCCATAGCTCTTTGGTGAGAGCATTTGTCTACAAATTAGTGGTCTCATGTTTCAACCCCAAATGATACCTTCTTGCTTTCCAAACTTTGACAAAAAAAAATGGTGCAAGTAATATTTGAAGGATTGATTTATTACCCTTACCAAGGATCTGACTAAAGAAGATTACCTTTATGTATTCAAGTGTACTCTTCGTCGTAAATTGTTCTCATAATTAAAATGAATGTTATTGTGAACGATACCAAAGGCTTGACAACATCAAATTTACCAATAGTTCTAAAAAAGTAAGAAATCAAGAGACAATAGAGACCTAGATAATTGCCTAATAGTAATGAATAATGCTCTAAACTAACCTTATCAATAAACAAAAATTGGGGAAAAAACAAATTTTTTTTTAAAGATCAGAGTCTGATGTACAGAGTATAGCCGAACGGCTATACTATTTATAAAAAAAAAGTATTTATTAAAAAACGACCCCCAGTAAAGCCCAGCCGCTACTTTATATATATATATAGTCCCCTTCTATTGAGGGATCCCTCAAATAATTTTATTTGAGGGACGCCCTTTTAGGGTATCATACAATTTCTTTTCCAACGATCCAAACCATATACTTTTTAGGTCTTCATTCATAGATCATCCTTACAAAAAATTAGACAAATCGGAAACCGTTTCGACATCCAATTGTGTCTTACAAAATCAATAAACACGGTGCTTCAAGAAAGTACTAAAATTTCAATAACTCAATTAAGTGGTCAAATGATATCGGATTCAAGTGATTTTTTGTAGAGATGATCTTTGAATGAGTATCTACAAAATAGACGGTTTGGATTAGTGAAATACAATCCGGAGTGGGCCCTACAAGGGGTATCCCTCAAATAAGCTTATTTGAGGAATCCCTCAATGGAAGCTTATTTGAGGGATACCCCTTGTATAGACATATATATATATGTCTATACAGAGAGCTTCCATTGAGGGATTCCTCAAATAAGCTTATTTGAGGGATACCCCTTGTAGGGCCCACTCCGGATTGTATTTCACTAATCCAAACCGTCTATTTTGTAGATACTCATTCAAAGATCATCTCTACAAAAAATCACTTGAATCCGATATCATTTGACCACTCAATTGAGTTATTGAAATTTTAGTACTTTCTTGAAGCACCATGTTCATTGATTTTGTAAGACACAATTGGATGTCGAAACGGTTTCCGATTTGTCTAATTTTTGTAAGGATGATCTATGAATGAAGACCTAAAAAGTATATGGTTTGGATCGTTGGAAAAGAAATTGTAGGATACCCTAAAGGGCGTCCCTCAAATAAAATTATTTGAGGGATCCCTCAATAGAAGGGGACTGTATATATATATATATATATATATATATATCCATAGTATAGCCGCACGGATATACTTTGTGCAATAATAAAAAATCGTAGTATAGCCGAACGGCATAAAACCAATGCACCGAGTATAGCCGCGCGGCTATACTACACGTATGGCGTATTGCGCCAAATTCGCCACTTGCAAAAAATCGTATAGCCGGCCGGCTATACGATTTTTTATAAAACCGTTATTTAGCCGAACGGATGTACTATTTTTATTATATAAAAAATCCGAGTATATTCCGCCAGGTGTCAACAGTAGTATAGCCGAGCGGCTATACGATTTTTATTATATAAAAACATCCGAGTATAGCCGTCCGGCTATACGCTTTTTAATATAATAAAAACCTTATTATAGACGAACGGCTGTACAACTTTTATTATATAAAAAATCCGAGTAAGCCGACCGACTATACGATTTATTAAAAATAGAGGAGCCGCCTGCGGTTCGTGTTTATGTATAAGCATGTAGTGTCTTCAGAAATTATGTACGAATTTGAAATGAACCCTAAAATTTAGGGGTTTTATGGAGTTAAAGAAAATGGAGAGGAAAAAGATAAAAAACTTGCCAAATATACCATTGACAATAACATTACGTGGCGCTAGAGAATTAATCATCGGACGAAGGAACCGGAGAGGAGCTCAGCCCACCTTCATTTCATATATTCGCCATCTCCCGTTCACAAATCCTCCAAATCTCGCTCCTCTCTTTCATCGCTTAAGTCTTCAGTCATGGCCGAGGTTACCTTCTTTTCTCTTCTCCCTTTGATCTATCTGTATGTTTATGGTTATGGCTTCTGTTAGAATTCCAGAATTTTGTTTTTTTTATTAATTTTTTTACGAATCTATCTCCGTTTGACTTTATTTTTTAATACTGTGCATTGGGTTTTACAAAAATAAAAAGTTTATGAATATTTTCGTTTTTCAACTCAATTCGTTCGAAAAGTATCCCGACGAAGATTTCTGATTGAAATTTTTTTTTGGGCAACATTTTCAATGGTGGGTGCAAACGTAGCATATATTTCATATTACTGATGAGATTTTCCTTTATTAATTTTTTTATTATAAAAAACACTCCTTATTTCCTGAGTAAAAGAAGATTCAGGTTTTGAAATTTGATGATGGAGGATAATTTCTATCTATATTGGTCATTTAATTTTGTTTACCAGTATCAATCAATTGGATCTAATATTTGTTCTGCCTGTTCATGCCCACTCTAAGAGAATGAATGTCTTTCGAAAATTGTGTGTTTCATTTTCTAAATTCGGTTATGAGGGTATTATAAGGATTAACCAAATTCTGCCAATGTTCGACAATATTTAGTCCAAAATTTCCATTGGTCACAAATGGTGTGCTTGTGTTGTGTATGACTTTTAAGAAAATTTATAACCTGTTTCTTGCTCATGCAACTCTTGCCAATTTACCAGGCTGTTCTGTGTTTGGAGATTCGAGTTTGTCTCTTTATGTCATGCGAACAAGTTGTCACTGATTGAAAGTAGTTCATGGACTTTAATGTATTTATATGTTTTGATGGATGACATATTTGAAGATGTAAAGTGTGGGGCAAGCGTTAAACTCATATTGATCTAGATCGTGGAGTCCAACTTAGATGGAGTTATATTTTCTGGGGTTGATTTGTTTTGTAACTAAAGTGATGTATTTGCGCCCTTTTATTTATGTCAGCTATTTGTCACATTTTGTTTTCCTCACTTGAACTTTTCTGCTATGCTATCTCAGATTGAGCTGAAAACAGCACCTGTTGATTTTCGATTCCCTACAACAAATCAAACTAGGCACTGTTTCACGCGTTACATTGAGTTTCATAGGTAGTTATTCGAACTTTAGCACATAGTAGCTTAACAGTAAACTATTAATTGAGATTTTTTTTTGAACATGTCAAACTATTTGCAGGTGTGTGGCAGCAAAGGGTGAAGAATCAAATGAATGTGAGCGATTTGCCAAATATTACCGCTCTCTTTGCCCGGGTGAATGGGTAAGTACTTCTTAGCTTATTGTATTGTCCAAGAAACCTAAAATTTGCTCATGCCTTTTAGGATACTCCCTGTCTACTGTATTCTTACGACACAGAAGTTTGAATAAGTGCTTCATGTACCTGAATTTATGAAATATAAAAAGGAAAAAAAGAAAAAGGAAAACACCTTTTGTCTTTTCTAGTCCTGTTTCACTGTTTTTGATAAAAGAAATTTTGCAATTGTGGGGGGAAAGCTCTTGCTAGAAAAATGTCCAAACTGCAAACTTTACAATTATTAGGAGAACAAGTTTGAAAACGTATGTGTTTGAAATTAACTTATTCCACATTCATATTAGATTTTGCCATACAATTGTCCTCTTGTTGTTAACTTGCTGCCTTTATTACCAAGTAGAATTTTACGTGTTGTGTTCCTTGTGTAGAAGCGTAATGAGCGTAATTATACAGTTTATTTGATAGGCGGTTATTTTAGTCCCATGTTCATGTGACCATTTATGTGTGAGGGTGACAAAATAGTCTTTTGATATACTGAGGAAATAAAGCTTAACAACCACAGCACCAGTCAGAGCCTGATATTTTAAGTTGTTTTAAGGGCATTGATTTCTTTACCTTTATGGTTTTATACTCGGATTAAGCTGTTAGTGGCCTGTTCACCTTCAGAAATATGGAATGTTCAATTTTGAATGTTCCTTTTTCTCTGTAAGGTACAATACGTCCATCAGTTGGATTGACAAGTCTTGATTGTTGAAGAAAAGAATATTAGTGAACTCAATTGGATTGAATTATTGAATCAACAGTGGTGAAATCTCAAAACCTCTCTAGTTTATGGCTGTTTATTGGATCCCTGCAGTGATATTCTATTTTATCTATTTTCTGGGGTATTTGCTTGATTTATTTAATTTTTTCCCCTCATTCTTTAACTTTTGTTGGTATCGCTATTTTCCTTCTGACACTTTGAGGGTTTTCCAAGTACAAGGGTTGGTACCATTTTATATAGTTAGAAAGTAATTGTACAATTTAATCTATTATATCTAAATTTTTTTTTTTTTTTTTTTTTTTTTTTTTTTTGTGTGGGTGGGGGGCTTGTAGTATTAGATTGAGAGTGTGGACGAGCAGAGGGAGAATGGAAGTTTCCCAGGTCCTCTTTAATTTAACATCAGAACTCCTTGGCTTGATCTTTCATTGACATGAAAGTTGCATATCACTTCCGTTACCTTCACTCCAACCAGTTGTGCATGGTTTCTCAGTTGGATCATTGTGGATCAATAAATTACCTGTTCAGATTTCTTTAATTTAATTGAAATCACACATTGACTGGTATTTTAATTTATGATTTGTTCTCAGCACAAGTAGTTCCATGGTGCTCACACTTTGAGGGGGGGTTTTTTTTTTTTTTTTTTTTTTTTTTTTTTTTCTGTTTGGTTTGTCATTTTCTCCTACCTCCTACCCAAATAAACACACCACCATAGGAGGAAAAAAGAGAGAATATATATGCGTATGTGTTTGTAAGTGTTTGTTTGCATTCTAGCGAGCTATACATGCATCAGTCTTGGCTTCTGGAATATTCTATTTAATTTCAAACTGTAGACCTGGAGGAGCTGCTTGTGGAATAGGTCACTTAAGTCTTCTTTTTGAAAAGGAATTATTTTTGCACTCGAAAAGTAGGTTGTTGCACTGCACTCCGCGGAGGCTTTCGTCGAAAATAGAAGAGCCTCTCCAGTTATATTTATAGGTTTAAGGATCAGTCTCCACTTTTGTAAGGGGTATGGTTGAAGTTAGTATCTGAGTCTCAAAAGACTCTAATAGTAGAGCATCGAAGACACTGGTGATGGCCATAAAAAAGAGTTGGCCAAAATAGTGATAGGTTGTTGAACCATGAAAACCTTGATCTCACTGTTTATTTTTATTCTTTGAACTTTTGTGATGATTTTGACTATACCCTTATAAGAGAGACATGGCCAACAAGCTCTCCGCAGCAAGCAAAAGTATATTGCTTGAGATCAATAATTCTTAGGCCAAAGCTGCTACTTCGAGCAAGCTTGGACATTGAAAAGTTTTTGGGAATTTTAATTCTCACAGCCTTAAGAATTTTTATAGTCAAAGTGCTACTATACGGTCCTTCTAAAAACCTTCAACAAAAAGCCTTCAACAACGATATGAACTCAAGCTAGCCCCAGCAGAAGAACAAGCCATTAGCATAGATATGTAATCGAGATAACCGCAACAGAGGTACAAGCCATCAACATTGGCATGAAACTAAGGTAATCTCAATAGAGGTACAAAGAACTAGTAGATGCATGAACTCGAGATATCCTCAGCACAAGTACAAGCCATTGAAACTTTAGCATTTGAGAACCAAAATTAAATGCCTTATATATATATATATATATATTTGAGATATAGGGGAATTAAAAAAAGAGGACATGTAGGTGCATTTGCTACTTTTTTTTCAGTTTGATAATCTTCTAAAGGGGCTTGGGCTAGGCATCGACACATATTATGAACAACATTTTGGGCAAGGCCGTAAAAAGCTTAAACTTGATTTGGTGGGGTGCGCCAGGCCCATGCAGTAGTGCAATACTTGGGCGACGCTTGAGAGCCCCAGTAGCAAGCTACTGTTGTGAGCCCTCCCCCTAAAGAAATTAATTTAATATCGTGTGGGCCATTGGCCCACGTATCAGATATTAAACTGATAAGAACAGATACTACACTTGATCTTAGCCAAAAGGCCGAGAAAGGTATGCTTATTCCTCTGTTGGGCTGATTGTTTTATACACAGCTCCGCTCTCCTCCTTTCTTCAACTGGTCGATGTGGGACAATGGGAGTGGATGTGGGACAATGGGATTGTCAATAACCTTTCTTGAAGAAATCTTTGCAGTCTTTGTGGTTCAATGCAAGTACATCTAAAGCCTCTCCTCCACAACCTTATTATCATATATAAATCATCCAATAATTATAAAACATTTTAGAAACTGAACCATTTTATTGATTTGCTAAGGTGCTACCAAGTGAAAGAAATATAGATAATCAACCTCATTGGCAGCATCATTCATGCCCTGCTCTGCCTTGTGGGACATCAGCTTGTGCAACTACTGCATTGTAATTGTCCTTGCAAGAGGTTAAGGATGGCTGGTGATAATTCTTAACGTAATTTGGTTCGATCTTGACATATATATATATATATACACACACACACATACAGAGAGCTTCCATTGAGGAATTTCTCAAATAAGCTTATTTGAGGAACATCCTTGTAGGGCCCACTTTGCATTGTATTTCATTAATTCAAACCGTCTATTTCTTTAGATAATCATTCAAATATCATCTTTGCAAAAAATCACTTGAATCCGATATCATTTGACCACTCAATTGAGTTATTGAAATTTTAGTACTTTCTTGAAACACCAAGTTCATTGATTTTGTAGGACACAATTAGATGTATAAACGGTTTTCGATTTGTCTTATTTTTTTTGTAAGAATGATATGAATGAAGACCTAAAAATTATATGGTTTAAATCATTAAAAAAAATAATTATAAAACACCTTAAAATGCGTCCTTATTTGAGGAATCCCTCAATAAAAGGGTACCGATATATACATATTGATGCATAATATTGGGTCAACAAGATCAAGACAATAAAATCACAGTCTCACAGAGTACACGAGTAGTTACGTGGTTCATTCAAATTGGAGTAGATAGTACATCAGTTGTCAATTGTATTGCCTTTCACCATAAAGGTTACATTTACATTGAAAATACCAAAGTAGGGAGAGCCTCTTATAAATAGATGAGGGTTTGGGCCCTTCATTGGCTTCTAATAGCGTTGGGCATAACATGGTGATACGAGTAAATAGGTTGAGTAAAAATAAGCGAAGTGTCGTTCTAACCTAAAATAAAAGGATATGTAATGCATGATCAAAAAATTATGGGAAATGCTATTATTACTGTAGTAAAAATTCTCAAATAGCACTATTACTGTAGCAAATTCACAATATCGGTAGTATTGATTTTTTAGTTTTTTTTTTTTTATTTTTAATGACTATCTTGTATTGTATGTTAACGAAATAATGAGACAATATCGACAACATATTAAGATAATGCCAATATAATTAGTGGAAGTATTTGCTACAATAATAGTGCTATTTGAATTTTTTATTATTATATTAATATTCGTATTTGAGAGCATTTCCCGATAATTATAGGTCGGTAGCTCACAATCATATACTAGATAGACGGCTGAAAAGTCAAATATCATCTTATTACCACAAGAAAAACACAAGGATAAGATAAGAGGCAGCATATGGGTCCAAACATGTCGTGGCTTTGATACATTTGGCATGCTATTAGGGTTAGGAGTTATTCTCAAATCATGTCTTTGAATATAAGAACAAGTTGCTTTCCACCAATAGGACTTATTGTGTCATTTCGTAATAGGATTTATTGGTATGTCCAGTTATCGCTTGACATCAAATTCTATATGATTGACGTGTATCTCAATCTTTCATATGTGGTTTAACAAGCAAGACGGCCCCTACTCTTATTTTTTTTTTAAATACAAGTGATGGTCTAAATTACAGGAGATGAGGAGTTTCTCACACACGCACTATCAAAGTGTTATGAGAGTTCAAACTTGAGACCACTGATCTACAAGTCAATGCCATTTTTCATTGGGTTAGACCCCGTTGATTAAGCAAGACGAAACCTTTGACAAAGGTGAGTTAGTGATAATTGACTAGATATAAGTAATAGATCTTCATATTTGGCACAGATCAATTGGTGATATAATTGCAAGATTCCATATGATTTGTCTAATTTTCATTAGCAATAGATAGTAAAAAGGATCACGAAAACAATATATACTAAATATTAAGATAACTGTCTATGTCAACAACATGGCAGCGTGTTAATATTTTCCGCATAACATAAAATAAGTAATTGAAGGATAATAACACAAATTTTCTCTCCAAGTAAAACGATGCGATAATGAAGGCATATACAATTATCACACGTAGAAGGCCGTCGGTACAAGTTATTGTGAATTTCTGAGAAATAGTCAAAACGCGGAAGTTATGAATCTCTATATTAAGAAAAAGGAAAGTACTTTACGTAAAGAAAAGAAAAGAAAACAACAAGTAGAGTAATTAGCACCAAAACTAAAATCATGATAACTTTTGTTTTAAAAAAATGTTCACATGGTTTCACGAGCAGTCAAATTTAACTCTAGTTTTGAATACTTATGTATCTTTTGTACTAGTATTTATATATATCGGCCCTTCAATCGTATAATTCTAGCTTTACTCATGTTGTCGGAGTTGTAGGGGTTTATTCCGTGCCTATCCCTAATAGAGTATTGAATCTATATTTATTTATCATTTTAACCTCAAATCTTTATAAATTATGAAATGATTCCCCTAAACAATATCAATTATTTCAAACCCTTATTGCGAAAAAAAAAGTTGGTATAGTGCTTCTTTAAAACACATTTATTTTTCTCTAAGAATAAACAATATCCATAATTAAAAAAATAAATGAATATATTATAACGTTGTCTATAATTAAAAATATTCAGTAATGACGAATGATAAAATAAATAATTATGGGACACCCAAAAACTTAAACAATGCCAACAATACCATGTTTGTTTACTATATATAAACTTATAAAGATAATAAATCGTGTATATATATATATATTTTTTTTTGTGTAGGATAGTTTTAGCCACGACAGGCTGGAAAAAAAATTAGAAAATCCCCATGCAATTCCGTACGTGCACACACGGTATAATCTCCGAGAACCTTTCGTGAAATCCACAATATAAATTAACCACATCCGACAATAAATCTTTTGTTGTTTTGCTTCAACTTCTTTGTTCTTTCAATTGGCTCGATCTGTCGGAGGCTCAATCTCTCTGCAGGCTTGGTGAGTGTGGGTCTCTGATAAGATTGAAAGTAATTCTCAGGATGAAGATAAGCAGCAACCTGTTGGGACTTCTCAACATCCTCATCTTCCTCGTATCGATTCCAATCGTCTATTTTGGGATAATTGCGAACAAGACAAACAGCGGAGGGGAGTGCCTCGACCTTTTAAGGAAGCCCTTCCTTGTAGTCGGCATTTTCGTCATGGTGACGTCAATCTTCGGCATAATCGGGGGGTGTTGCCGGGTCCCTTGGATCCTATGGACGTACCTCGCCATCATGTTCCTCGTCCTGTTCGCCTACTTCTCCATGTGGATTTTCGCCTTCTTCGTCACTTGGAAACCAGGTGGTGGAACGGAGATTCTTGGTACGGGGCACATGGAGTTTAAGCTTAATCGATACACCGAGTGGATGCAGATGAGGGTTCAAGACGAAAAGAATTGGAAGAAGATCAAGCACTGTCTCATTCTTGGCGATTACTGCCCTAGTTTGATGCCCGGAAATGGCACTTCCCTCCGGGATTTCAACAAAGAGGAATTGGCACCAGTTCTGGTAAGCATGTATATACAAGTTTAATATATTGCTTATGGTTTTATTATTTTTTGGGTATACAAATTAATTTTTTGAGCTGGCACAGCTCTAACTCTTCTTTTCACATGAAACTTATTTTGGGTGGTTTTAGAGTGCTTTGATTGAAAATAACTCTAGTTAGTTAGAAATGGAGAATTACTATGTATTACCATATTTAAAAACTTATCATGCACTATTCATGGCTCATCACTAATTCATTGAACTTATATAGAAAGGAATGTATGATGACTTTTTTGGAGTGTTAGTAAAAACTTCATATTAGATATTAGGGGTTTTAGGAGCAAATAGTCCTGAATTATAGTTCGATTTGCATTTTGATACTTCAATTCCAAAATGGATGTTGTGGTCCTTCAACTCCACTTTTGATGGCATTGTTGAACATGTTGTATGTTCTGTTAAATACAAGGGCGAAATGGTCTTTTTATATTATTTTAAATGAGATTCACTATTATACCCAATATAAGGGCCCAAATTATAAAAATACCCCATATGAAATGAACTTTAAAAACACACCAAAAACTCATTTATAACATAACAAAAAAGCTTTTAACTTCTTATAAATTACAAAACTGCCATCAATTTCTTAAAACAAGCCCAACCCCAAAATCTCATAAAAATACCCAAAACACTTAATAGGGCATCAAAGTAATTTAATAATTAATATTAAATTCAATAAGGCCAGCTATCATTTTTGGGTTTTTTTTTGTTTGTTTATAAAAATTCAATTGTGCAGGGTTTATTTATAATATTAGTGCTAGAAATGGGTATATCACTAAATATATCTTATTTTTAGGGAAGTGATAGTGTAAACTATTTAAAATTAATCTAATTAATAGGGAAGGGATTTGAATTTGTATGCAAAGAGGCTTGCTCACTGTCCTAACCAACTCGCCTAACCCTAGTCTGTGCATATAAAGTTTTAATGGTAGACACTCAGCTTAAGTATGCACTACTGTTATAGTGTATATGGGTTTGAAAATATTGACTACAATTTCCAATTTATATAATGTTTGCAGTCTTCTCAATCGGATTTAACAAGGATCTTTAATTATGTGTTTATGTTGATTTGCAGTCTAGTTGTTGTAAGCCATCAGTCGAGTGTGGATTTAGCTATGAGAATCCTATCGTGTGGAAGAAGAAGAATAACAGTGCTTCTTCCAACCCTGACTGCAAAGCATGGGACAACGACCGAAAGGTTCTGTGCTTCAACTGCGAGTCTTGCAAGGCTGGAATGCTGGAACAACTGATAATTTCTTGGAAGGCGATGCACCTTTTCAGAACCCTAATGCTTGGCTTCCTCTGTTTGGTGTACGCTGTTGCATGCTGCGCATTCAAAAACACCAGAGAGAAATTCTGACCATTAATGGACGCATGCATGCAGTGAGAAGTTAATTGTACGCATGAGATGATCATCATGTAGATCAATACTGTTTCAATGTAGGATTGGGAGCTACCCAACATCTTCCATCTTCCTCTTATTTATTACTAATTGATTCGCGGTCTTATTGATCCACTAATTTTGCAATTGGAAGCTTTGACAAATTTTGTTACTAAAATCCATGTCCTACAAGGGGCTTACAACTCAAGTGGTAAGAGCAGTTACCTCTGCAATTCAGGTCATATGTTCAATTCCCCCATCTCACAATATCGCTATTGTCCAAAAAAACAAAAACCAAAAAGAACCGAGTACCTACTCGCATACTTTATTTATTTATTTATTTCTCTATTCGGATTTGCTTCAGTTTAAACAAAAGACTGGACCTCATTAAAATACAATCCAAAGGGTTAAAAGAACTAATACATCAAGACCTCATAAATAAAAACTATACTATTAGGTGGAAAGAAGTGTTTTTGGATTTGAAATTACAAAGAAAACATAGAATTGCCATAGAGGGAAATAAGAAGGATCCTTTGAGTTTCAGGCTTTGGTGGGTTTTGATTGATGAAGCTGTTATTAGTTCGTTTCTTTAACCATTAAATTTTATTTTAATCAGGTGGAAACTTTTCACACAAAAAACCAGGCAAAGCCAAATGATTGAAACTAACAAAAATTGGACTGATCGGTTTGGGCGGATTTGAATACCCTCTTTTTCTCCTCCTATACTCCTTTCCGATGTATGCGTGAGGGGTTTCTAGTCTTGGATAAATACTTTCCATCATGTTTACTATATATGAAAGGCAAGATTCCTACACCATCAATTTAAAACGTGTATTTAGACAATTATGTATTCTCCCCCATGGAAATATGTACGGTTGCACTATATAATCTCCGAGAACTTTTCCTGGAATCCACAATATAAAATCAACCGCATCCTACAATCATTGTTTTGGTGTTGCTTCTTCCTCCCCTTCTTCTTCTTCATTTAAACATTTTGATCAATAATCTATATATCTGAGGCTTAAATCTCTCTCGTTTGAGGAGTTTGGGTCTCGGATAAAAAAGTTATTTCAAAATGAACCTACCAAACAACCTATTGGGTCTTCTCAACATTCTCACCTTCCTGATATCGATTCCAATCGTCGTTGTTGGGGTACAGATGAACAGGGTAAATGGCGGTGGGGAGTGCTTCGAGTTGTTCAGGAAGCCCGTCCTTGTATTGGGTGTGCTGATCATGGCGATGTCCATCGTGGGCATAATCGGCGCATGCTGTCGGGTCTCTTGGGTCCTATGGATCTACCTCTTTGCTATGCTTCTCCTCATCATCTCCCTCTTCATCGTCTACGGCATAGCCTTGATTGTCGTGTGGAATTCAGGCGGCGGAACTAGGCTTCCCGGGACAGAGTTGAAGGAGTACAAGCTTAGCGGCTACTCGGAGTGGTTGCAGAATAGGGTTCAGGGAAAGAGCTGGGACACGGTCAAGAATTGTCTCATTGTTGGCGATGCCTGCTCTGAGATGCCCAAGAATGACACTGCACTCAAGGAGTTCAATATGAAGGTGTTGAACCCCGTTGAGGTATACATTTTGGAATATTTACATTTTTTTTTCAGGTCTTTCTTTATTTTTGGACAGTTGGCATGTCATTGGTGTCTCTACTGGTCTTAAATCATCCTACAAGTTATTAATTAGGCGGAGAGATTATATCAAGTAAAACATTCTTTTTGGTGACTTATAGAGTTCTTACGCGTGAAAAATCCCCTTCCCTTATAGTTTAGTTTAGACTATCGCTTGCCGAAAAAAAGAAGAAAAAAGAGTAACCTACACTTGCTATAATTACCCCTATGGTGCTCTCATCACTAACCAATAGTACTAGTAAAAAATGCATTCCAATATGAACATAGTAGTAAAACTGGATTACATTGTTGAAAGAGAACGACTCATTTCAATCTAGAACTCTTGTAAGCTTTATACTTTATGTTTTGGTGCCCCCTCCCGTGACTATGATACAATATTAAATATTCATCCATAAAAGTTTATGTTGTTACACACTTAGTTCAGAATTCAAATTCTGATTTTTAACTTGGGGTGAACAGATTAAAATGTGTTTGATATTATTTTGCAGTCTGGTTGCTGCAAGCCATTAGCTGAGTGTGAATTTACCTATCAGAGTCCCACCGTGTGGCAGAAGACAAAGAATGCTTCTTCCAACTCTGACTGCAAAGCATGGGACAACAAACCAAAGGTCAAGTGCTTCGACTGCAATTCTTGCAGGGCTGGAATTCTGGAACAGCTGATAATTGCATGGAGGAAGGCTCACTTTTTCAAATTTGCATTGATAGGGTTCCTCTCGGTTGTCTACAGTGTTGGATGCTGCGCTTTCAAAGAAAGCAGGAAGAAACCTGACTATTGGAGGCAATGATAAAAGGAAACTTTTTCGAATCTTCCTCTTATTAGCAACCGCTGGTCCTGATGACTACTTATTTTTGGATCGGAAGCCATCCTAAGCTTGGAAACTTCCTCTGGTACACTTTTTTTGTTGTTGATGTTTTCCCTCCTGTAACTAAAATGATCGCTATTATTAATCACTAATTTTTGTTTTATTTATTTATTAATTAAATTTTTATGGCAAATACGAATTAGGGCTTTGTTTGTACCAAGTTTTTGTTCGTGTAAAAATTTCCAGAGCAACTTTAGAATTCATTGAAAAATATGCGCATTTTATTCATCGCTGAACTTTTGCAGTCTCACGTTGAAATGTAAAACCAATTATGTAATTTCCTAGAAATTACTCATCATTAATTAAGTTGTGAAGATTGATTCTTGTTCTTGAAGCACACTTGTGTCAGCAGCGTTTTACTTATTTTATTTTATTTTTAGAATAAGCGATAGTTTTTATTGAAAAATATTTATTGATATATAAAACAAAAGTACAAAGCAACAATGTGTCGAATATAGATAAATCTTATCAAATGACCAAATGCAACAATATGTTGAATTGATCTGGACACAATCCAAGAATGACTAAAATTTGGAGAGAATCATATGAGAGATAGACAAATCTAATTCGAGCATGCCACGAGAATAGAAGGGAGAAACACTTGTGTGAAACTCGTGATACTATTCCATGTGGCAGTTTGTAATTGGTTGGGGAAAGCAAAATCATTCCACACAAGTTTTTCTGGTGGAAATGAGGAACTCTAAATGTAGATGTTTGGAAGATGAAAATGCAGTGAGGGGATGGGTAGGCTTTTTTTTGGTATAATTTAACATTTTTTTTTCAATTTTATGTTATTTTATCATTTTATATATTTGATTTAAATTATTTTAAAGAAAAATAATTTTGATTATTATTTTGGTCCAGGTGGACTATGCATAAGCACAAAAGAAAATGGCACTTCTTTTACCCATCAACATTTAACAGATGTACTAATATTTTGGGTAACATAAGATCGCATTTGTATAGTTTTCATAAGTTTGTGTACCAATTTGTAGGACCTTACAAGTTCATGTACTAATTTGAAATGACCTCCAAAATTTTGAAGATTTTATGTAGTTAATCCAAAGTTAAATAATGAAAAAAAGTGGCCTTTATTTAGAGTATTGGCTAAAATATTGGATCAAAATAAATAAATAAAAATATTTTAATTTTAAGTGTTGGATGTGGGCACTAGGAAGGAAGGAAGAGTTTTTTTGTGGGTTTCATTTGCATTTGAATTTGTTCATGTACTAATTTGAAATTATGCTCAAAATTTGGAGGGTTTTATGTAGACAATCCAAATTTAAATAATAATAAAAAAGTGAGCTGTATTTAGAGTATTGGTTAAAATATTGGGTCAAAATAAATAAATAAAAATATTTTAATTTAAGTGTTGGATGTGGGCACTGGGAAAGGAAGAGTATCTAACTGTGATAAGTTTCGTTTCGTGTGGGATTTGACGGTGTGACGGTGTGAGTCCGAGTGAAATTTACCTTGACAAAATACGAAAATTTAGTCCGAATCAGAAAAGAAAAGGAGCTCCGTATTGGATGTACACGCGCATACGGTTTAATCTCCGATACGCTTCCGTAAAACCCACGATATAAAACACCACACCGTCCCCCTTCTCCTTCTCAATCCTCACAACAACAATTCCTCATTCTCCTTTGCTTTGCCCTTCTTCATCTCTCTCTAGTTCGATTTTTGTGAATTGGGTTTTGTGATTTTAGCCTCCCTTCACAATGAAGATCAGCAACAACCTCGTCGGGCTTCTCAACTTCATCACCTTCCTCCTCTCAATCCCGATCGTCGTAGCCGGAGTGTGGCTGAGCAAGCAAGGCAGCACCGAGTGCGAGAAGTTTCTGGACAAGCCCGTCATCATTCTCGGCGTTTTCCTCATGCTGGTCTCGCTCGCCGGCCTCATCGGCGCCTGCTGCAGAGTCTCGTGGCTCCTCTGGGTCTACCTCCTCGTCATGTTCCTCCTCATCGTCGTCCTCTTCGCTTTCACCATCTTCGCCTTCGTCGTCACCAACAAAGGCGCCGGCAAAGTGCTTTCCGATAAAGGGTACAAGGAGTACAGGCTTGGGGACTATTCTAACTGGCTGCAGAAGAGGGTCAACAGCACCAAGAACTGGAATAAGATCAAGAGTTGCCTTATTGATAGCAAGGTCTGCTCCACGTTTCATGACAAGTATGCCAACGATACCATCACGGAGTTGTATAAGGAGAACTTGTCTGCGCTTCAGGTATGAACAACATTCATGGGTTTTGTTAATTTTTTTTCAATTTGGCTTTGGGTATGTCTTGAGCTTTGGCTTGTGCTTGGTCGAGATCTGGAATTTTGGTTCAATTTCTGGGCTTAGTTCTTAGTCTCTGAATTTGGGTTTGTTAACTTTTCATGCCTGTTTTGTTTTCAGTCTTGGATGTGTTTGATTTCAAGTTGGAATGATTTCAAGTTGGAATGTGGATTCTGAATGTGGGTTATGGCTAATTTGTCTGGTTTGATTTGGGTTTTGCTAATATTTGCTCCTGCGTGTGCCTCCTTTGAGATCTGAGTTACGGGGTTGTTAGGAAATGATCTGGGCATGATGATATTACATTAAATTGATTTGGGTTCAAATTTTGTTTCAACTTGTTCGGATTACCTTCTTTTTTCTGCCCTGTTGGTGTTGGAGTTCTGACTTTTTCACTTTCCAATTCGAATTTTGGATAGTTGTCTGGTTGTCTGTTTGGCTTTTTATTTTTGCACTTTATTCTCATTGAGTAGTAATTTAAAGATAATTAGTTTTGTTACAAGGCCATCTTTACAAGCTTTCAACTGAAGGATGAAAAGGCTGTATTCTTTTCTGGTCCATCCTCCATTTGGATGACTGAATCTGCAACTTTTGTATGCTTTGCAAGTTCCCCTTTTTGAAATGAAGTCTATTATATTTACAGAGGCTAAACTAGTAGATTTATTATTTAATTAAAAAATTATTATACTTTTAAAAGTGTTTGTAATAATTACTGTGCACGATTGATTCTTTAGAGAAACCAATTCCCATCGTAATTGTGGTCTTTGTATTGTAGACATTTGGGGAACGTGAATAGCCCCTCTTTGTTGTATAATTTTGTATGTTAAAGTGCCAGCTTTAATTCGTGATGCTATGCATTGACTTGGTACTCTGAGGACTAATGATATCATTTCATTACCTATGAGTATCCTGCTTTTTTTGAAATTGCTTATTGTTGGCCCTCAAAGAAAAGAATAATCACTTTTCGATACAAATTGCGCTGGATGGCCTACCTACCTCCCTCCGTCCACATGTTGTACATGTGAAGAAATTTGGACCTTTCCTTTTCAATATTCTAATATCCCATAATAAGGAGGGGCATTTTGGTATTCTAGTTTCCATTTGGTGATTGTAAATTTGTAATGATGTTCTTATACGCTACGTTTGGACAAGGACGTTTTCAAATTTCCCTGGGAGAAATTACTCTTGGAATATGTTTCAGTTTTGTATCTGTTTAGCTGTGCATACCTTGAAAAGAATAGAATTTTAATTGTCTGTGTTGGTTCCCTTGCTGGCAGTTTAGATTGCCTGGAGTTTAAGACATTGTCTTATATTTTCACTTTATTTCGTTTGCCATCTTCTCGGATTGAACAAGTCTTCTAACGTGTTTACTGATCTCCAGGCCGGTTGCTGTAAGCCATCAGATGATTGTGGATTTACCTATATGAGCCCGATTAATTGGAACAACAACGGTACCACCAGCTCTTCCAACCCCGACTGCAGCGAATGGGCGAATGATGCAAAGGTTCTGTGCTTCAACTGCCAGTCATGCAAGGCTGGACTGCTGGACAACATAAAAAGTAACTGGAAGAAGACGGCCGTCGTCAACATTGTATTCTTGATCTTCCTCATTATTGTGTACTCAGTTGGATGCTGCGCATTCAGGAACACCCGGAGGGACCATGAATATTGGAAGCATTAAGCAATATCAGATATTGGCATGTAATGTAGAGAGTAATTTTGCAGCTTGCTCTTAGTGGTGAAACCTGTGTCTTATAAACTTATGTTTATTAATTTCTTGTAAAGTATTTCATCACGTTTGGTTTAGGTTATTATATGTTTTTCAGCTGCTAGTCTTTTCTTCTTTTTACCTGCTTGTGCTGTGACATTGTTTTGGGAAGTCATCTTTGACTTTATACTTTTTATCACAAATGGTCCTTCATATTTACGAAATTATCACGAATAGTCTTTGAGGTTTTTTTGTGACACTAATAGTGCTTAACGTTTGGGTTTTTTTTTATCACAAATGGTCTCTGCCATTATAAATTCTATAAAGTGTGATGTGAAAGACAAGTGGAACCCACTTATCCAATTACATTGTGATATGTGGATAAAAAATAATTAAATGATTTTTTAATGATTATTATTATTATTTTTTTTTATGCAACTTTTCATCCCCCTTCCTTACTCCGTCTCTCTCCCCCTCTGCCCTCGCTCTCCATCTCTTCTCCCTGTCCTCTCCTTCTCCCTCTGTTTTTTTTCTTTCTCATTGCCACCTGCAAGAAAAAAATATAAGATATACAGTTGCTCTCCATCTCTTCTCCTTGTCTCCTTCTCCTCCTCCCTCTGTTTTTTTCTTTCCCCTGCGCGCCTCCCTCTTTTCGCCAACCATTCTATTTCTCCCTCAGTCGCTGGTAGTAACGAATATGTTCATTCCCTCCGCCAATTGTACCGCGACTGCATAATCGAAGGCACGATTGATTTCATTTTCGGAAATGCAGCTGCAGTCTTCCAAAACTGCACAGTAATTGTTCGAAAAACGATTCCCGGTCAGAAATTGATAATCACTGCTCAAGGGAGAACAGACCCAAATCAAAACACTGGCATTTCGTTGCAGAACTGTACCATTGTGGCTGCACTAGATTTCAACAAGACCGAGAGGCAAAATTTCACAACTTTTTTGGGTATGCCTTAGAGAAACTATTCAAGGACTATAGTCATGAAGAGCTACTTGGGGGACATGATATATCCACAAGAGTGGTCAAAGTGGGATGATTATAGAACTGTGGAAACTGTGGAGTACATAGAGTACTTGAATTTTGGACCTGGATCAGATACAAGGCACAGGGTCAAATGGGGAGGCTATAAAAAGAATTGCAGTGAAGAGATTGCGAGGCAGTTTACAGTTGGTTTGTTCTTACCTGGAGCAGGTCATTGGCTAAAGACAACAGGCATTCCACTTTCTTATGGTTCATAAGGAGAAGGAGACAGGGAGATGGAGAGCAAAGGGTGGAGAGCGAGGGCAGAGGGGGAGAGAGACGGAGTAAGGAAGGGGGATGAAAAGTTGTAGAATAAAAAATAAATATGGAATTTTCATTAAAAAAATTATTTATTTATTTATTTATCCACATGTCACAATGTGATTGGACAGATGAGCTCCATTTATTTTCCACGTCACACTTCACAGAATTTTTAACGGCAGAGACCATTTGTAATAAAAAGCCCAAATGTTAAGGACTATTAGTGTCACAAAAAAACCTCAAGGACCATTCGTGATAATTTCGTAAACGTGAAAGATTATTTGTGATAAAAAGCCTTGACTTTATTTGTGTGTGCGTGCATTTGCTAAAGGATGTGTTTGGTTTTTGATGCTATCTTGCTACAGACGGCTACAAAAATCCGAAAGAGTCATTTTCAGTCCAGCATTTTCTTTGATGCATCCATTGATGATGGTTTGGGGAGTGATAAGGCTCTTACCGATTGTTCGGTGTCCTTGCCATATTTCATTTACGCCGGATACCTACTTGTACTCACGGAAAAAAGTATACACGTGTGTTATGGCTGTATGACATGTTGTTCACTTGCTAGACGTGTGGCACTTGTGTTCTGACTGTCTGACATGTTTACTTAGATGATGATGTCACGATAAGGATAAATTTGTAATTAAGATGTCCTGAGAGGGGGTTTTCTTTGCACACAATTTAGATGTCACAGGGTTTTGAACTTTAGACATTTGAAATCCGTAATTTAATACTTGACCCCGTTGACTCAATGCCTTAGCCTAGGTCTCTTTAAAATCCGTAATTTAATACTTGAAAAATCATGAATTAGATTGTTTTGTTGAAGCAGATATTTGGTATAAAAGAAAAAGAGAAAAAAATCTCAAGCATGGCCTAAATAGTATAGTTAATTTTATACTCGTCCCGACTTACTCGATTCATGACTTCTTCTATTCTAAATAAGCATCTCTCGTATTACCATCCGGTGACTCGCAACAAAGGCATATACATGATACATTACATCGTATGGGGATAAATACATATTGTTTAGACCAGTGATAGTTAAGTTTTCCTCATAGTTTAGGCATACCAAAATTGGTCCCAATGTCGGCGTAACCACTGGGGGTGATGTTAATATCAGCAATTGCCCGACATTTTGGAGTGTGGAGTCCACCGTAAATATGTGGCTGGTTTTGCAGATAAGAAAATTTGAGGACGACTTAAATCCTCCACAAGATACATGCTACATATGACCCAAAAAAAGAAGATATATGGTATATAAAAGCATTTACAAAAGGTGGAGTGAGTGTGGTAAGGGTCATAGCTTTGGAGATTGGTTGACGGACCACAATTCCTCTTGGTTCAACTACCAGTTTTAGTGGGGAACCTAATCATGCATAATTACATATGAAGCTTGTCCTTACTACTATAGCCTCATTTGCTTTCAATCTTTTTTACAGAATTTCATGCAATATGCATATCTGTCAAAACACCGTTTTTGTACTTGAGCATATATTTGACTCTACTTTTCCACCTGAGTTCCACGCATTTTGTAGTTTAGCACACATAAGCCTAAGTAACTGCAATGGGCTTGTAGTCCATATGCATGCTATGCTTAAGAGTATTTATCTTTGTATCTGAGGTTTTAGATTTGATTTTCTCTTTTTTAATATCGTTCGTATTTTTGTATTTTAAAAAAATCCTAAGTTACGTCATTAAAATAAATTATTATATGGTAGTTGAATACGACCATGTGATAATTCGTTTACTATAATTACTCTCGCCACTTAGTGAATATTACTACCATGCCCACATGACGTAACACTGAAACCAATGGGCTCCGCAGTAGTAATCCTGACTTCAGCCCATTTTTGGGTAAAAAACGACTTGACTAAAAAGAAATAAATTACAAGCCTAAAAAGAACCAAACAAAACAAACAAGACCAATAGCATGCAGACTCAGAAAACAAGAACAACCGAGCCCAAGCAAGAAAAACAAAAGAACAGGCAAAGAATCTAACCAAACAGATATTACTAGGGAAAAAAAAACAATTAACCAAATGAGACAGAAGACAAGTCCCAAAGACAAGAAGCAGAACAGTGAAGAAGACCACACAACAACCAAAGCAAATAAACGTGCGTTGAGAAGCTAGTCTGATGTTTTTTCCCGTTTCTCAAGGTGAAAATCTCAGTTATTTTCAGTCCCAACTAATTCAACATGTCATGGTCTTCTTATGGAGGGAGCTTTGATTAAAGATTTCTTTAAATAATTAAATTTTGTATTTGAGGGGGTATTTTAATGAGGCTCATCTCACATTGTATTTTAATAATTCATTTTTTTTTAAAAGTCTGCATTAATAAATTATTTTTGCAAAAATCACTCGAATTAGAAGGCTGTAAGAGCATGTCTAATGCAAGAGGTTGGGTGCTGTTTTAGCCCCTCAAAATGATACTATTCACAAAATATAGCCTCTCAAATTTTTTGTGGTTCTAGTGGTGAGGGGTTAGGGGCTAAAACTCAAAACTTATTCTTTTAGTTTATTATTATTTTATTGGTGATAAAAACACTTATTTTTTTCATCTTCATTGTGAAATTATAGGAAAAGATATCCAAGTGTGCAATAAGTGGAGAAATGAGTTAAAATAGTGACACGTGACGTGTTATTGATCGAAAATAAAGTGTTTCCCTCTCTGTCTCCCATTCCTTCCTCTTCTCTTCATATATCCCCATGGACACATGACATAGTGTTATTGATCGAAAATAGTAAAATAGTGATATTCCCATTTTAAACAAGTTTTTCTCGTCCCATGGAGATTGACAGCCCAACACGAGGTTTTATTACTGATACACCTCACACAACAACCAATGACTAAGTGATCTTATACATGGTTGGATTTCTTTTTGTCTTTAGTTATATTGAAAGATGTAGCACCAGAAAATAATTATTTATTGGTATTAGTGAATTTAATTTATAAAAAGTACTAGACATACCACAGTTTTATACCATATTATGTATAACCTCTCTAATAAAGGTGGACCTCATTGTATTGGTGGACTCCACCTCTATTAGAAGGAGTCAAAATAAGCTTAAAAGTAGGAGCCACATTTGCCAACTAGGACTATGATCGGGTCGGAATCTGATGTGGGTCGAGTCAACTTAAATGGATGAGCTTTTGTTTCTCCTCCAAGAGATTTGCACAACTAGGACTATCAAATAGGCATTGGTATAATACCAACCAACCCTTTCCGATGCCTAAGTCAGAAGTTGTGGATGGTATATGTTTGGGTAAAAAAATATAGAGTTTATAAGTCTTGTAGCCGTTATTACTTTTGTTTGAATGTAGGTAAGGGGTATTTATAGGAGAGAGACATTTGCTAAGCCATATATTTTACTTCACACCTCCCAGAGTAAGGGGGTTTGCTTGGGCACGAATTTCTATGCCCTTTCGCCAGATGACACTTGCATTGGCATCGTAGTGTATTCAACCCTCTCCAGCCACGTGGTGGCACTGCCACTGGCGAGGTTGGTGAGTTGTCATGAGGTATAAACTATTTCTCATCCTTTCTGGTTAGGATTAGACGAGAGGATTTTGAGGTGAATGGTGTTTAAGTGTAATGTCCAGGTATGGCCGATCTCTATCGAGCTGAGCCGGTGTGGGAGACATTAGGTGAGGTGACCTTGGTTCTACTTAAGGTTAACTGTTGTGTAGCGAATCGGGTTGGTCTAGGCTTAGTAATTTTGAGGTTTTATGTAATTAACCATTTTATATTTTATTAATAGACTTTTTTTAATTGTTGGAAGAGATGCTTTATGAAAACGAATAATGCTACTCTTACTACATTTGTATACCACATCCCTATACCATTTTATGTGGCAGCTGAGTTAGACAGCTACATCAATTAAAATCATTTAATATTTTATGATTTATTACAGTATTTGTTTTTCTAATTGTCTTAATTAAAATACACTTCATTGATTTAATTGATGTGACATATAATATGCACATGCCACATTGTGTGGTATAGAAATGTGAGATAAAAAATGTGATAAGTGTAGCATTACTTATGAAAACACCATAAAAGTATACAACAGATAGAATGAAAATATTTGAAACCCAACATGAAAGCTCGGAATAACAGCGTAATCTTAAAAAGATTCACGGCTTGAAACAATCATGAGGAAATAATGAAAAAGAAAAAAAGACTGATGCCCAAAACAATACATGAGAGACTAAAAAGGACTCCAATGGAGTCTAGTGATGGAGCAATATTGGCCTCATTAAAACCATGCCTTAAAAAAACCCCAAATGGAAGAAAATCCCGTCAATAAAAAAAAGTACCACTGTCAAGCTAGCTCATCAACAACCACCAATAGGCAAAACTTGGACTAGTAGACAATGAACAAATGTTGCACCGATTGGGATGATTGAAAAGAACACCAACTGGTAACTGCTCCACTACAAACTTTTTTGTAATCGCTACACAGCAAAATTGTCTTGTAATTGCTCAACGTCCTACGAACTTTGGTCGCCATGGTTATTCCCAGTTGTTTAACATATGATCATCGCAGCCAACACCACAAACATGAAGAAGATGTCGTTCGTTAGGATACAAAACAAGACGGAAATCAGCACAAATGTAAACAAGTTTGGCTGGTTGCTTACAGAAAAACAAAACTGAAAGTGTACAATGAGAGAAGACACTCCCCGTATTACTATGAGAGAGTTAGGCACACAAAGAAATTCAAACTGAGAAAACTCTAGAAATGCCGAAAAACAAAAGAAAACAAGAAAGCAAACTGAAAAACAGAACAAAATGGAAAAAAACTGATATAACAAAACACAAGAAAAAAAAGTTGAAAGAAAAATTACAGTTGTCCATCATGGATGTGAAAAAAATGTGAAAGCAAACCTGTATAACTGTTGTGTCCATATCCATCCTGTGCAACCGCTGCCAATCAAGAAGTTTTGGGTGCAACAATGTAACCAGATCTACTCATCTTTGTGTGGGATATCATCATAAAAAAACTGCACCATAAAAAAGACCGTTTCCCACAACAGCCATTAAGCTTCATGCGAGAATGAGTTTTTCTGTTTTTTGCTTTGCCTGAGTTTGATAGTTAGCATAATGTACTGCAATAATCCATCCATTCAATGTTGCAAATTGACAGATGAAAACACAGGGACTGCTTTTTCAATCACCAAATCACCCTACAATTGGATTGTACTGAATACATAACTACTTGAATTCAGTTTCGCAGAAGGGGAAATGAAGGAGGAGGAAGAGCCAGTGAAAGTAGATGATTTTAGTGAGCCTAAACAATTTCAGCCTAAAGAATTGTAAGCCAAGTACAAAATACTCTAAAAGTGGCTTTAGCACCTTAAACAAAATGTAACTGTTTGTTATGGTAAACAAAAGGAAAAATGTCACTTTCCTTACTTGTCTCTGAAGCATATGTTTTTGTATGTGCCAGTGAAAGCCTAAGGATTTAATTTTTTTTTTTTTTTTTTTTTTTTTTTTTTTTTTTTGAATTGGATAATACAGTTCTATTCGGTTCAGGAACTTGCTTCTTTTACTTTAATAAAGATAAATATAATAGAATTGCTTAACTGAATTTGTGATGTTCATAATACTTACTTCGCTTATATATGACAGTGATAATAAACTTTGAATGTGTTGTCATTCATAAATTTGTATTCATTAAAATGACTATAAATGCTTTGAAGTACTTAGAGTGTATCTCTTTTTCAAATGTTTATAATGTTTGAGTTATATGAAAGTTTTGTAATTGCAGGAAGAAAATATGATAATTGAAGGTATTTATCTATTTCGTTTGTTTTTGTTTTCTTGCAGGCTATATGGCTAAACCGAACGAGACGATCATTTTTGCCCGAAAATGTTAAGCTTGGCTTTAGTAGACGGAGGCCGTGGCTCAGAGTTTCTATGAAATCATGATCATTTATGTTTTGGTGATACTTCTTCTGTTAAGCGTGTAAATAGTATCTCAATGCCTTAGATTAGGTGATGTAAATCTAAAGTTTGTTTTATCACACTTGGGACCTGTAATTATCAACGTTTGATGGTTGAAAGAGCTTCATGGCAGTTTAGAGCTATTCAAATTTCTGCATAATTCACGAAAGCCACGCATGCTAATGTTCCTAAGTCAGACTTGAGAGTCACATGATAAATCATCACTGTTCACATATATTTTCTACAAACAAACTCATGTCATCAACCGGAAATTTCTGATCATTATTATTTCCACACTGAATATAGCACTTTCTTCTGGATTACAGACAATGCAATGAAAACAACTAAATCATGTTTGCTCCTTCGAAGCTCTTCTTCTACAGAAATTTGCCACAACCATACGTGCATTTCAAATCAAAACTTTCCAATTCATATCTGCGAGAGAGACCTTATCTCCATAAAATATCCGCATGAACTTCACTGCTACTATTGGACTTTTTATCTAGCACAAAAACAATTTCAATTTCAAATGCATATTAACAATTCATATGCAATCTCATAAGCAAGTACAAAAACAATTTTGAATGTGTACTATAAACGACTAAAATATATCCATAACACCTTAATCAGCTAAATAGAGCTCATCATTTAACTATTGAGTGAAAACGGGTTACAACTTTTAAAACAATCACAGCCGCACAATCTCATTAAAAGACATCCAACGGCTGAGCGCCCCATCCCTCAAATAACACTATTTGAGGGATCCCTCAATTGAAGGGGATTGTATATATATATATATATATATGGAAGGGGATTATATATATATATATATATATATATATATATATATATATATAAAGAAAGAAAAGAGTATGCTTCCAGGAGGAAGATAAATACTTCTGGTTAAGGAAGCCTAGCTTGTCAATATTCATGGGAATTACCATTTCCTCCTTGTTCAGGTATTTCATTATTGGTTTCTCTATTTGGGGAGGCCTAATCCTTTTTTCTGTGGAGAAGGACTCTGCTTTGGCAAATAGAGATACCAAAAGTCACCTTCTTGATTAGTATACTCACAGAGTTGAAGTCAAGTCTCTACTACCAGCAACCACATGCAGTCCCTCTACCAAAGGTTAACCGCATAACTTTCAATAATCACCATGTTTGTGCGTGTTTTCCATTCTAAATCACTACAAGAAACTATAGCCACTGACATTTGTTGCACAATATGGGGCGGCCAAAGGCACTATTAGTGCCTAATAACACAATGGGCGTGCATAGTCTTGGTTGTTAGCTATTAGGCATCAATATTAGTGCTTTTGAGACCTAATCATGTGCCATGAATGTCAGTTTCTATTAATGAAGTCAGCTTGCTTATGGTTTACTGTTGGTCGACATTCCAACTCCCTAACCATGGAATCTAAATTTATACTTGGTTCACGAAATAAGCATGCTAATCATTCCAAAGAATTACTGTTCATAGAAATTCAATCCACTTCGGGCTTAACTCCAAGAAATTCAACACAGACGACCTAAACCAATCGGAGTCCACCACCATACTGACGAAGTTAATAAGTAACAACTTTAGTTCTGGCATCTACATGGTGACAGTACTAGGCACACCCGAGAAGCAAATTTCACTCGGAATTGACATAGGAAGCGATCTCACTTGGACTCAATGCCTGCCATGCACTCCTTGTTTCGAGCAAAGGGAGCCCATCTTCGACCCCTCCAACTCAACTTCCTATGTCAACATTTCCTGTGATTCCCCATTGTGCAATTAACTTGTCTCAACCGTCGGTGTTGTACGTGGTTGCACAAACTTGACAATACCCGCCTGCACATTCGACATTTGATACGTAGATGAATCATTCACCACCGGATTCTTGTCTAAAGAAAAGCTCACATTAACGCCAACACACATGCTAGTTGGGTTCATCTTTAGGTGCAGCTATAATAACAGGCTTACTTGGCCTAAAGGCAAAGCTGGTTTGCTTGGCCTTGGCCACACCAACATGTCATTTCTCGAACAAATCGCGTATAAGTATGGCTGGTTTTTCTCTTACTGTCTACCCTCGACCTCAAGTTCCATCGATTATCTTACCTTAGGCAGAGACGAAACTTGGTTTTCTAGCAACATAAAATTCACATCCCTCTCTTCCATCTCTGGAAACTCATCATTTTACGGCCTTAACATGACAGGTATCAGTTTTTGTGGACACGCATTGCCCATTTCGGCCACAGGTTTCTCATATTCAGGGACGATAATTGACTCGGGGACAATCCTAATGTGGTTGCCCCCAACGGCGTACATCGCTTTGCTCGATGCGTTTCGGGAAGTGATGAAACGCTATCCGTCAGCTCCACTGTTTGAGAGAATTGATACAAGCTGTGACCTTAGTGGCTATAAAAAAAGTGTCATTTCTGAAAATGGGGATGACTTATGCGCCTAGTACTTCCTGGTTTTGCTTGGCCTTTGTGGGAAACCAGAATGATGCTGACCTAACGATTTTGGGGAATGTTCAGTAGAAGAGCTTCGATGTTATATATGACATTAAAGGAGGAAAGGTTAGATTTTCTCCCGCAGGATGTGCCTGAGCATGTACATTCAACAATAGCTTCTAGTTAAAAGTACTACGTGTGTGTATATATAAATATATGATTGCTTAATTACAAGGAAAGTTTGATTCAGCTATCTAATGTTAAGTCGTTGTTGACAATGATCAATCAGTATTATTTTCATATCCCTATTTATTCTGGAATAAAAACTAGGGAACATTGTCAATGGGGTCTAGCCCAGTGGAAAATGATATTGATATGTAAACCAGTGGTCTCAAATTCGAACTCTCATGGCACCTTGGTAGTGTGTGTGAGAACCGCTATATTCTCCTTGTAGTTTAGACTATTTGTATTAAATAAAATAATTAATTTGACTTTTCCCCTTCAAATTACTTTAAAATTTCCACCAACTACCCACAGTCCACTACCATTTCCACCCAACTTGCGCAATAGCTCCCAAGAATGCTTTTGAAGATTCGTTTCATAATGACCATAAAACCCTATAAACATGAATCTTATTTACTCCACCCCTTCAATAAAGACATCAATATTACCTTTTGAGTAGGACCGAAGGGAAATAGTAACCCCGTCTTGCGAAAGTATAGCCAAACCTCCAGACATTCCAACATGACCTATACAGAAACACCATTTCATTCCTAACTGTCTTTATACTACCTCCATTTGACAAGTCGTCTTCTTAGTCTCCTTCAGAAAAATAACGCGGGGTTGTTTAGCTCTAAGGAAGAACCTTAGAGCTCGAAATGTATGTGGATTGCCCAAACCAAGCACATTCCAACAGAGGATCGTCAATTCTCGTGATAGGCCTATTTCCCAGGACCTATCACAGATTTGCTAGCCATACCAGCCATTGTAGCCTCCCCAACAGAATTACCTCATTGCCCCAAACCGTTCATTTTTGAAAAACCTCGAGGACGTACTCCCCTCCTCCTCTTGAATCCTGTTTTTCCAGATGAAGAAGAACCTTTGTGACAACTAGGGGGAAGTGAGTTCATATTATGCGTATGACCGGTGCATTTATCTAGCATGTTATCCGGCACCACCTCTATAGTTTGGGCCCCTATAATCTATTTCTCGTAGCTCAATCCTGAAATTATTGTCATAGGAACAACACAAAGCACATTAGTAACATCAGATTCTCCATAATAAGTTTTTTCCCCGACAGAATCAGATGTCAACCTTCTCTTCTTAGAGAGGGACCCCTCAGAGACTCTGTGTAGGGTATCATCTGAACCCAATGAGATATCCTTCTGAGCAGCAAAGGCCACATGGTTTGAATGAACAGTCGCTACATGTGAAACATGACTCCCTAAAACCACCTCTTGGCTATGCAACTCCTCACGCTGACCCAAGCTTCTTCCTATCAAACCATTTGGAACTCGAATACAAAAGACATCCTTTATCTACGTCTTCCACCTCCAATATTGCTCTTTTTCAATAACCCCCGAATATTTGAATTCACACATAGACCCGACGTGATCTAAACTACCACAAAATATACCAAAAAAAGGAATTCTTTCATATTCTATTTCGTAGGGTTTGGTAAGTTCATCTAGTACAAGTCTTAGAGTACCACAACGTTTCAAAGGTTTCGTCACCTTTAAACCCACTCAGATGCGCATGAAACTCCCCAAACAATCACCATTAAGTCCTTTATCTACAATAACAAAGGTTCCCAGAAAATTCCCAATTTTTTCTCCCATTGTTGGAGTAAGGAAAAGAGGTGGAATATCCCTAACCCCAACCCATAAATTTTGTAAGTCCAACGGAACAGTATAGGGATCAATGCCTTATCAAAAGTCCATGGTGATCCCCTCATCACCCACTTATGATCGAGATCACTCTTGAAAGGAAATAGAAGACGTCAGAATCCTCCAAGGTAACAAAAGAGAACTCCTCCCGTGTATGCCAAATAAGCTTCAGCATGCCTACCAAGGAATCCTTGTGATAGTCTTTAGTTGTCAGCATCCACCCTACCAAGAGAAAGCGAGTCGCTTTTAGGCCATCGAGATCATCAAGAACAACAACTTCGATAGCCTCTGCATTCGAGATCTGTTAAGCCCCTGTGTAATCCCATCGATGGGATCCATTAGCCTCAGAAAAAGCAATCTGCAACCCAAACTTTGAGAAGAAACTCATATCGAGACTACCAAACCAAACCTTGAGAAGAAAAACTCAAACCTTGTCAACCAAACTAGCACCAACTCTACCACCAAACGATGGGAAACCCCACAGATGATGAGAAACCCCGCAGATGATGAGAAACCCAACTCCAGCACACCACGCAGCTTATAAGAAACTTCGGCGGCCAAACCAGCGCCCACTCCACATAGAAGGTTGTGACGGCAGACCAAAACCCTATTTCCTTAACCCTAACCAGACGCTGAAGGGACTCTATCTCGACTCTATTAATTTTTACCTTATGTATTTAATTGTGGTCATGTTAATTGAACAACTGAATGGGCATTATTTCAAAAGAGATTTTCTATTTAAACCCCACACTTTTCTTAGTTCACCCTAACTTTTAATTAAAATTTTCACAATTTCTAAGAAAACCCCACTATCTTCCCAAACTACTCTTAAATACACCCCAAACTGGAAAAAAAAAATAACCACAATTTTCTTTGTTCCCAGCAAAAAAAAAAAAAAAAAACACAAAAATAAAACCAAATTACAAATTTAATAATTTCTAGAGAGAAGAGAACAGTTTTACCTCTCTCCAAGAACTGTAACTGGAATTCTAACACTTGGATATTGGTTGAGAGAGAGAGAGAGAGAGAGAGTTTGTAAACATGAAGTTGGAAGGAGGTTTCTAAAACTTAATATGAAGAGTGGCAGGGTGTGTGGTATAGATGTATTAGGGCTAATTATTAAGTTGGATGACCTTTTTTGTCTTTTTACACAATAATAAAACTTACAGCTTAATGATTTAAGTATTGTGGTGAACAAAGAGAAGTGCAGGGTTTAAATAGAAAATCTCTTTCAAAAATTTTCTTTTTCTTATACTATGAGTTGGAAGAAATAATAACTGCAATTTCTCCATATTAGAAATTCAAATATGTAAATGCAAATTTATTTGGAATTTTAAATGATATACATTACTAGCAATATGCTCATAAAGGAAATAACAAAAAAAGAAATAACCCGTGTGTAATAAAGAAGGGTATTTTAAGAAGATGAAATGGATATAGGCCAAAGAACTGAAGTCATATTTGATTTTACACCACAAATAGTATAAGTTAGAAATTATGTTAGCAGTACAGTCTAGCTTTCTATAATTAATATTATAGTTCGAAAAGGACTTCAATGCCACATGCATGCATATTGGCTCCATTAATTGCAAATTTATATATTTGTTGACCATCTTTCTAATAAAAGTAGACCTCACTAATGTATATGGGATCCATCTGTATTAGATAGATAATCAGCAAATGTAGTACTTATATATATATATATGATGGAAAAGTAGTTTTATCAATGAGCACTTTGGTGTAAAGCTTTTTGCAGGTAAAAAGCATGGGTGGGATGGAGGATTACAAGGCGGTGGTGGCTATGATCGGAATGCAAAGCATCTATGCAGGGCTTGCTCTATTCACTAGAGTTGCTTTGGTACAAGGAACGAGCCCTAGGGTGTTTGTGGTGTACAGGCAAGCTATAGGCAGTTTGCTCCTGGCTCCTTTTGCTTGCTTCGCCAAATGGTAATTTCGTCCCCTCTCTCTCTCTCTCTCTCTCTCTCTCTCTCTCTCTCATATATATATACTTGATTTTTTTTGGCAGGAGAAATCCATACAGAGCTTCCTTGGGATTAAAGGGCTTTTGTTTAATATTTCTGTCCTCTCTTATTGGGTAAAGTATCTAATGATTTATTATACTGTTTTAGAGTTGCTAGTAACTCGTATAACTAGGATTTGTTGTGGAGCTTATGATGCTAAAAATCAGTGACATAATTTTCATACGCAGAGTGACTGCAAATCAGAATGCTTACTTTGAGGGCCTGTATTTAGCCTCTTCAACAATAGCAAGTGCAATGGCTAATCTGGTTCCTGCAATCACCTTTGTACTGGCCACAGTTGTTGGGTAAGCGGCTAAATTGAGTTATTACCTTAGTAACCATTTTTTAATTTATCATTTGTTTCTTAAAATCATGCCATATTCAACCTATATATAACACATTTATGTATCACTTTTCTAACGTATGTGGAGTCCACCAAATATAATGGGTCTAAGCTCTATCAAAGACACAATATGGTCTATAAATGTAGTCTCCCTAGCATTTCCCTAAGAGTTTTTCTATTTAAACCCCACACTTTTGTTTGTTCACCCCAATACTTAACTCAATAAGCTCTTAAGTTTTATTATTGTGTAAAAAGACAACAAAAAAATGTCATCCAACTTAATGCCTAACCCTAGTACCATTCTAAGGTTTTGTAGCACATTCAGGAAAATATTGAAACAAAAATTCATGTAGTGGCCCCATAGTTGACATATTTGTAGGTTTTTTTTGTTTTTATTTCCAAACGAAGAGAGTTTCATTAAAGACGAATAGCAAGGTTTACATCACTAACTAAAATATCAAAAATCCACTTAGGCGACACTTGGTCCCAAATGTGGTTACCACCTACTCTAGACACAGAGGCCACAACCTCATGCGCTGCCTTATTACACTGACCGGGAGTAGCTAAAAAAACAACATGTTGGAGCTTGCCAGCAAGCATCTTAATGTCAAACACAATAGCTTCCACCGCAACATCTACTTGACGCTCACCTTTGAGCATTTGGATCAATTACATTGAGTCAGATTTAGTCTCCACACACAACAATCGACCTTTGATGCAAGCAAGCAAAGCTTCTCTTATAGCCTTCGCCTCCATCATCAAGGCCATACTACCCCATAATCCCCATACACCCCTTGCCTGCACTAGCCAGCCATAAGTGTCTCTAATAACCTAGCCAGCCCCACCCTTTTGCGTTTGATTCAACCAAGCTCTGTCACAATTAGCCTTGACCCAGCCATGTGCTGGCTTAGTCCACGAATTAGGCACACTTTGAGCACAATCTTGAGGACAGGGCAGCTCGTTAATCAATGGTTTGGTCAACATTTGGGCTACCCTATACTCCTGCACCTGAGCTTGGAGACTTATCACCATAATTGTAGGGTTAGTAATAGTCCCTTCAAACACCGCACTGTTTCTTGTTTTCCATAAACTCCACAGCCCAAAAACCACAACATGTAAAATTTCTTGAGAGTTCACATGCTTCTCATACTTATTTAATATGCTTTCCCAGCGCTCACTAAACTCCTCTACAATCAATTGTGAGACATCAAGCTGTAAGGAACTTTCGAACCAAAAAACTCTAGCATGCTCACATTGAAAGAAAATATGCACATGAGATTCCCCTTCATAGTCATAGAGGGCGTAGGTATTATCAACATCAACCGAGCGACACCACAAATTCCCTTTTACTGCTAATGCATTTCGACAGCCCCTCCAAACAAATGCTCGTAGTTTTGGCAGCACTTGCAATCTCCATATGCTCTTCTAGAAATTCTTCTGATCATTTCCATGGCTGCAATCTCCTTCAGCTTTCCCCCCCAACTCACCATTTTTCCGTTAATTTAGAGCAAGTTCATAGCTGGTACAAACTGAGTAACCACCATGGGCAGTAAATTGCTACACTAGTTTGTCATCATAGCCCCACCTGCTAAGAGGTAAGGATAATATAGTCTGGGCTTCCACACTATTGAAACAAGGCAAAATAAGATCTCGATTCCACATCTTCGTTTGATCGTCAATAAGCCCTTGCACCAAAATAGGCAATTTGGGTGTCTAGAGTAAATCTTGAAAGTAGAAGGTTTGGGCACCCAGTTATCCAGACAAATACGAACTTGTTGTCCATTGCCTATATGCCATCTCATGCTTGCCTCCAATATTTTCCGTCCTTGCAAAATACCTTTCCACCCCCACGACTTCCCACGGCCACTAACAGCTCTCATAAAATCTGAAGACCTAAAATACTGGTCCTGGAAGGTAGTAGCCAGCAATGAATCCGAGTGTTTGATAATCCGCTAGCCAATTTTTGCAAGCATGGCTAGGTTGAAGCATCTAAGATCTTGAAAACCCATAACCCCTGCTTCTTTCATCATACAGAGACGTTGCCATCCAACCCAGTGGATACCCTTATGCTCCTTGTGCCCCTTCCACCAATAATTAATGATCTCCCTTTCAATCTCCTTGCATAAATTAATGGGTAACTTAAAACAAGACATAGCATAATTAGGCATAGCCATAGCTACTGCTTTGATCAAAACTTCATTCCCAGCTTGAGATAAGTATTGTTCAAACCAACCCATAAGTTTGGCATTAATTTTGTTGGGTACCTCCTCAAAGACCTGCTGTTTTGACGCACCAAAATCAGCATTGAGTCCTAAATATCGTCCGAAACCATCATTTTGTTGTACCTGTAAGATTTCTCCCACCTACTTACGGACACACGCATGACATTTCTTCCCAAACAAGAGGGAACTTTTATCAAAATTAATACATTGACTTGATCCCTTCTCATAGCATACTAAAATATTTTTCAACCATCTAGCCTCATGTTCATCAGCTTTGCAAAATATACCCAAGTCATTGGCGAAGAACAAATGTGAAATACTAACTCCTTGAGGATTTAATCCCTGCAAGGCACCCATCTCTTCATGCTTCTTAATCATAGTTGACAAGCCCTTAGCACATAACATAAATAAAAAAGGAGATAGAGGATCGCCCTGACGAAGACCCTGGGAAGGTGTAATATGTCATGTAGCCTCACCATTAACAATCACTTTATATGTAACAGTAGAAATGCATTCCATTACCCAACCTCGAAAGATAGAATCAAATCCCAACCTTCTCATCATAAGCTCTACAAATGGCCATTCAACCCAGTCATAAGCTTTTGTCATATCTAATTTCAATGCCAAACTATATCTCCCCATTCTACCTTAAGCGAGTGAAGTATCTCATGTACAATCAAAATATTGTCTGTAATTAATCGATCTTCAATAAAGGCAGATTAATTGAGAATAATGATCTCAGGGAGCAACGCTTTGAGCCTGGCTGTTAAAATCTTGGATATAATTTTATACACCAAATTGCATAAAACAATTGGTCTCTATTGTGGCATCTTCCTTGGTGTAGCAATCATCGAGATCAAGACGAGATACGTATGGTTAAGAGTTCCATGAAGCCTCCCCGAGTGAAAAAAAAACTCTAGACCATTCCAATAAAATCCTCATTAACCAAGTCCCAATACTGTCGAAAGAATTTCCCTGTGAAACCATCTAGACCCGTCGACTTTGTAGGATTTAAGAATTTCACTGCTAGCCAAATCTCCTTAGAGGAAATTTGCCGTGCCAAACAAGAATTCTGCTGCATGGTCACCTGTGGCTGAACACAATCAGTAATAGACTTTATATTCGTGGGGGAGCATGTGGTAAAAATTTCCTGAAAATAAGAGATAATCAATGGTTTAATTTTGCTATCAGTGCACCTCCGTCCTGCAAAATCTTCTAAGCCCACCATCTTATTTGCTCATCGTCGAGCAAGCATCATAGAGTGAAAAAAACTTTGTGTTCTTCTCTAGTTCATTAAGCCATTGGACTCGAGATTTAAGTTTCCAATATACCTCTTCCTCTCGCAATGCCCCTTTTAGGCTACTCTCCAACTGCAAGACCTCATCACAATCGAAGTCAGGAGCCATATAAGTAACTTTGAGTTGTTGTTGTAAGAGTGCAATAGTAGCCTTGGAACTCCTCCATTCTCTTGTTCTCCAATCCAATATCCATTTCCTTACCCAGCATAATTTCCTTGAAATCTGTAGACCCCTAGACCCCGGAATCCATCTGCTCCATCTCTCTTATACCAATTTTGGACACCCTATTGAATCCCCCCAGCGCAGATCAAAAATAAATCTTTTATGCCATTTCCGGCATGGGCCTCGGGTTTGTAATAAGAGTAACACGTGGTTAGAGCCCGACACCACCACATGATGCACCGTAGCCGATGGATACAGTGTAACCCATTGATCCTTCCCAAATCCTCTATCCAAGCATTCCATAATTCCACCCTCCTACTGTCTGTTCCTCCAAGTAAACGGATGACACACGTATCCTAGATCTAACAAGTGACTAGTAGCTGCAAATATTGAAAAATCATGCAAGCTTCATTCAGTTCGCGGCAACCCCCTACATTTCTCAGTTACATCCAAAATATCATTGAAATCTCCCATAAGTAGGCAAGCCTCCCGACATCGGGCCATCTTATCATGTAATATCTGCCATTAGGATTTACGCACTCACTCATCAGTACTTGAATAAATCGCAAAGAAATGCCACTTGGTACCATTCTCCTCATCCTTGATCATAACCTCAATAAAAAATAAAAATAAAAAGCAACATACTTGAGTAATACAACCTGTGACATCTCCTTCCAGAATAAACATAATCCCCCACTCAAGCCCTAGGGTTCAATAGCATGCATATATTGCATACCAATCTATCGCTTCAAATAACCATAGCGGTGACTTTGATTTTTTGTTTATAAAAGAACCACTATGTCGGGAGTTTGGAGCCTTACTCCTTAAGACTCGAAACTGTCGGAACACTCCCAATACCCTGACAGTTCCAGACAATGATCCTCATGGCGCATGTGGATACCTAAAGTTGGTCTTCGCTTCTTGAATTAGAGTATCGTCAAAAGTTAACTCCTTTCGAGATCCCATATTACATGCCCCAACACAATCTGATGCTAATCGATTACCAGCACACCTCCGTTTATCCATTCTGCCGCTCTCCTCTTTTTCTTTTCCCCTCTTACTCTGAGAGCCTAGGCCACCTGTCGTAGAAATATCAGGTTGCCCAAATATCAGTGGCCCCAGATTAAAAGGATCAGACCCGTGAGTCAACGCCTCAAATTGAAAACCCAAATCCCCTCTTACAATAGCTAAGGACTCATGTGTTGTTCTTTGCACTATGGACCCTTCCTCCACCACAGCCGCCACATTCAAATCAAAAGCAATCCCACTTTCGATAGAAATTTGAAAAGCACCACCATGAGGTAGAGGAGGCTCAGCAAAGTTCGTGGGTGATGCCTCAGTGATACCATGTGGCCCTAAAAATTTCAGCCTCCCGTATATGCCTACTCCATTCTTCCGCTTTCCTTTCTGCACGAATTCTCCTAGCTAGAGTAGAATCTCCGGATATGGACTTGTAGAGGGATGGTGTCGTATCCTCAGCATCTCCCCCTACTCAGCCCCTTGTCTTACTCGTCAATCACTGCAATAAGCTTTGCCACCCCCGTACCTTTCCATATACTCCTTAGAACATAAGACCTGCACCTATGCATATGACCATCAGCAATGTCCCCAGAGACCCAAGGGCTGGAATTAAAAGACTCTTTCTGTCCATAAAGTCGGAATTTTCACCCGTTCAAGTCCTCGCTTGCCTCTGGTCCTGCAAAAGCCATAATCTGATCCTACATATTTTGATAACTAGTCGCCGAAGCCAGTTTCTCAACACAAATACGACTGGGATGTCCCCCTCTACAAAGAAAGCAATATTTGGCAAAAATTCATAGTGAAAGTCCACCCAAGTTGCACCCTCTTCAGGAAACTCAACGAACGTACCACGCATAAGTGATTGCCGCACATCCAAACAAATGCGAACACCCAAGAACCGCCCTATACATTCTTCCTCCTTTGTGTGGTCAACTTCCAGCACCTGCCCTAGTACATAACCAATTTTTTTGGCCACCATAGTGGTCATATTTAGCAACGGGACACCATGCATCTTCACCCAAAAGGATGCCATGGATGCATCCACCTCCCGCATGTCCTTCCCAAGTTGCATTTAAGATAGGAGTACCAGATGTTCCTTATAAGACTAGGGCTCCATATCCAAAACATGAAGCATGTCCCGTCTGCTTGCAAATCTGATCAGAAACTTCCGTTCATCAATCTTTTTTATCGAAACTCCATCTCCCCCATGCTATAAATTATCAAAAACCCCCACAAACCCGTCAAAGTATACCGTCTTAGAAGTCATAACCCTTGCCACCAAAGAGAAACATGAACCCCACATAAGATCGATTCCATCCCTGCCTCAATCTGAATCCCACCCCGTTCACATTCTGATAACCGTAGATGATTGCCAAACTGCTTCTCTAGATCCTCCATGATTCATGCCACCACAACCTGTGCTGCCCACGCTTGCCAAACCCTCCCCCGCAAGGCAACAAAAAAGCCCACTACAAACACAGTGATTCCGCACGATATGTTCAAACTGATGAGGAAGAAGGCTCGTCATGGATTAGCTTTAGCAAAATCGCATAACCCTGCTACACACAGAAGCCCTAGCCGCCTCAGGAAACCCTAGACACCCCTTCTCCTTTCGAGAGACTTTGACAATCAGTGCTTGTTGGAGTGATTCTGTTTAAAAACATTATATTTGGAGTTTTCTGGCTCCACCCCTTGCTAATCATGATTCTAACAGAAACTTTGAATAAAATAATTGAAAGCAAATTAAGTAAGTTTTTTTTTTTTTTTTTTTTTTTTTTTTTTTTTTTTTTTTTTTTGTCCATGTCAAATTAAGTAAGTAAGTTAGTTTAGGTTATAAGAAGTTAGAAATTAGTGACTGAACTTGATCTGAATTTGTTTTTATTCTATTGTAGATTCGAGAAAGTTAATCTGAGAAGCGTAAGAAGTAATGCCAAGATAGTAGGGACAATCATCTGTGTTGGGGGGAGCCATTTACATGACATTTATCAAAGGCACAAAGTTATTGAACACAGAGTTTGAACCCTCAAAATCTCTCCTTGACATGGCGGGTGAGAATTTGAAGCTGGGTTGTCTATTTCTATTTTTATACAGTGTTTTTGCGTCAACTTGGGTGATTCTGCAGGTAATTCTCACCAACTTCTGATTCATGATATATAATTCAAGCAATCAAAATTATACAGAATTGTGTTCAATTTGCAAATAGGTCCCAGTTTCAGCGTGTTGTCCAGACCACCTATATTCAGCTTTCTGGATGTCTTTCTTGGCAACTATACAATCAGCAATAGTTTGTCTTGTTTTGGAGCATGACCTACAAGTATGGCATCTGCATTCAGCTCTTGAACTTGAAAGTTTAGTATATGCAGTAAGTAGCCAGTTCTCTGAACTTTAGTGTGTGGATTTTCTAGGTACTTAAGTAAACATGTCAGTTCAAGTGCGGACTGTCCGAACATGCTCACGTCCGCACTTGAACATATCTGTTTAAATTAAATGCACTAACAAGTACTAATCCGAGGTTCTCATCTACATTGCTGCGTTTGGAACTTTTAACTTAATAGGGATTTTATGCTGCTGTGTCCTTTTTCATACAAACCTGGTGTATATCAGAAAAAGGTCCACTCTACGTTGCCATGTTCAGCCCCCTATGTACAGTTATTACGACCATTGTAGCTGGTCTGTTTCTACATGAAGAATTATATTTGGGAAGGTAATACATTATTTTTCACAATTTCAGCTATATTTAATTTTCAAACGTATCCTTCAATTATCAAGAAAGTTTTCTCCTTTGGTTCAAACGTATCCTTCAATTTCAGCTTGGTGGGAGCTATTGCTGTGATAATTGGCTTATATGTTGTGATATGGGGCAAAGCCAAAGACCCCCAAAAGATGAAACAAGAGGAAGATTCGGAGCAGCCTTCTGATCAGCCGAAAACGATAGAAGTCTTCATTGATGACTCTTCAGAGAAGGCGAGCTGCAAAATTGATCTGGAAGAACCACTTCTGCCACAAAAATTACCTTAACTATTATGATTAAACTAAGTACTTGTGTTCGTCCAAAAAAAAAAAAAAAAAAAAAAAAAAAAAAAAAAAAAAAGACTTGTGATTCTCGTGTTCCTTTAATTGTGGCCAAAACGCAACCGCTTGTAACATGGCTTGTCACTTTCACCATCCCTAAATTTGGACTCACTATAATTTCTTACTAGGTTTTCAGTTTGAATTCCCTATGGATTTGGTTATGGCTATTTTAAGTTTCTTTCTCTCAATATTTTTTTTTTTTTCTTTTTTTTTTTTTTTTTTTTTTTTTTTTTTTTTTTATGGAATAAAACCTCGATCAATCCTAATCTTAACTCATTTCTCCACTTACCGTCACACTTGAGTTTCAACCTCCTCTAGTTTCATGTATCTTTACCATACAGTATTTGATGTCATTTACTAAGTATACATTAGCATTACACAATCTAGTTGGTTTTCTAGCTACTAAGGCATGATTTGGTGGCAGCCGGAAACATGCATGCACCGCGTGGATCACCTCTGTACTGTACACCAATGGAATATTGGGGGGTTAACCTGGATAAGGTACCATGTCGATTCAAAGGATTGAAAGAATAATTGTGTGTATTGACAAAGTGCAAAATAGCTATTATTTTTTTTTATAAAGAATTTTTCATAAAGAGCGTTATTGAAATTTGAATAAATAATATGAGATTTAAAAAATTAAAGTAAGGAATGAGTGCAAAATGATCATCATGTACTCCTTTCTTATAAAATACAGCAGCTCTCTCTCATTATAATAAAAACACTGACTAGGAAAAATAAAAGTACAACATAGAAGTTAAACTTTCTTTTATGCACATGAAGAAGACAGCTTATGATGACAGACATGATTAAGTTGATGGAGATAATTAAGGTTGATGAAGATAACTACGGCTGATGTAGATGATGAAGTACCACTAAGGTTTCATTAAAAATGCTGGAGAGCAAATGTGAATTAGGCCAATTAGTTCAGAGTGTGCCTTTGCACCCGAGTTTGAACCCCCTATTCCTCATATATTAGAATAGTTTAAAATATTGCATTTATCAAAAAAGGAAAAACTAAGGGTTGAGACAAGAGCAGGGACGGACCTAGGATTTGAAAATGACGTGAGTTAAATTTACCTTACGTACAAACTTATTGAAAACTCGATGGTACTAATGAATTTCATTGATAACAAAAAAATACATGGGGGACATAATGAGCCTTACCCCTAAAAAAACTCCGTATCTGATACCACTATTAAAATAACATATATTTTAAAATAGTAATTTTTCAAATTAGAATAATTGTTACTAGAATTCCCCAAAAAATAATAGCCCAATACAAAGGTGGATGAAAAAGACCTCTGTGGAGTTGAGAAGAAGCAGCCTTGGAACTGGTGCAGCTGATCGATAAGAGTGTTGGTTTATTTTTTTGGTTGGTCATCCAGCCTAGTGGGGATTAGTTAATAAGATTGGCCTAGGCTAGGGTAGTATTGTAGTCTTTGAAAAAAAACAAGTCTCCTGGGCTATAGCCCAGGTTAGCTTGTTAGCAGTACCGTCCCTGGATAAGAGTCTCTTTCTATTAAGGGGTTTCTCAATTTCTCAAAAGGTTATTTCATAGAATTCTGGTTGGATCTGCTTTCCATCTTGTTTCAATTATACTTTGCATCGTATTTCAATTATATGAACTATATCTATATATATTTCAAATCTTCATTCATAGATAATCTTTAAACATAAATTTGACAAACTGTAAACCACTTGTGATGAAACAACTAGAACACAATGATTTCATATAAACGGTAAAATGACTACGATTAATCAAATGATTAGAGCCTGTCTAATGGGATTGATCCGACCTAGGCCAAGTCCAGATCTGGCCTCAATTGAAAAAACACACTTTCTAATGCATGTGTTTGGCCCAAGCCAGTTGCCTAAGACAAGATGAGGGGCTGGTTTTGCCCAAGTGCTAACCCGGACAAGAGTGGGTCCCACAGTCACCTTTTGAAAAGAAAAAAAAAGGAAGTACGAAAAGCTGACTTTTCCAAATGCAATGGCCCATGAGAACCTGCCACGTGGCGCCCTCAATGACAATGGAATAGAACGGCTAGTAGCTGGGCTTTTTAGGTTTTTTAATTTTTATTTTTAAAGTTCAGCCTTTCTTTTTAAGTCCAACAGCTAGTTCAGCCTTTTTTTCACCCTTTTATATATATACTCCAAACATTTTTACTTGATCCTTTTTACATTTCTACATTCAAACCTCAATAAATAGGCTTTCTTCATCTTCTTCTCACATAAACTCATCTCTATACTTCAAAATCCAACACTTGGATATCTTTTCTTATCATTTCACAATGAAGATGAAAAATAAGTGTTTTTATCACCAATAAAATATTAATAAATTAAAAGAAGAAGTTTTGAGTTTTAGCCCCTAACCCCTCACCACTAGAATCACAAAAAATTTGAGAGGCTATATTTTGTGAATGGTACCTTTTTGAAGGGCTAAAATAGCACATAGCCCCTTGCCCCTTACCCTTGCACTAGACATGCTCTTACAGCCTTCCAATTCAAGTGATTTTTGCAACAACAAAAAAATTATCAATGTAGACTTAAAAAAATTTTGAATTATTAAAATACAAGATAGGCCTTATTAAAATACCCCCTCAAATACATTTTTTAATTTTTTTTTTTATAAAAAAAAAAAAAAAAAAAAAAAAAAAAAAAAAAAAACCCCCTTCCCTTTTTAAAAAAAAAAAAAAAAAAAACTCCAGAACCCCCCCCCTCCATAAGAAAATGTTGACATTTTTGCATTGAAAATAACTTAAATTTTCACCTTGAGAAACAAGAAAAAACATCAGATTAGCTTCTCAACCCACGTTTATTTGCTTTGTTGTTGTTTTGTGGTCCTCTTTACTATTCTACTATGTTTGACCGAATCCATGTAGATGAAGACAATGCAGCAACATAATGCAAATATCAGTTGTCCAACAAATGGGCATTGAAAGTCTGATCATCAAGTCCGCTAAACCATTAACAGGCTTCAACGGATCAACTTTGATTGCAGTGGGCATAATAGTTCTAGATGTTTATTCTCTACCAGTGATTAGCGCACAGAGCTTCATGATCATCGATACAACTTCTCCTTACAATGGTATCTTAGGTCGGCCTTGATTGAGCAAGATAAATGTTGTCTCTTCTTCCAAGCATGAAAAGATACGTTACCCAATCTTTGGGGTTAGCATTGGCAATCAACAGTGATCAAGTAATGTCATGAAGGTGCTCAGCCCAAGGACTAAAGAGTAGCAAGGGAGCAGAGTTCATTCCCATCACTTCAGCAGAAGAGAAAGGGAAAGGGCCTGCCACTTTTCAATATCAACTTGTCACGCCCCAATCCATGGATTTACTTAACCTTGGGTTAAGACGTGATTCACAACTTAATTATAGAATTTAATAAAAACTATAACTAAAATGTAAAGAAAAATTTAAATAAATATTTCACATAGAATATTCAGCGGAAACGACAACATCTGAAATCTTAAAAAATTTACATTATTTTACAAGTTCGAACCACTCGAGAATTCGCTAAAAGAGTAGTTCATTATTCATCCACAAGCTATGTACACAATACACTCTATAGATATGTCAAAATCATCACAAGTTCTAGATTTCAGGTTTGGTACCTACAAAATCTATTAGAGGGTGAGTGAAACCACAGCTCAGTAGGGACATAAACCTTTTTAAATGAAATTGATATAATTAAATTAAGTGAAATACAATCACACAGCCAAATATCACATTATTAATAATAATGCATGAATGCTCTTCATCTACTCCCGTTAATTCATATAACTAGACAAGCAGATCTGCACGTCCCATACCATGCTTATACCATTTGGTCCCGAATGCCCATTTATATTAACTAACACCCATCTAATCATCCCATAATTCCCCTTTTGTTAGTCATCTTCTCCAACTCCCTATTGCCAGTCCCGAATCACCCAATAAAAACCATGTGCACTGTGGGATACCTGCCAAGAGTTAGACTCAACTACACAAAAGACTATTTCCATTACCCTCTTTTCCATCATTATTTTCTCAATCCAACGACTCCAACCAATTTCCATGACATGATATAATTATGTCTTTCACATATCTTATGTATCTCACAACAATGTAACCATTTAAAACATCACCAATGTACATACAATTATGCCAACATTGTTCAAATAGTTAAGAATATGTAAACACCCAATACAAGGAATGTTAACCAAACTGTAATATCAAGAACATCCATTATAATATCACACATAATATAAAGCTCACGAAATTTAATTAGTTCAATCCCCGTAAAGGCCCCAATAAACCCCTACCTTGACACCAGAGCTTTTGCTAGAAATGTAAGGTGTTTCCCAATTTTCCACCACACTCACAAACTCGGTTTCTCACTCTTTTTCTTACTTCTCTCTACCACTATTTCTCTCTCTCTCTCTTCTTTTTTTTTCATTTGCTATGCAAGTAATGTTCTATATATAGTTATTTATATAGTCAACCTTTGTAGATAAGGAAGATTCCAATTCCTCCAATCCTATTATATTCTTCTTGGTGAATTGACAAAGCTAGTACTATAGCCATGCTTACTTAACATTTTTTTTCTTTGACACGTAACTACACTAACAAGGATTATTTTACTAATACAACATACATATATATATATATATATATATATATAACCAAGATAATTACTTATAAATACATAGCAATTATCTTTCTTTAATTTTAAAAAGATAAACTCTCATACAACTATGGAACCAGGATCAAGAAGAAGGGGTATGCCTTGTGTCCTCAACTGAAGAAAGATGGAAACCCAAAGAGGATGCCGAACCGACAATAAAAATAAGGATTTCTATATGGGCTTATCTTTTGAGGTGCCCTTTATAAAAATCTCACATCGAAAATCCACACTCCTATAAAGATGTTTATAAACAAAGTACTATGATGGTTTGGTA